ACCAAAAAGAAATGCGAGATCCAAGATATTATTCAGAATGCACAGTGCAAACACATTCGATTCGACGTTCTTTCTCGGCTTGAACTTTTCAATGGACGTTCGTTCACCAGCTAACTAGTATAGGCACGTGAAAGTACGTTAGCATATATGTTAGGCTTAGCTCTAGGAGATTTTTCTCGAAGAGTGTCACGCGAAAAGGAAGGAAACCACGCGAGGTCCATATTTACGTATACATGTAGGTATTTTGTTGAGCATGTAAGGGGAGATCCGCGAATCCGTCTGCATCGAGTATTCCTGCTCATACTAGGTAGCGCGCAGTGATCCCGTCATCAATCCTACCAAAAAATGCCGCAAATGGCATGTCTATTATCTACAGAACTAACTACGAAGTCCTGATTGTCTGTGCCCACTTTTTGGTCTGACTCAGTCTGGAGTACGGCCTTCTCCACAGGACGGTCCCAAACTAATGCATTGAATAGTTACTGATATTCGATATTTATTAATTATGGAGAAAGACACACCGTGTGTGCACACAATAAAAAAGCAAAATTAGGTTGTACGGTGTGGTACTCTGTGCGGAACTGCCTAATTGGGACATTCCGCTCCGCAAAGGCGCCCGCCCCCACGATTTTTCATTCAGGCATTAAGTTCGAAAACCCACCCCGACTTAGGTCCGTTTTCCCCAGGGCCAAAAGAAAAGAAAAACGCGGAGATGTGGCCGGGGTTGTCGCTCGGGCCAAACGAATCCTGCCTGTCCCGCATTTCACTTGTTCTCCGTATCCATATTATTGCAATGGTCTAACTTTGCAATGGTCTAACTTGGGAGTCACAACCCAGTCCATTTATCTATTTCCAATGAATCCACACAGCGGCCATATCTCCTACGTATTTGGTAGTGTATTATGATAATAATTATAATAAAAAGTGATTGGATATGCACTAACTTGGCACGACCCACCACTGCAAAGCACGCTCAGCGTCAAAGCGATAAGGATTTAGTAACGTTCGGGAATCGGCAGAAATCGTGTAGCTAGTCGATATGTCCTCCCTTGCGAGAAGGTACCATTATTCCGTGCTACGGGAATTTTACGGGATGTTATATTAGGACGTATATAGTATCCAAGAGTCTGGCATGAATGTTTTCCCGGCGCATTTCCGAAACCGGACTGCGCAGAACATGGTTGAATCAAGGGTGTCGGTCGGAATAGGAAAGCCAAGCGGTCGGTCTCGGAATAATTTCAGATTTGATCGGATCTAGGCCACACAACAGGGATAGAGACTGAAATGACTCGGTGAACTTTGAAGCCAAGGCTCATGTCAAACCCTAGGGCCAGTCGGGGTTATCACATGGAAACTTATGCTGGATATGAAACGTATTATTAAATTTTCATACCTTGGCCGTCGTGGGACGTGACTGGCTGGCCTGAGGGTTTAGTTCGGGTTCCCGAGCCCACTGAGTGTGCATGGCCTGACATAAGACGGATCTCTGCATTCCGAGACGAGAAGGCCGATGCTGGCAAACAGTCGGCAAGGCCGTTCGTATACGGAGATGTGATCTGTACTACATGTCTCGATCGGTGGAGGATGGAGTATATAGTTACGGGCAGGATGGCCATACACTAACACAAACACAAACACAAACACAGAGCCTGAGGGCTCAGGCAGCCGACGGGGAAGATCAACGGGAGCCGCGGCATGATTGGCCGAGCAGGGCTCCACTGCTGGTTGTGCCGTACAAACAGAGAGATCTGGAGAAGTTCTCCATAAAAATCCAGTCTACATCTGGAGTCCCCGGAGCGCGTTACTTGTAATCAGTTAACGTCTCTCCATCCCATGAATCTGTCTATTCGCCCCGCCACGCACGCCACGCAACGCAACGCACACAAGCGAACAACCAAACGATGAAGAAAACGCATGCCAGACTCCAACCGTCAAATGACAAAGCATAAGCGCCGCCCGGCTTCTCCTGAAACAGCCTAGCGCGGCGCCATGAGCCGCCTTGTCCCTTCTTCCCCCTGCGACATGACGACATGGCTGAGCGCGGTTTTTGGTCTTCCCCCAGGTCTGCCTCCACCTCCGAGTTTTTGTTTTCTTTCCTCTTTCCGGAGTTGCTGGCCGGGGAAATGCGTGGGAAGGGGGCGTGGCAGCGAGATGGTGCAGATGGCGGCTGCAGCAGTGTTCCAACACACATACATGTATGTATACTCCGTACGTACTTTGTATGCGCGATAGCACGTACATGTAAGATGTAGAACCAAACACGCTGGCCAATAATGGGGCGCTGGCTAAATTCGGCTCGTGCTGGGCCGGAAGTAACCTACCCTGCATGGAGGATAGCGCCTGCCCTCATTGGAAAGTGCCAGTTGGAGATGCTACCTGCAACCTGGGGCAGGTGCGACCATGAGCAGCTCCTTCCTCGTATTGCCCATTTTCCACAAAGACCGCCGGCGCTTTTTAAAATGCGCCTCCTTCCCGCCTCCTTCCTTCTTCTTTCTTCCCTTCCCTCCTTTCTTCCGGTCAATCCATCTTCCCTTCTTTCTCTTCTCGTTGCTTGCAGTCCAGTTCAATTGACCTCGACAACAACCGACCCTCTTGAATGTCTCGACTCCACCATCAGCCCGCAACGACTTGATCCGAGTGCGTTTCGTCCGCATACATCGCCATCATGAGTGGCCGCAGTCGTGCCTACTTGGGCCTGCGTGGCACCAAGCTCAACATTGCAGTCGGAGTCATTGCTGGGCTTGATTTCCTGTACGTCTTTCGGGCTTTTGCTATATATCTAGTTCTTCTTTGCTGACAATCCATCTAGTCTTTTCGGTTATGACCAGTATGCTCCGGCTCTCTCCATGCTAGAGACAGAACACTAATTGCTGCAGGGGTGTTATGGGTGGTCTTTTGACCCTGGATTCTTTCATCAAGCAGTTCCCGGATCTCGATACTTCCTCGCAGGCATATAACAATATGAGCAAGCCGCAGCAGATCACTCGCTCGGATATCCAGGGTCCGTGCAGCCTTGTATAATGAAAGACAACCCCCACTGATCCTCTAATAGGTACCTCGGTTTCTGCTTACAACGTCGGATGTTTCCTCGGTTCTATTGCCTGCATCTGGATCGGTGACAAGCTCGGTCGTCGCAAGACTATTTTCACCGGATCTGCCATCATGGTCATCGGTGCTACCCTGCAGTGCACGGCCTTCACGCTGCCTCACTTCATCGTTGGCCGTATCGTGACTGGGATTGGCAACGGATTGAACACCTCAACTGTGCCGACATGGCAATCCGAGTGCTCCCAGTCTCATCGTCGTGGTCAGCTGGTCATGATCGAAGGTGCGCTGATTACTGGTGGTATCTGTCTCAGCTACTGGCTGGATTTTGGCTTCTCCTTCCTTGATCCCAACTCCGTTTCGTGGCGATTCCCCATTGCATTCCAAATCGTCATCGCCCTGATCATTCTTGCTTTTGTCTTGTTCTTGCCCGAGTCCCCCCGATGGCTCATCTTCAAGGGTCGTGAGGACGAGGCTACCGATGTGTTGACTGCCTTGCTGGACGCCAACCGGGAAGACACTCTAGTTGAAAACGAATTCATTGCCATTAAGGATACTGTCTTGGAGGCTCAAAACACCACCTGGCGGGATCTTTTCACCATGGACGAAAACCGTCACTTCCACCGTGTGGCTCTTGCCTATGTTAACCAAATGTTCCAGCAGATCTCCGGTATTAACCTAATTACCTACTATGCTGCTACCATCTACGAGAACAGCATCGGTCTCTCAGGATTCCTGTCCCGAATACTCGCTGCCTGCAATGGTACTGAATATTTCCTGGCTTCTTGGCTGCCCGTCTTTATCATTGAGAGAGCTGGCCGTCGGCCCCTGATGTTGATCGGTGCTGCGGGTATGTCCGCCTCGATGATTGTTTTGGCCATCTGCACGAGTTTCGCCGGCCAGACTAAGCCTGGTATTGTGGCTGCTGTATTCCTGTTTGTCTTCAACACCTTCTTTGCGTGGGGTTGGTTGGGAATGACCTGGCTGTATCCCGCCGAAATTGTGCCCCTGCGTATTCGCGCCCCGGCCAACGCGCTGTCCACCTCGGCCAACTGGGCTTTCAACTTCATGGTCGTCATGATTACCCCGGTGGCATTCGAGACTATTGCCTACCAGACTTATATCATCTTTGCTGTCATGTAGGTTCCTTGCCCTTCTGGTTTTTTTTTTCTTTTCTTTTTTGAATAACTCACGACAACTAACTTGTTTTTCATAGCAACGCCGTCATCTTTCCCATCACCTACTTCTTCTATCCCGAGACGGCGTACCGATCTCTCGAAGAAATGGACTCTATCTTCCGCAAAACCAAGTCTGTCTGGAGTCTGGTCCGCGTTGCACGCGAAGAGCCTCGTCGTTATGGCAAGAATGGAGAGTTGCTCATCAACTACACCGAAACCGAGGAGCACTTCACCCGTGTTGGTGGAAACACTGAGCAAGAGAAGCACATAAACAAGGAGCATTCCAATCCTCAATACCACATTGAGAATGGAGACGCAGGCCACGCTTCTGAGTCGAGCTAGATATTAACCAGCGGCTCTTTTTCTTTTCAGAATAGCCATATCTCTTGATATACCCCTACCATATCTTGCCATCCCAAGGATTTCCCGTTGGATTGATTAGGTTCTTGGACCCCTTTGTTTTTGATTTTGGTTAACGATGACATGATAAACACGGCTTCTTTCATGTGTGATGGATGATATATGAAAGAACCAATTTCTGGCATCTTGGCCTTATTTTTTTTTTGCCGATATACCCTTTTTCTTTCCACTGGTTCCTATTTCTTTTTGTATGTACATGGCCGGAATCATGTCTAGATTGGTCGTTATCAGTCGTGGATCTAGTTGATAGAATCGATTTATTCATGACATTATCAGTTAGAGAAAGTAAAAGAGAGAGACAGTTTACGTATATCGATGATGCATGTTGCTGACTTCCCATTAGTTAGCCCTAAAACCCAACCAGGGAGATAAAACAGTTCAATAATGTCATTCTTGTTGAATTAGTCTTGAACAGTTGTTTTCTAGCAAGATTTGGATCCAGACTAGGACTACTTTGGTGTATGTCATTTAATAGATGGATCATAATACATCGTAACATAACGTTTATTCAACAGGCTATCTATGCTATTGCATTGCATTTCATTTCATTACACGCGAGAGGCCAAACACGAAAATAGAGAGAGAAAAGGAAAGAAAGGGCCAGACGAAAGAATTGAGTGCATAAGAGTCTATATCCCGCAGGGACATTAGAATCAAAGAACAGAGAAAGGAATAATAAACAAAAGAAAAGAAAAATTATCATTCTGGCTTTTTCCTTCTTCCTTCTTTTCTTTTCTTGTTCTCGTGCCCGACGTGTTCTGTTATAGTGTCATTTCGCAGTGTGATTGACGAGTCTTCAAATTGGATTCCATCTCAGATGATGGAAGAAAGAAAAAGACGGACGGTTTAACGGTAGGGTATCCATGTAAGTTGGGTATTTGAGGTTTTGATATTTGAAGACGTTTTGTTTAGACACCACCGCAGAGCTAGAGATTGAAGTTAGTACATATATCATTTGAAAGATCATGAAAAATGAAGGGGAAGAAAAACATACAGTCTCAACAATGATACCGGTGACCTGGTAAGGATCGGCGTTCGAGGCCGGTCGTCGGTCCTCAAAGTAACCCTTGCCATCCTTGGCGACCTGGCGGGGGATACGGATGGAACCACCACGGTCAGCAACACCGTAAGAGAACTTGTCAATTGAACCAGTCTCGTGACGACCAGTCAAACGCTCATCGTTGCCCTCGCCGTAGACGGCAATGTGCTCGACGTGGCGTCCCTCGAGCTTCTTCATGGCGGCCTCGATAGCCTTCATGCCACCCTCCTCACGGGTCTCGACGGTAGAGACGTTGGTGTGAAGACCGGCACCGTTCCAGTCACCGGGGATAGGCTTGGGGTGGAAGGAGATCTGGACACCGAACTCTTCGGCGACACGGTGAAGGAGGAAGCGGGACATCCAGAGGTGGTCACCCATCTCGATACCCTCGCAAGGACCAACCTGGTACTCCCACTGAGAGGGCATGACCTCAGCGTTGATACCGGAGATGTTGATGCCGGCGAACAAGCAGGCCTTGTAGTGAGCCTCAACGATGTCACGGCAGTAGACCTTGCCGGTGCCGACACCGCAGTAGTAAGGACCCTGGGGACCGGGGTAACCACCCTTGGGCCAGCCGTATGGCCATCCGTCAGGCCCGAGGAGAGTGTATTCTTGCTCAAGACCGAACCAGAAGTGCTGGCTGGCGTGTGTCTCCATCAACTTAGCGGCCTCGTGGCGGTGGTTGAATTTGTTCTGGAAAAAAAAAATCGAATTGTCAGCAAACTATTGCGCATTGGTGACCACGTAATTTGGCACACAACTTACAGGAGTGCCATCGCTGTCCCAGGTCTCGCTCAACACAAGGATGTTGTCTCCCTTGCGGAAAGGGTCAGGGAATATAGCAACGGGGCGAAGGTAGACGTCGGAGTTGTCGCCGGGGGCCTGGCCGGTACTGGAACCATCGAAGTTCCATTCGGGCAGCTCTTCAACGGAGGTGACAGGCTTGGAAAGAGTCTGTGGGTAACAAGAGCAAGATTAGCTTGTCGGGTCGCATTGCCTGGTGGTGTTTGAACATGACTTGTGTGTGCGCGTGTTGCATGGAGGGGCAGTGTGGCTTATCGGCTTGCGATAAATTAAATGGGAGATAAGAGAACGACTAAAAGCGCCAACTGCAAGCACTCGGCCGGCGTGATTGGCCTGGGTGCAGGGTTGACGATAAGAGCCTTGATCCTGGCGAGCAAAAAAAAAAAAGAAAGCGTACCTTGGTCTTGGAGCGAACACCGCCCTCCGAGTCAATCCAGACATATTCGGCCATGACCTTGCCCTTCTGCTCAAGGGACAGGTACTTGAGAAGCTGTTACAATGCCAACGTCAGAATTTTTTGGGCCCCACGAAAGCGACTCGCGTGACTGCAGGACACGAGCCCATGATAGATAGATGGGATGGGTATCACGCACGTTCTCGGTGTTGGAGATGACGGTAGATCCAGCCTGCGATTGAAGGGTTAGCGAGTGGCCATTGTGCAGCAATCGCATGGGGCGAGAGAAATAAAGGAAGCCGTGGTTCGACATACCATGATGACGGGTGTGATGTGTGACAAGGGACTCAAAGAACCAAAAAGCAGCGAGAAAGGGGTTTCTTGACACAAGAAACTGACGATTCGAGGGATGGATGGGTGAGGATTGGAAGAATAGAAGAGAGAGAGCGAGCGAGCAAGCGAGGCTTTTTATTTTATCTGGATGGATAGAGGGGGAGAGCGAGAGAGGGAAGGCGGCCAAGAAGGTGGGGGGGGGGGAACTTATTTTAGGAAAGCGAACGAAAAAGACGCGGCGCTTCGTTCGGGGTTAGTGCCCGGCAACGGACGGTATTTGTATTTTACCCGTAAGATTGATTCGTCGCCATCTACATCGAATGGAATGAATGGATTGAATGTTACATGGCATTACATTATGGCATTATACAAAGCGTGTGACTATGAGAGATATACTGCCCATCACATGACGCTCCTGAAGTCGATGCCGATGCGCAGAGGAAAAAGAAAGGAAGAGCATAGGGAGGGATGACTCGAAAGGAACAGTCATCGTAACATGGGCCTGTCCTGTAATATTACGACCAGATACAACCCGGCCGATAGCGCTTTCGGACGGGGTGCTCCGCTCCCCGTGACTGCGTACCTGCATGGCCACGCTGGATCAGGGAGCATGATAACCTATATCGCAGTTCTTGTTGACGCTTCAATCAGGGTACAAAACACAGTATACCCCCCCAAGTTGATTTTTGTTTCTGCGAGCAGTCTACAAGAATACAAAGGCCAGTCAGTGCATACATATAGTCACATACCTCCATGGCAGACCAGAGGTCAGTAGGCCTGTCCTCATTGGCTGTTCTTGGTGGCGTTTCCCACCACTGGGGTCCCGACACCGGCCAATCTCGCTGCGCTTATATTTAATACGAGTCCAAGCGCTCTGATATAAAATCAAGGCGGATGTCGCGCCTTGGGGATTTATGTTGATCCTATTTTCTTATGTACCATTGTGAGCATCATGCGGCAAGTTTTCTCTTTTTCGGAGAGGGGGGAACTCAATCAGCTCTTGTGAGTTATCTAAAAATTCTGTAAAGAAATTTCCATGTCTCAGTTTTTGTTGCCCTTGAACAGGGGCAACGAAGAAGAACATGACGTCCGGCATTCTATGCGAGACTGCAAATTCGCGACATCTGATTGGCTGTACCCCAGCATTGGCACGCGGTCTAACCCGATGCGGTGCTTTCCATTGGCTGTACCGCATCGACCTCAGAACCGGTCGTACAGAGAAGACTCGAAAATGCATTTTCGAGCACGCCGCATTAAGCGTGGTCTGGTCGGGTTGGGTCTGCTCACCGCGCACGGAATTAGTTAGCTAGCTAGCCAGGCGCACGATATGATACATCTTAGGCGTAAGCTTAAGCTTAGACAACAATCAATCCAAAGCAGAAACGAACCTCGAAAGTCAGTCAGTGGCAAGCCGTATGATACATACCGTACAGTACCGCCGATACGGTACATACAGCGTACTAAAGCTGAACTGCCCATCTCTTATCGCAGCTCGCCGATTGGCGTGACACATCCAGCTGACTGACTCGGTCCGATCTCATCGGGTAGCGTCTAGCCGCGTTTATCTACGGCGGGCAGCTGTGGCCAAGAGCGCACTATCTATCCATCACTTATCGATTAGGTTATCAAACTATCAAATCTACTACCTAGGCCTCCTCCTCGTCTTCCTCCTTCCGCAGACGCACCCAGCCCATAGCCGTGGCCGACACGAAGACACCACATGCTGCACCAACAGCCAGGTACGTGACATGATTGAACGTCTTGCTGTACGACACCAGCACACCTGGGAGCATTGACGGCGACACCGCGGCACGCACATCTGCCGCCGACGTGCCTGCCGCAATGACCACATCGGCATTGACATCCGGTGCATGAATGGCCAGCTCGCGCCTCAGCTGGCCGGAGAAGATCACCTCTGCAATAGCCAGGAAAATGGCACCGCCAAAGTTCTGAGAAAAGACCACCATGGCCACCGCAGTAGAGACTTCTTCCCTGCGTATGCTGTCCTGAACCGCGAGGATGGGAATCTGAAACCCGAATCCCTGGGCGCCCTGCAAAATCTGGTATCCTATTCGTGGGGCGTTTGGAGATGTTGCAGTGATGGTCGAAATGAGACCGGATCCGATGGACATGCAAATCCCGCTGGCTAGGGAGAAGGGAACGTAATAGCCAACACGTCCCACTAGCGAAACGACGAATCTTGATCAGTTATCCGATGCATTATCAAATATCAGGGCGCTCAGCCCATACCTAATATACCGGTGATAATCGTAATAATCATATTGCTGAGTATCTGAGGAAGCATATCAACGCCACTTTGGGTAGGTGAAGCACCCCGCACGGCCTGGAAGTATATGGGGAAATAGTAGGTTATGACCATTGTGCACCCTACCATGAAGGCCATGTTGAGACAGCTGCTCCATATAACCCGCCTCCTTATGAGGGCCAGTGGTATCATGGCACCACTGCCCATGCGATGTTCCCACGCTATGAAGACGAGCAGATTGCCAAACGAGCCGCAAAACAGGCCGATTATCATCGCACTCTTCCAGGCGTAATTGACGCCACCCCACTCCAATGCAAATATGAGCATGAGCATGGTGGGTGCAAACAGAACGAATCCTATCAAGTCCAGTCTTCGTAGCCGCCCAAGCACGGTCTGTTTTCCGTCGCTGGTGGCGCCCATATCCGGGATTGGGATGAGGATGAGAAAGAGTGCGACTACGCCACCACAGGGCAGGTTGATCAGGAAACCTGTTCATTCACACAAAGTTTGAATTGGTTAGAAACGGCTGAAGAGGAGGGAGGAGACACATACACCATCTCCAAGACGCATACTCAGTCAGAACGCCACCAATCAATGGGCCGCCTACTAGACCGAGGATAGCAAGTCCCATCAAGATTCCACGATATGCTTCACAATAATATAATCAGTTGCAGTTTCTATCTTCCTGCCAGGAAGGGCTCCTCACATGGCTGTTTTGCAACTGGCAGAGTTGCAGCTATGATTGTATAACTCCCATTGAGTAGGCCCGATCCACCCAAGCCTGCTACTGCACGACCTACAATCAGCATATTCGACGAGGTGGCACCACCGCACAATGCAGACCCAATTTCGAACAAGGCGAAAAAGGTGAGATACGTCCACTACCGCGAATCTTGGTCAGTCTACTATTAGATGTCTTGTTAGGCATGAGGCATGACTTACTTTGATGCTGAAGAAGGTATAGATCTTTCCAGTAAGAGGCTGACATGCACAGCTGAATTTGATGTGTCAGCGGCCCTAAGAGTTGGGTGCAATCAATGAATTCTACTTACTTGGCTGCGAGGTATGCAGTTCCATACCAGCCAACTTGGTCGAGAGAATGGAATTGGCCGGTGATTTTGGGCACGGCCTATATCCGATCAATATCACTAACCAGTACGCTTGTATGTAGAAGGGGTTGACTAACCGTGGCGACTATCGAGGCGTCGAGAAGCAGCAGAAATGCAGCCAGAGTTATGCTTGCCATCAGAGCAAGGAGTGTCAGGCCGGTAAGAGGCTTGGGAGTCTTGCCTGACTGGGAGTCATCCAAGTCCACAGCAGTCCTGTTGGTCATGTCCATGTCCATATCCTTGTCTTTGCCTTCATTTTCAGTCTGAAGTGTGGACTTTATGGCCATGGCACTTGTTGACGGCCCGCTCGAATACTCGGATTTTTGCATGATGATAATAGTAAGTTCTGGGAATATGGATGTTCTCAAAAGTAGCAAAGGGGCTGTCTATTTATATCTATACATTCACTAAATAAAATTGTAGCCCAGCCTTCAAGGAATTCGGAGGCGATGAATGGTATTGGATTCCGACTACATAAGCCCTAGACTAGAACGGTAGAACCATCGAACGCCCGTTATAAATAATAGTAGCGAATTAATCAGAAAGATAAATTTTTGATAAGTTCATATTGATTGATAAAATCGCCTTTTACGGGCGTAAGGCGTATACAGCAACCAGTTGGGAATAGCTTCCCGTCATATGCCATAACTTGAGCGGAGTTCGGATTTTGCTCACTGAACCCCGTGCATGTATACTGTATGCTAGATAGACACTTTTGATTAATGTCTCATGAGAACAAGCATGAGACTTGTTATGCATACATAGATGATGTTCTTCCATTGTTCTAATCAACTACTAAGATCATAAAACCGGCGCTCTCCGTGACGGAATATAATGCTCAACCCCCCTCGCCATCTGCAACAACGCCTGCTCGCGATACTCCCAACTGACCAGCTCCAGCCCCACCGGCAAACCTTCCTCCGTGAACCCAACAGGAACACTGATAGCAGGAAGCCGGGCTTGACTAGCAAGTAGGGTATTAGTAGGAAAGTCCCAACATGTCGGAAACCGACCATTTGTCGAATCCTCATGTCGTGGCGGCGGAATCTGGACATCTGGAAAGGCCAACGCGTCGAGGCCATGGGCTACTATGAGACAGGTCAAGCGTCTTTGGAACTCATCCCTTTCAAGAAGACGTTGTGCATAGGTAAGATCTGTATTCGGATCCGCGGGTCCGTGTGCAACTTGGCAAGTGAAGTCTAGAGATGGATGAGGCGGTTCTTTGGGGACAATTTCTGCAATATCTTGAGGGAGATGTGGTTTTGTGGCTAGGAACGAATTGATGTCTGAACGTGAGCGCACAACATATGCCGGCGTGTTGGTCATATAGTGCTCGAGTCGCGGTAAGTCAACATCTACAAACTCTGTGCCGGCCTGTTTCAGCGTTGAGAAGGCCTTGTTCACAACAGAGTTAACTGCGTGGCACGCAGGATCAGAATCAAGTCCGAATAATGATCGTACAATCCCGATCCTGGATTTTGTAATCGCCCGAGGATCAAGCTGGGCCGCATAACTGCCGTCTTGGGGGCGTGGCCCAATGGCCGCGACTGCAGTCCATTCATCATTGGGATCGAAGCCGACCATACAGTCTAGCATCAAAGCACAGTCAGTCACTGTGCGCGCAAGAGGTCCCGGCGTATCTTGAGATTTTACAAGCGGGCAAAACCCCGTTCGGCTGATGAGTCCCGGAGTGCATCGCAAGCCAACCAGGTTGGTGAACGATGCCGGACAACGAATCGAGCCTCCCGTGTCTTCGGCGACAGCAATGATGCAAAGGTTGGCTGCTACGGCTGCTGCAGATCCAGATGATGAGCCGCCGACATCATGTCCGAGTTTGTACGGATTGTGAGTGAACTTCCAATCTGTCGCAGATGATGTTGAGAACCATGTAGTAGCCCAGTCGCCCATGGTCGTTTTCCCCAGAATGATGGCGCCTTCCTTTTTCAGTTTGTCCACAACAAAGGCGTCCTTTTCCGGGACATTGTTTTTGGCTACGTGCGAGCCATAAGTAGTCACCATCCCCTTGGTGTCGGCCTGATCCTTGACCAGAACCGGAATGCCATGGAGACGACCGAAGAATTTTCCATTCGTTTTGAAGTATTCATCCAGAGCTACAGCTTCCTGCAAGGCGACTTCAGAAATAGCAAGTGTCGAATTGATACATGGCCCGCTTTTGTCCAACAGCTCTATGCGCTTTAGAAATGCATGGACAAGGCCCTTGCAGGTCCAAGTGCCGTTGCGATAGGCTTCGTGAACTTGGGAAATGGTCAATTCCTCAACACTCATTTTGGCGCGTGCTCCTAGAGCTTCAAAACCATGCACATATTTTGTTTATTCTGAGTTCCAACGTAGGCACTTGTAGTTATGCGATAAGAGCGTCGATGTGGGCCTTTACTGATCAGGCCGACTTAGGGCTATCGGCTGTTGCCTTAGGCTATCACCCCTCAAAAAAAGAAAAGCGGACATTTCCGTTTATCGGGATTAATTCGTTTCTATCTAGGCCATGCCATACTCGAATTTAGGCTAATACGTTTTCACGAATAAAATCCCAGAGCCTTTTTGGCTTCCTCGCTTACTCCCTCCAATCCCTCATACCCCTTGAATAGCGTCTCATTCAAGTTCCCGGCACCAAACACGTAGTCTGGTGGTGGGCGACCAGCTAGTGAGGCCTCTTTCTGTGTCTTAATGTACTCTTTGTTAATAGGCGTTGTTGGACATGCTGGAATAAAGACGGCGGCGGCATTCTCTTCACCAAGATGCTCCGTATCGACCGCGTGTATCATCTAGTTTTGATCCTCGTTAGCAATTTGAACCTCGTATATATACCCCTGGATAATGTTTTTTTTTATTTCAGATAGGAAACGTACATCGGAGTGCCACCAGACACTATCTCCCGGCTTCATGGACGGTGAAGCAACGAGGCAATCTTGCAGACGAAGATGCGGGTGCGAAGATCGACTCAACAGCTGGCTCTGCTGCAAGAATGTACCAGGAAACCAGGGTTCGTCTGGAGCAAAAGTCCACTTGCTTGCATCCATCACGTCGCCAGACTCAGGGGGTCTGAAGAATGGACGGAGGAGTACGTAGGCAACCGCCATGCGAACATGCGGGAAGAGCATGATGCTACCAGCTCGAGGCGCTGCAGGAGTGAGAGCAGTCCACCCCTGAAAAGCGCGAAAGACGCGAGAATGAGCCACGCCAGGGAAAAGGTATTGATCTGCGTCCTTGCGGGCCTTCAGGTCATACGCATCGTGCAATTCCGGGTTGCCTGAGAATATATGGTGATAGGCGTTTCGGTAGGTCTTGTCGGCCCATCGACTCAGGCTTCCAGCGTCGATATGAGGCGGGAGCCCAAGGAATTGCTGCAGCGGTGGTCGGTCACGGATTCCATCAGAGTAGAGAAGTGGCTCCGGGCTGGTCTCTCCCGAGGCATCGTGCCATAGCTCATTGAGTCTCTGCTGTACCTTTAGATGATTCGGGTGCGTACGCATTGCGATTTGAGTCGGCGAGTCATATAAACGATACATTGAGGGGGCGTCCGCAGGCCATCCGGTCACGTCGTCTTGATTTGCAGATAAGTATTCTTGGAACTTGGCATACTGGTGCCGGGCCTCGTCTTCAGGGACGACCTGGCGGACAATGAAGCAGCCGATGTTCTTGATCCGCTCCCTTTCTGATTCCGTGAAGCCTTCATTGACGACTTTGCTAGCTTCAAACGCCGGGATCATGTCGGCGCCATTCTGTTCAAGCTCTTGGGTCACTGACTCAAGAGCCTGGCAGGTTTTCAACCAGCTTTGGCAAATAGCATCCTTGCCATACTGCTCGATGATTTCCTTTTTCGCGCGCAGAAAGCTGGGTTCTTGAGAGTAGACGTCGGCATCGGCTTGCTTTGTAAATTCAGGCCAGAGTGGCCAGGTCTTGAGAATGCCTGGCATTGCGACTTTCACGCTGATCTCGGATACAGTCTGATGGAAATCCCGGCCCGGATGAGGTGATATGGCAGATTGCTCGATTATATCCAAGAATCCCACAGCTCTCCAGAAAGGTAAAATTTTCAATACCCGAGTATATTAGACGTGCTATTGAACATTAAGCTAGCAAGGTATCAGCTCGTCTATTTCCAATCTTCCATGGCGGACCAGATCCGCGATAGTATCGCGACGGAGATGCCCGCCTGGCTCTTATCAGCTTCCGCTAAAGAAAATGTTTGTTGCGGTTGAATCTTGATTGCCCCTGGAGCTTTGAAAATAACTTAGTCTAGTTTGCGCCGACAAAATGCGCGTCAGTGATACGATAGTCAGTCAGATTGTGCCCTCTAAAAGAAGCAATGCCATATTATGTCCCTCATGTATAAAGTCCTAGCCCAAGGCCTGCTTGGGCATTGACTTTACACCACTATTTTCACCTTTTGTGACTCCAGACCAGAGAAACTGAACAATCCCTACCTACCTACATTCATACATAGATAGGTGTTCTGCAGTCATGGCGGACTTTCAGCGCCAATATGTCTCTCAGCTGGTGCCTTCTAATATGAAGATGTTGACGACTCTTCTCATTGCCGTGACCATCGTCAACTCCGCTGTAAGTGCATAATCATGCGCGAGATGACTGATGAAGAATGGATTAATCATACTTGTCTTCATAGACCTTGGGATACGATGCCTCGGTCATGAGTGGTTTGAACATTCTCCCGTCCTACACCGACTATTTCAACCTCAACACCGCAACCGTTAGTTTCCCTCTCAGTTCGGAGCTTACAGGCATACTGACAAACTTTAACAGGAAGGCCTTCAAACAGCGGCAGCGTGGATGGGAGATATTTTCGCATGCTTCATTATGCAACCCATCACGGATCGCTATGGTCGCAAAGCCGGGATCCTAGCATCGGCCATTGTGTGCTTTATCGGCATAATCCTGCAGGCAGCGGCTCAGAATACCGCCATGTTTGTGGTTTCGCGGATTATCGTTGGTCTCGGCTCTCAGCTATCGAGCAGTGCTGCCCCAGCTCTTCTGGGCGAGCTACTCCCCGCTGTAACCCGTGGCCGGATCCTTGGTATCTTTTTCTCTTGCTATTATGTAGGGAGCTTGCTGGTGTCTATAATCAACTACGGGTCCCAGAATATCGATTCAACCTGGTCGTGGCGACTGCCATCTCTGCTTCAGTTGATCCCCAGTGTATTGGCATTGAGTCTCTTGCCATTCGTGCCTGAATCGCCACGATGGCTTATTGCCAGAGGGAAATTCGATCATGCCAGAGAAGTTCTTATAATCACGAGAGGGGACTCTAACCCAAATGACCCTCGTGCTGCCACTGAGTTTGACACAATTGAATTGACCATTGCCAAGGAGAAGGAGATGTTCCCTCGCAATCCGTGGCTCGAAATCATTTCAACTCCCGGAAACCGGAAACGGCTGGCAATTCTTGTTTCTTTTGGTGTAATGTTGGAGATGTTTGGGAACTTTGTTGTTTCGTAAGTAAAAGTAAAACCATGGTGAAGATGACCGCCAAAACATGGGCTAATCGTAACTTGCGGCATCAGATTCTATCTGACCAAGATTCTCGACCAAGCCGGCATCACGGATACAAAAACTCAAACTCAGATTAACGTCATCTTGAATTGCTGGTCTTTTGCTGTCGCAATCTGTGGCAGTTTTGCCTTGGACTACATTGGCCGTCGCAAACAGACGCTCTGGTGTATGTGTGGTATGATCGTTTGCCTCTATATTCTGGGAGGTCTAATCAAAGGTACGCAAATAAAGCATGACTCGTTTCTATAGAGGGGGTAAAAAAAAGGACAGGTCTGACTGGGATATGATGTCTTCAGTGTATGGAGAATCAGCCGACAAATCCGGCATTTACGGGAGCATCGCGGTTATGTTCCTATTCCAAGGCTTTTATTCCTTTTCCATTACTCCAATGACCAGCGTGTATCCAACCGAGGTCTCGCAGTACAAACTACGTACCACAGGTATTGCCATATTCCGTTTCTTTGACTGTGGATTTGGGTAAGTTTGTGCTTTCTACTCTCCCGTACCGAGCAATCTTCAAACATGTAGGACTAATGCAGTTATAAAGTCTGATGGCCTCTTTCGCCATGAATTATGCAATGGAAAATCTCGGGTGGAAGTTCTACATCGTCAATGCCTCATATGACTTCCTTTTCTTGGCCGCAGCTTACTTCCTGTTTGTCGAGACTAATGGTCTGACGCTGGAAGAAATCACGGCCAAATTTGAAGGCGCTGTGACACTTGAGGGCCGAAGCGGTCAGGAGACTGCCTCTCTATCAAACAGCGAAGACCGGGATGTCAAGGATAGTAAAAACTAGGGCATGTCCATACTCTTCATAGTTATTCCTTGCTTGTTGTATCAATATTGATCTATGCGTGGCTACATAGGCTCCTAATATGACGCAAATTTCACAAAGCTTTTCTAAGGTCAATTTATTCTGTTCAAGATATGTACACTGCAACCAGGAGACTGTATCTTTTTACAAGGAATCTGGGGACCATTTGTTGAATTGAAGGCGTCAAACTCTGGCAAATGCCCAAACCGTCGACAAAAAGGTTAGATCCAGAGCCGAGTTTGAATTGCATTTCAAATATATATATATATATAAATTTATAGTTATTCTTGTCACTAGTATCAGAGTATCAATAAACTATTTACATCTTGCTAACCTCAAAGTCAACATATGCCATACCGCAAATCCATTCGAGGACAGGCTCATATAGCAACAGTTTAGCCTTCATTCCATCCATAGCACCTGCAACGGCCACATAATTGAGTACCTCGTGGCCACCATGGCCAGCTTCCTCTTCAACCTCTTCATACGTCAGGTTCTTCAGCCACTCAGAGTCCCCGTCACAATAGTGCTTGAGAAACTTCTTATCCCACTCAGCGTTGATGAGCGGATGCTTTGAGTTGAGCGGATATTCGTTCTTCTTGGCCATTTCAATCTCATATTCATCCAATTCAACAAACAGGTTTGGGTACTTTTTCAATACCGAGTGGCCGTATGTTTGATATTCTTTCATCTTCATAAGGAAAGGGTCGGTAGGCGGATCGCCGGCCTGATTGGGGTTCCAGTAGGGCGGCCAATGTGATAAGCCTCCAGTGCACATCAACGCGACTCGACAGTCTTCTGGAAGTGTCTCTACGGCGTTTCGAACGGCCTGGCCTAGTGCATATGCTCGGGAGTATTTCATGAGAGGCGGGGTGAAAACGTTGATGTAGATCGGGACGACGCTCACATTGGGCAGGTCTGCTTGCATCAAAACCCAGGGCATGAGCACATTCTGGCCAAACTCTGCCTCGCCAGTCCGCGAGCAGTCAAAGCCATTGTGCACCAGCGACGTGAGAAGCTGTTCGGCTATTGCAGGATTGCCGGGAAAATAATGTTTCTTCGAGACTCGGAGAGCCTCCATGAGCTGGTCCGCGGGGCCACTGTGCGTCTCTGCCACACCGATTGCGATAGTGGGCATGTTCTTGCGGAAGAAATTCTCGAAGTGATCATCGAGAAATGCAAAAATCACATTGGGCTTCGCCTCTGTTAGCGTTTTCCCTAGTTTGCGTGTTGCCTCCTCTGTACGGGCTCGGGCCTCTGGCTGTGCAGTTTCTGGAAAACCAATCGCCCCTGTTACAGACAGTTAGCAGGTACACGCTCATTGAATGGTAGGGGGATATCGATTGTACACACCCGGTGCGTGGGAGAGTCCCACGGCAGCTACAATCTTGCCCATTTTGTAGAGTTCAAGCTAAAGATATACAGATTCTTGAAGAGAAATATCATACAAGTGCCAGTAGCGAATATTAACCTTTACACTCCCATCCCTTTCTTCTTTATATCTGAATTGGGGTGTTTTTTTTTTCAACTGGCAATGTGGAGAGTTGTCCGAGATACACGATAAGCCAAGCGGAGAAGTCCGCGTGTTATACTTTTCTGTGGAACACGGCTTACATACTATACTTTGTAGAATGGCTTTGGAAACCTGGTTTTAGTTTTATTTCTGACATGCAAAATATACCACATCAGCATAATCCTTGCAGATTTAAAATAAATTAAGTCAAACTAGCTGTGTTTTGGCAATATGATACTCGCATTCCAAGGGTCCGCGCGCTTCTTAGCTTCTCGTACTGACTGCACAACTGAGATCGATTCTGCGGCATGCCCAATTCCCATGGTTGACCCAATCATACCAAGGATCTTGACAACCCATTCGTGCAATTCGTCAGACACGCCTATTGCACTTCCAGCAATAATCAGAGGAAACAATAGCACAAAGACTCCATTTAGTGGTGGACTCTCGGCTTGGTCGTTAGCAAGAGAGCCGAATCTGACCCCTAAGAAGCGGGAGTGGTTAGGTACAGAAATACAAATCTCGGTTGCCATGCGAGATATTGTGATCAGGGACGTCTGCTGCTGGGTGATTTGAGAAGTCGTGGGGACTGCAAGCTTCGATATGTACCAGTAAAGTAATTCGTTGACACGAATGCGAGACCAACGGTAGTGGTTTAGCATTCGAGATGCCCATACATTCTGATAGATATGGTACTTTCCTTGGTATACTCCAGAATACTCACTAGATTCCTGGATAACATACGACCAATAATCACTCGAAAGACTGGCTTGCCAGTCTTTCAGTTTTGTGTCGATAATCAGCGCTTGTCGAACAGCTTCTTCGGCATCCACATTGAAAGCAGCTTTTTTCAAGGCGTCGTCAAATCGAACAAAGTGTACGAGAATACTGATGAGGGCAGCCGCATTATTTAGCATTGGCGAGGAGTATTCTGGGGCAGACCATTCAAGAACCTCGTGAGGGATCTCTCCTCCTGAGATGAAATATCTCAAAATGAAGAATGCATAAGATTGCAAATCTGCCATATTATGAGGAGTCCCCGGCATACGATTACTGTTCAGGCGCCGAAAGAGGGCGAGGACGCCATTGGCGTGAATATTCCATGAATTGATGTGGCCCGAGTCATTTCTAACGAGCTGGTCCTTTATCAGCTCTGAAATCTAGACGAATGGATATATGGAGATTTGAGTTCTTAAATATAGAGACAAAAGATACGCACCTCAAAAAGCGTGAGCATAGCTGCTAGCTTTAGCGTATCGTCCAAGTCTGCTTTTGCCGGCTCCTCGAGAGCTTTTCTGACATGCATGATGCCATTGACATATTTCTGCAACGCAAGTCTAAGACACGCTTTGTCACCAGTAACATTCGATAAGGCTGCTAGCCCAACAGATATGAGGGCATCTCGAGATGGCTCTGTAGAAATCAAACTCCTTATGAAAGGGTGGATTGTGCCATCGATCGACGATTGGCCAGCCAATGACCATTGAGTCACCGTGGTGAAACGGTTGAGAAAGAAGCTCAGTCCACCTTCTTCGATTGACATGGAAGGACCAGCAGTAACTCTGAGAATATATTGATCTTGCTTAACCCTATTCCGATGAATCTCCGCTTGTCGCGACCTGTCTTTCGCCGTCGCTGAGCGGTGTTTGGTCCTCGCGTTTTCGTCGCGGAATAAAAGCGATAGCTGGTCACGATAGCCAGCACACTTCATGCCTGCCCGCTTGCATTGTGTGCAAGCTGGCACTCGAAGATCACACTAGGGCCCGATTAGTTTGCAACGGTTCCCCTTTCCTGATTCTGAGGACGCACTTTGATTCGCCGCTGCCGGCAACCATGGCAGCTTTTGCTCGGACGAGCGCAGTAAACCATTGTCTCGATTCGGGGTGCAACTCGCGAGGAGGTAGTTGTTCTTCCGCCCCCCCTGGTTGAGAATCAGAAAAGTATCAGAAATGGGAAGCGCCGCCTCAAGTTGACGATAGAAAGCGCTGCTGGTTGGCTGCTTCTCTTTAAAGCGGGACGGACGGTCACGGACCGCTACCACTGCACTATTCCTAATGGGGTAACCAAGTCGTCGTCCGCATCTGATTGGTCACTTTCAAAGACTTCTTGGAGAGAAGCCCTAAACTCATTCTTCACTTTTGACTTCTCGTATAAGTGTACGTTTAGGCCACTGCTTAGCCAATAGGATATGTTGTTGATGAAATTGACACCTACCTCAAGGCGATTTGCAGGCCGCATTTAGCAGTTCTCGTACAAGGGAGTGTTGAAAGTTGGGACTATAATGGACGGTGTGCTTCACGCGTCAGTATAAATCAAGGCTTTCCCTGTTCCAACGCTTCCACGTTTTCAATGCCTCGGTTTCTACCTAGATAGCTATCTACTCAATCATCATGCAGCAAAGTCTCTCCTACTACGACTACAACCCATCCTTAGCTGCAGCCGCGATTTTTACCGTGCTGTATGCAATACTCTTTCTATTGACCACGGCATTATGGCTCAAACATAGAGCTTGGGTGTGCACAATCATGGTGGTGGCTGCAGCGAGTATGTTTAAGAACACAGCACTCAATCGTGTGATATCGCATGCTAACAACTGCGTTTTTCTTTTTCTCAGTGGAAATGGTTGGATACTTGAGCAGAACACTCTCTACTCTAAACGTCGACAACCGAACACTTTATGTCCTGCAAGTATCTCTTACCGTACTTGCACCCGTTCTGATCGCGGGGTTTTGCTACATCCTATTTGGACGGATCATCTTTCTCGTCGTGCCGAGAGAGTTGAGGACTCTGAGGTTGATTTGGGTGCCTCCTCGATTTGTGACACCCATATTTGTCTTCTTTGACATTGTAGCTCTTCTTTTACAGCTGTCGGGAGCGGTCATTATCTCTTCAATCCAGGCTACAGACCCCGATTTTCAGGAAAAGATCCACCATGGTAAAACACTCGCGGAGGCTGGTGTGGGTGTGCAACTGGCAGCGTTTGGGCTCTTTTCAGTCATCGCAGTCAGGTTTAATTTTACGTCCAAAAGATTCGAAAAGTCAACCCACGAACAATTCCCTGAAGATGATAATGACCGGTCGTTGCAAATGGATACTGTTCCCAAGCTGAAAGACTGGCCAGCAATTTTGCGAGTCGTGAATATAGTGTCTGGCTTGATTTTAGTGAGTCGCTTCTTTTACTCCATATCTTCTAAGTGCTAATCACATTATCAGATTCGTACTATCTACCGCATGATTCAATTTAGCCAAGTTCCTTCCGGATACCTAAGTGAGAACGAGTGGTGCCAGTACATTTTTGACGCGCTTGTCATTCTGCCATCCTTTATCCTATTTATCTGGTGGCATCCTGCCAAGTATCTTCCTTACCTCGGTTTCCGTCTGCCAAAACACGCTCGATGATTTCTTCTGTATCATAGCCCTAGAATCGAATGTCGCTAGACCCTGAAGTTAGAAGCTTGCCTAGTACTCATTGCCGTGTTCCAGGCTTCGTGCCTATCGTAGATATTTACATTATCCTTTCAACATATTCTTTAAGTAACGGAGACTAGAAATAATACTATTTCACGGGATAATCTGTGTTAGTTACCTACTGCTTTCATTTGACTCATGGTCACATCGACTATGATCTGATTGGGCTACTAGAAAGTGATGCCTTAGGCTCCGATAAGGCAGCTAGTTATGTACTTATCGGCAACTCTCCCGTCTGTGTTGTTCCGTCCTTACAACTAACTACTTACCATTATATCGAATGCCTACCAGCCCTGGGTGATACTTTAAAGGCTTGTTATGGATGAAGAAGAGGGCCGGTCGACGGCCCAAACTCAAGTCTTGCGGAATCTGATCCCGACCTGTCAGCGTTGCCAACGTCAACGACGAAAATGCGATCCCCAGTTGCCTGCTTGCCGACTCTGCCAAAAAGCAAAGGTCGAATGCATGATCTTTGACCATGCGATGCAAGAAGCCCGTCCGCGAGCGTTAGTTTGGCCCTGAACTATGCCTGTAGTTTGCTCTTTCCCAGCTAATTTGGAAAAGCTATGTACAAGCCTTGCTCACTCGGCTGGAGCAACTTCGGGCAGTTAAAGCTCGTATATCAGGTTCGCCTGGTAATTCTGTATTAGATGACTCTCATATTTCTGACCAGTCTCCGGAATCTGTACGGATACTTGATTCCCAAACTACCGTGGAAGCGCAGAAACAAGAGAATGCGAGTCTCTTCTCGTTCGATATCAATCTAATACTCTCATTGAGAAGTGGTCAAACAACGCGATACTTTGGCGCTAGCTCTGTGTTTTGTTTGACCATTCATCTTTTGAACTGTGCCTACGTCAAGGGACTCATTGAACTTCCGATAACACCAACGAATACTATAGTTTCTCGCCCCTTCAGTGTAAACGTCGAGCATCCGGTTGTGAAAAAGCCTCAGGAAAACGAGCGCCTCGCATATCTTATCAGGCATTTCCTGGCTTCCATGAATACATTATACGGATTCATTGACCCGTCGACGACTGACACAGACTTGCAGACTTATCTGCAATTGACCTGCAATGACTCCTTTACCCCACAGAGCCTAGACGCCCGTCAAACACACCAGTACTTTCGTATAAATATGATATGCGCCATTGCATGTGCAAATAAAGCTAGACACGAGCCAATTGAGCAGGCTAACAGCATGGCTTTTTACACTGCCGCTCTCACATGCGTGGAGGACGTCACATCCGAAGTATCGCCGGAATCTTTGCAGGCTTTGCTTCTACTCATAGTATTTTGTCTTTTCTATCCGCGAAAGGGTGATTTGTGGAAGTTGTTGGATTATGCTTGTCGTCTAAGCATTGAACTTGGCTTCCACACGGAGCTTGATATGGAAAGCGAGAACGAGGATCAGAAGAACTTCAGGCGTTCGACGTTCTGGGGCTTGTATGCCATAGAAAGAATCGTTGGCCAATTATTAGGAAGAGGCTCCGACTTACCAGAAGCCATTATCACTGCACAATATCCGAGTCCGAGACCATCACAGTCTTTGGACGAGTTTGAAACTTCGCAAGCGGTTGCCATTTCTCACCACTATAGACTCGTCTATATACGGTCGAAAATATACCGTGACTTGTATCTATCGACCGACATGCCTATATTTCCCGTTGATTGGTATCGGGAACAATTCAGTGGACTTCTCGCTTGGAGACGTGACTTAGATGTCGAAGACAGTTTGCCTGGTGTTTCAACAATAACATGTGACGTTGGGTATTATTCTACTATTTGTTTTCTCTTCCAACCGGTGATGCTGTCATTGTTGGAAAGCCTCAAGCAAGACACAATTAGCAGCAATGGCCCAGCATGTCGATTGCAGTGGATTCCGCAGGACAACTACTACGCTGCTTGTGAACTAATCCTTGCCTACGAGCGAGTTATTCGTTCTCCGCATGATTCCGCCTTGAGTGTCTACCCCATGACATTTCTCTCTGCACACTACATCTACCTTGCCGGTCTTACTTTGATGGCCCATTGTCTTATAGCCCTAGAGAGAAGCGTCCCGGTGATGTCGCCGTTCTCCGACCCACAAGGAGGAAACGAGACCTCGAAGATTGACTTTAGCCGCATTTCTGAGATATCGGCCTCCTGTCTAATTTTGCTCACATGGTGTTCAGACCGCTGGCCCGAAATGGTCTCCATGCTGAACGTGTACAAGCGGCTATCAGATCGTTTAGTTCCGGCGCTCATCCGCAGTGGAGTATGTTGATATCTGCAAGCATGCGGCAATCTCCGCGCCAACCTCTGCCGAAGAAGTATATCCAAACGATTTGATTCATACTTATTGCCCAGCATTCCAATTACAGAAACTACTCAGAAAACGAAACGGCTCGTGAGATTTTGTTATTGGTGTCGAGATACTGCGACGTGAATCTAATCTTCAATATGGGTTTCTCGGATAGGAAGATTGCCGTCATTGGTGGAGGCTTAGGTGGCATGGCATTTATGAACTCAGCAAGGCATGCGGGGCTTCAGAATGTGCACCTTTACGAAGCTGCGCCTGAGTTTACTGAGGTTGGTGCTGGTGTCAATATCACTAGAAACGCAAATCGCGTACTCGATGCGTTTGGTCTGAAGGACGATGTGCTATGGAAGTCGTCAAGGAATCCTCCATCCTACATGGAATATTATCACTACCGAACTGGTGAATACCTTGGCCAAATCGATGAATTTGGCGAACCAAGATCACGCCAGATCCACCGTGCACATCTTCTTGAAGCACTGCGAAAGAACGTGTCAAATGATCTCCTCTCGACAAAAAAGCGGCTAACGGCCATTGAATGGGACGAAGGAGTCGCGCAGTATGTCTTGAAATTTCAAGATGGGAGCTCCGATACAGCCGATATTGTCATCGGCTGCGATGGGATCAAGTCTGTCGTACGGAAACATTTGGGTCTGGATGACCATCCGGTATACTCGGGTCAAATGGTCTACCGTGGCTACGTAGCGTATGACGATCTTTCGCCTGAAACATCTGCTCTTTTGAGAAAGACCGTCAACTTCCGTGGGCCTCGAAAGCACGTACTGACGTTACCTATTGGCAATGATGAATCTCAGACTGCGCGGATTGGGATTATTGCATTTATGACGGAGCCTCTTGAGGGGTGGACATCAGAGAGTTGGCTAGATAAAGCCCCTATCGACGATCTATATGAGCATGTCAAGGACTGGACCGGAGCTGTTCAGGAGATTATTGCTGGATTGCGGAATGGGCATCCTGATGGGCGGATTTTGAAACAGACACTCTACGTACGAGAACCTACTGATAAATGGTTTACGACCGAGTCCAGCTCGCCATCTAGCGGCATTATTCTCATTGGAGATTCAGTACACTCTACTTTACCCCATCAAGGTATGTACTTCTTACTGTAACTTGCTTTTAAGTACCACTGTCTTCCGCTAACACATTATTCAGGCCAAGGCGCTTGCATGGCTATCGAATCTGGCTTTGCTTTAGCTCAAGTGCTCCAGCAATGGAAATCAACTAATCTCGGAGATGCACTTCAATTCTTCCAAGATCTTCGTAAACCACGCACTGATAGAATCACCAAGACGAGTTATGAGACTGGCAAAATGGCTAGCTGCGATATCCCCGAGGAGAAGTGGCCTGAGATTTTCAATTATTCTGCAATGCGGGAACGTATGCGATGGGTGATGGAATATGATCTTTTCCAGGATATTTCCAACAAACACGAAGCGCTATATAGACCCAATATTACTCTCCAAGCAGAGACAGATTCTACGGCACAGAAGGTCGTGGTTTAAGCTGAGATTGAGGTTTGGGTATGGTTTGTACCTAGTTGGTTTTGGTTGCAAATCTGTTTAGCTGTTTATCTATCTATCAAGCCTTCCAAGTGCTTAAACATTGTTGAACATAGCCGATTCACATTTCATTTGGGGCTATTTAAGAAGTACGAGTAATATATGTAGTTGAATGATTGTTTCATGATATATACCTAGGTATATCGTGGATCGAAAGGTGGAATAAAAAAGTAGAATTTCAAGATTGACTACCTAGTACGTAGGTACGTAGGTATGGCAACTTCTCCAAAATAAATACATTTTCACTTAGTACTCCTGATCATCCGACTTTAAACATGGATTGATCAAATGCAAATCTAAATCTTTGCTTCAGTCGATTTCCGTACAAGCTCATCGTACCTCAGATAAGCACCAAGAAGAACCTGAGCGCCAGCGGCACAACTATGGGAGAGGTCAATACTTTCTTCTCCAGCAGTGACGTATAGGATAACTTACTCTTCTGGTCTTGAATATTCAGTCGGATTGTGACTGACACCATCGCGACACCTCACAAAGATCATAGCAGTGGGCACCTTGCGACTGGTATAAACACTATCGTGTCCAGCTCCGCTGACCAATTCTTTACCGTTGCAACTAATGGAGCTGCACGAGTCTCTTACGCACTGGACCATGGTAGGGTCGAAGTTGAGTGCCGGAGAAACCCAGAAGTTGTCAAATTCCATTTTCAGGCCATGCTCATCGCAGACCTCCTGGAAGCGTTTCTTGCACAGGGATTCAATCAGCTCCACGTCGGAATCTGCGGGAGCTCGAATATCGAGGCCAAGCCTAACATTGCCTGCGATTGTATTGATACTCTGAGGCATGGAATTGATAACAGCAATAGTTGCGCGACCTCCGCGTTCAAATAATTCACCCTCGGTCACGATCTGATTGGTAGCAACAATCATCTTTGCGGCTCCAAGGAGAGCGTCACTTCGGCTTTCCATGGGAGTAGTACCGGTATGTGCCTCTCGGCCGGTGACTTGCACATTGTACCATCGAATGCTCTGCACGCCTTTCACTACTGCGGCTGCCTGCTCTGCTTTGTCTAGAATGGGCCCTTGTTCGATATGAACCTCGAAATGGGCGAGAAGCGGATTGGCAGCGTATGAGCATGGCGTTGTTCCAAGGTATCCAATTCGTTGGAGTTCTTCTTTCAGCGTCGTATGGCCTTCGAGCTCGGCCCTTGCATGGGCCCATGGAACAGTGAAAGCACCTCCCCAGACTCCAGAACACAGCATTGCAGGTGGGAAGCGAGCACCCTCTTCATTTGTCCAGTTCACCACCGCCACGGGAGCATACGAGGTAATCTGATGCTGGTGAAGGACCTTGAGAACCTCGATTCCGGATATAACCCCCAATATTCCGTCGTATTTCCCGCCAGTTGGTTGAGTATCCAGATGAGAACCTAGTCCGATAGGAGGCAGGCTGTTGTTCTGTCCAGGTCGAATGGCGAATATATTTCCCATTTCGTCGACCTTGTGGTGACAGCCATATTTTGCGGTCTCTTCGATAAACCAATCTCTGACCTTCTTATCGTCGTTGTTTAGGGAGAGGCGGTTCATGCCCCCGTCCGGTGTGCTGTTGATTTCGAGGTCTATTCAGCCATAGTTTCTTTCCTTCGCTTTTCGCAAAGAATAAGTGTCACAACTCACCTTCCCCAGCCACAAGCAGCATCCAAGGTGCTCATCAAGCGTACGGCGTTGACTGCGAGCCCCGCATATTTCGGTGATAACCCGGAAGAGCTCGACTCTTCCAGCACTATAGATTGGGAGGCCATTGTGGTTGACGTCGTGATGTCAGAATGGATATCCACGGTCAAGCTCCTATGGATTCTCTCTTTCAGCTCAACAGCAGTGGTTGTTGTTGTTTTTATCTATCGCTCTTCTTTCTGCCTAAGGCTGTAGTTCATTCTGGGCGATAACGATAAGGCTGCCTGCGGACATCGCCGCACTTCATCTGCGATTCTTCCCTTCCTGCTTCTCACTACGCTTCACCGAACTTTCCTTGCTCCGTGATCTCTGGTTACTTAAAATCGAGACGCTTTGTGGGTACCATGCTAGCAGGCAATGGGGGAGAAGCAGTGCCAACGGAGCATCCTATCCTGCGCTCGCTGTCGGCGCCGGAAAATCAAGGTCGGTAGGCTGTCCGCTCTCGAGACTTTTTTTTTTTGAGCCACATTAACATTCGTACAACTCCCTAGTGTGATCGAGGAATACCCTCCTGCTCCCAATGCCTCAAAGCTAAGGCTGAATGTGCGGGCTCCAACCCCCGCGGCGGTGAAGCCAAAGTGCCCCGGAGTATCGTCCACTTTCTGGAAGACGAGATTGCAGCATTAGAAACGGAATTGTCCCAAAAAGAGGGCTTGGATGCATTGAATGCCTCCGATACTCTACTTGGGTTGCGTCAGCATGCTCATGGCTTCGTCGTTGATAGAATGAGTCATCACGAGGATGACCATACTAGTACTTCACCATCGCCGCCGCCTGATCCAGTGCACCGGGCGATTCTGGCAAGTGAAGATATTCAGATGATGATTGCGGCTGTTTCGCCCCTTGAATCCGATCTCACAGACTTGGTATCGCGTGTGCGTATGGGATTGACTCCATCCTCTGCTAAAGCCTCCGCGACTCCAACAGAGATCAGGAGAAGCGCAATTAGTCCGCGTGCATGTAGATCTACACTGGACACCAAGGTTTTAAAGAGCCTACCTACTCATCTGGCTCAAAGCCTGATCGATAAATTTATCCATCACCTACTGCCGCAGTATCCGTTTCTTCAGCCACACACAATACGGGATCAACTAAGTCGTGTCCTCAAATTTGTGCAATGTGCTGATACGACATCACCAATCGGCTCCGCGGAGCTTCTCCAAGTCTCTAGTTATGATTGTCTAACTATATACTTGATCATGGCCATCACCGTGACGCTAGGGAGTTCTAAAGGCGGCCATGAAAGCCGTTGTTTTGCGTTTTCCAATGCGTTGTATGAAGAGGGAATCCAGCACTGGCCAAGCAGGTCTTCTATTCCGTCAGATCTAGCTGAAGTGCAACTCACTCTTCTAATCCTACTCTTTGCATCCATCAACCCGCGAGCCGCGAATGTGTGGGTGTTGTGCGGTACCGCTATGAGGCTGTGCTTTCAGCTGGGACTTCATAGAGAAGCTTCTGAAATGAAGTGGAGTCTTGACTCGGAAACGCTTGATTTACGCCGTCGTATATTTTGGTCTGCATATTGCTTGGACCGGTCAATCTGTAGCGTTTTGCATCGACCTCTATCAATTCCGGATGCGGCTATAGACGCCCCATTTCCTTCCCTGCAAGAACAGTCCGTGGTAGCAGGAATGTCAGGGGCTTACATACAGTGGTCTAAACTGCATCGTTTACAGTCTGAACTCATTGGTGTCCATTTTCAAGCTGCCGCATTACCTGATAGTATGTCATGGGACGACTGGCTGGGCTACATGGAGGAGAAAGGCCGCACTTTGAATAAGCACTGGCAAGTCACAATTGAAGGCGTTGATGAGATGAAAGACTTCTCATTCTGCCGATTTATTTTCACGCTCCACCGTCCGTCGCCTCGCATGTCGCTTCCCTCGCAGAGCAGCTTACTCACCTGCTTTGAGGCTGCAACCCAATGGGCTCAATTAGCCAAGGAGCATTTTGAGCGTGGCTACTTTCGCCGACCATGGTTTGCGGCACATCACAATTTCGAGGCAGCTATGGTTGTATTGTTTTCTCTTCGCCATTCTGGTACTGCTATTCGCCAAAAGTTTGGTGCCCAGCACGTATTTGAGAGGACAAAGCTTCTCACTTCTAATTTCCTGATTATTGCATCCCAGGGCTGGACGGAGGTGGCAGCTTGCGCCGGAATCTACGAACGACTTCTTGGTCCTCTACTGGAATCTGTGTTCTCCCCTGATTGCATACTTCATTTCAGCGCTAGTCAAGACGCGGAACTTACTCGTTTTCTGTATCACGGTTCAGCGCAACTGCAACCAGCTAGGTTCGACATGGACTCAGATTTCATAAGTCTGCCTGATAATCCATTTGAATTGCTCACAAGCAATCATGCTGGAAGAAGTCGGACGAATGGCTCTTTTGATGCAGCTAGTTACCCTGGATGGAACTTGCTTGACCACTGGTTCGTGGAGGAAAGCTTGAATGATATTCATTAATTAATTCGAGTTTTTGGGTTTTTCTTTTTTTTTTTTTGCATTTTGCATTTTTACCTGCAAAGAAAAGCTCATTTGCAGAGAAAAGAGAGCGTACTAGCTATGCTAATGTTTTCACAACGTTAACAGGTTTTTCTTCGAGAAACCCTTGAAGATTTTCAACTAGTACTCTCTGATAGTTTTCAATCGTTGATTGGGCTAGCCACGCCAGATGTGGCGAGACTGTGAGATTCGTCTCTCTCATATCAGCGTGCAGCAACGGACTGCTTGCCGACGATGCTGGCTCTTTTGCAAAGACATCCGTTGCTGCTCCTCCAATGGATCCTTGCTTAAGAGCTTCTGCAAGTGCAGTTTCATCTACAACGCCTCCTCGGGATACATTGATGAGCAGAGCTTGCTCGCCCATTAACTTTAGCTCCTCGGTGGATATCAGGTTTTCGGTCGACGGTGTAAGCGGCACACAGAGAACAACGGCAGTCGAGGTTCGAAGAACTTCTTGGAAAGAGACGCGATCAGTACTTTGCGACGGTGGATTTTTGCGATCTGAAACCTGCACTCTCATACCAAGCGCTTGGCACATGTTTGCGAGTCGTTTCCCTAGATTGACATTGTTCATGAGATTTTTGTTCGCAACTAGTATAAAAATCTTAACGAGGAGCAAGCACTACCAACAACACCATATCCAACAATACCAACAACCTCCTCTATCATTGAAATGGGAAACTGGTTACTTTTTCGATCTCTGAGTAAATTCATTAATGTCCCCTTGCGTTCCCATTGACTCCGTTCGTGCCCATCTTCATCCAATCCCATGGTAGCAACATGCATAGGAATGATCATTCGTCTCGCTGCAAGAAGCAGTGTCAATGCATGCTGCGCGACGGACTCTGTATTTGCCCCTGGAGAGTTCATCACCACGATTCCACGCTGCTGGCATGCCACTAGGTCGATGTTATTGGTGCCAGAGGCCACCACAGCGATGGCCCGCAAATGCGGCGAGACGGCCACGTCCAACGCATCTGCGCGAATTGGCAATGTCGTTACAATAAGGACTGTGGCTTGTGCAATACGCTCGTTGATTTCCGATGCAGCTGTTCGGTCATAGGTGTGCAGAGTGTAAGGGCATGGAAGAGACGTGAGAGACGGAATTGGGCAGAAGAATGTTTCCAGCGCGACAATTGTCTGGTGGATTGCCATTTTCTGTGTTGATTCGTTTCTTCGATATTTTTCTTTTCTTTTTCTCATATGAACACCCACTCGGTTAGTTTTGGAGCTTTTGCTTATTTTACAGGCCATTCCATTAATATCGTGATAAGTCGGACATGTCTCCGAACGCCATCGACGGAGAACAGCGACGCCCAGAAACGAGCTTATCTTGCGGGTGAACTCGAGCCTTTTTTTTTTTTTTTTTGGCTTTTATGATTATGACTAGTTTGTAAACTACCAAGATAGCGAATTCCCAGATAAAACAGCTCCTTCATGACTGGTTCTGTATATTTTGGTCCTATCTGTTCAGCAAGTATCCGTAGAATAATAACATAGCCTAACACCTGCCCACTTCATATAACCTTAACTGTCACGGTATACGCACGATATACTACACACCTTTGTTGCTGCCGGGTGCACCTGGCAAAAATCTATAATATGAGCTCGACAGTGACACAGGAGGCCGTTCAGCATGCCTCCGGAGACCCAGAATTAGCCTTCATTCACGACGAAACGAGTGCCCCGCCAAAGTTCAGAGATCCACTTGAGGAGCGTGCATATCTCAAACATCGACTGGTGCTCGCCTTCCGCGTCTTTGCTCAGTTCGGATTCTGTGAAGGCGTTGCCGGTCATATCACTGTGCGAGACCCCGTGGACCCGACTAGCTTCTGGGTGAATCCCTTTGGGAAGCATTTCAGTCTCATCAGGGATGAAGACCTCATCCGTGTCGACCATTCGGGAAAAGTAGTCGAAGGCGGCAAGAATCGGAGACTGAATTACGCTGCCTATGCGATTCACTCTGAAATTCATTCGGCGCGCCCTGATGTGCTTTGCGCAGCCCATTCTCACAGTGTGTACGGGCGTGCCTTTTGTGCTACGGGCAGGACATTGGATATGTTGACGCAAGACTCTTGCGTGTTCCACAATGACCATATCTTGTACTCCAATTTCGCCGGTGTGGTGCTCGCGTCGGAGGAGGGAAAGGCAATTGCAAAACAACTGGGACCAAAGAAGGCGGCACTGCTTGGTAACCATGGTCTATTGACAGTTGGTCCGTCAATTGAGGCGGTTGTTGCCTGGTTTGTGCTGCTGGATAAATGCTGCCAGGTTCAACTGGCCGCTGATGCGAGCAGTAATGGGTCAGGGAAGCCGTTGGTAAAGATTGGAGAGGTCGAAGCTGCTTCGACCTGGCAGGCCCTTGGTCATCCAGCTGGTGGTTATTTCATGGGGCTGCCCCTTTTTCAAGTTGCTGAACGAGAGTTTGGAGAGTCAACATTCTTGGGAAGAGGTTTAGAGCCAGATGAGTAGTATTATTCAAAGAAAACGGTTTATGTTATTGGGTTTATTCTCTTTTTTCTCAAGTAGATTCTTCTGAACAGGTATGCAAGTATTCCAAGTATATCTATACGTCACCACTCTGGAACCCTTCTTGTCCATTCAAAGCAACAGCTCTTCCAATAGCATCTGCCAGCGTGTCCAGGTCTGAAGATTGCATGTTAATGTCTTGGTTATCGTTCGATTCATATAGCGTCCCTCCTTCTGTCCAAATCCGCCGCAGAGTAAAAATTGAAGCCATGGGGTCCCCAGCTTCCCATGCAATATTTTCCAGGGTCTTCAAATCCGCAAGAGATGTGTACTCAACTGACCACTTGCTATCGGTCTGGCGCTCATATTCTGCCAGTATCTCATGAGGCGTGGTGGTGAATGAGCATACCCTCAGGGCTCTATTACGAGATACTGTTGGATTTCGAAGCGCTGCCACCAATAGCTTTCCAACGCTATATGTTTGTCTGATTAGTGACTGTACAGAGACTTCCAAAGTGATGCCGCAACAGAGTACTTACTCTTTCATTGTTGTAAAGCTGACCTGCTCATCTCCTGATCCCAGCAATGTAGCCTTCTTCTCCACAACATCAAAAGATCCAGCATGGGGATTCTGGCTCAGTTTTCCAATGTAGAGGTCGATATAAGGCCCCGTAACCAAGTAGGTAAACTCAGTCCGTCGAATTGAAGTCCTGATAAACTCTCTTACTTGCAATTTTCCCTGATGTGGCTTTTCAAAGGCTGACTGTGGCCCATACTCAATATCGGTTCCATACTCTGAGGGGAAAAATCGTGTGATATTGGGGCTTGACTCTTCTGCCCAGCGGAGTAGATCAATTTGGGCTTTGATCATATTTCGACCGACGCAGCTTATGACTGTGTCGAACCCTGCATATTCAATTAGCATTATATTTCTCTTGGGCCCATGCATATATGGGTAGATGGGTGGCTAAGCGATGGCTACGAATGAGCATTATGTACCTACCTGCATAAGCACGCAACACATGCTCCTCGTTCGTAAGATCGCCGCCAATCACCTCCACCCCCTTCTCTCTGAGCCACTGAATCTCTTCAACTTTTTTCTGCAAGGTTGATGGCGATGTAAAAATCGCTAGACGATCGAACCGGGAGCTCTCTTCAATAAGCGCTCTGATGACGTATTGCCCTATGACACCGGTTGCTCCAAATACGAGCACCGACTTCAGTTCGGTTGTCATTGTGTGACTCGCGCTTAGTGTCGTGCTTGCAGTCTCTTACATGGAGACGGTCAAGTGCTTGTATAAAAGATGTTGGTTTATAAGCTGGAGATTTGTCATCTGGTGGATGCGGGGAACTCCGACGAGATGCGATAACGAGTATGGCTGCCTCAGTGAGGTATTTTTTTGCAATGGGATTATTCTCAGACTTGATGACTATAATATATGTGATTTCGTTAATTCTATTATCGAGCAAAGAACGTAAATTGTTGCAGATTTTTCCATTCTGGAGTGATTCGGGTTAGGTCTAGGGTTACATGAGGGGAAACCCTAAGGGGCCTTCTTCATTGCTGCCAATAACTACCCTTAAATCCTAAGTCTACGGGGTTTAATTCTAACGTAGAGCGATATGTAGAGGGTTTTTGAGTAGCCCTTGGTTATTGGTATTAAATGATGAAAATAATCCTTTATTCTTGCAAAGGAGTCTATTGATCGGTGGTGGTGTTTTTTTCAACTTCCATTAGACCGTGGACGAGTCCTGACTCGTCCAATGCAGGTGGCGTGAACTTTTGGATCTATAACCATGTCTCGTTGACCTTCATTCGCCTTGGACATGTACACAAGATGCTTCTCGACGGATAGCGAGTATATCAATGGATGACCTCGTTTGGCTGATAAGCAATAATAGTCTCGGTGAATAACTCATCGTCTGATTCTAAAGCAATTCGTCCTGCACACAGATTATGACCTAGTGATGGCTGCTTGTTTCTTTCGTTCGCGCCAGCTATCGTTCACACCTTTCGCGATCGGTTCACCACATATTCCACGAAAACACTTAGGTCCTCGGATATCTCAAGCACATTATTGAGCTTTTTGTAAAGTTTCAACATCTCAGGGGTCGCTTCGCTATCCGGCTGATCTTTATCGGCAGTCCCCTCTCCCAAGCCAGTCACTTGAGTGACATTCACGTAGCCGTTTGGTTTAATCTCGAAACTGATGAAAATTCTCTGTAACTTCAGATCTGGAGTCATTGCTTGGCCGTTCGCTTTCGTCTCGGGGAAAGTGATGAATAGCATGACTAATGGTGCCTGTCCAACTTGTGTCCGCAAAGTTATATCAACCCTGACATCTGTGTCCAAGAAGTCTCTATGAATCCTTGCTTGGCTAAATTTGCTACCAGTACTCGGGTCACTCTGACAAGCCATAGCGCTGGAAATGTTCTTGCTACCCAGAAGACCGTTCAGGAACTCTTCGTTCACATCGCCATTGCTTAACTCGCTGACTTCACCACGCATAAATGGCGGCTCCGCAGATATAGACATCGTCTCTGAGGTTTTAGACGAAGATTTAGAACCATTCGTTATGCCGGCAATATATTCTTTGCGAGGAAATATCGTCTTTATCAAGGTTTCCAACAGACTATACTGTCGGAGTATCTAAATGTACTCATTAGCAAGCTCTCAACTCGAGGGACAAAGTAAAAAATAACTTACTGGAAAGATATCGGCTAGTTGCCGTGGATGGGAGAATGGAAAATCACGGATGATTCTACCGGGGGCAGCTTCAAATGCCTGGAAGGAATAGCTATGGTTTTTCTGGACAGGCTCATTTGCGCCATTGAATATCACGACAGCTTTCCTTCGCCGTCTTTCAGGGGACTCTAATGACTCGGAAGACATGGAATCGTCGCCATCCATGCTGCTACTTGTCCACCCAGGAACCAGCAAGTCATCATAGGTGAGTGTTCTATAATCTGGCGGAAGTGTCAATCCAAGATGTCGATATATATCATTTGCTACCAACAGTGGAACATGGACATGCGGTTCCAATTTCGCCACGAAACGCCGATTCGGTGTGCCAGAGCCAACCATGCTAGTGTCAATGCTATCTGTGGACGATTGCAGTGTAGGTGGTGGCTCCGACCAGTTGATTACTATAGCCGCTTTAGATGAGTTCGAATTTTCATTAGAAGATGCGTTTGCATCAACAGGAGTTAGGATTTGCGGCTCAACCCAGTCTTTCGAGATTCTCAATGAAGGAAATCCTTCTTCGCATTCAATTGTAACGCTTCGTAATTTATCTTGCGCACCGTCTGCGTTCTCTCCAGAAGAGTCGATTGTCATGACATCATCTGCAGACTTCTTGGTCTTTTTCGCATATAGAAGCCGATGGTTTTCAACCCAGTACTCAAGCCCCATACCAACGCGGCCTCTCTTATGCAGACTTGGTCTGCCAATAGATCCCAAGCATAGATGATCGCAGGCACCGCGATAAATACCGCGTTGACTTTCGGCATCCCAAACTTTCTGCAAGCACTGAAACAGGCTTTCCACGGCCTCAAAGCAGTTAACCTCTTGACTCAACTTGTCAAGCTTGGCGAGTCTTTCGAGATTGCCCTGAAACCCTTTAAGGCTTTTCCATGCTCTGTCCTCTCGTTCCTTAGAAGTTTGTATAAGATCGCCCTTAAGAACAGCCGTAGCTTCCTCTCGCCTTTCGCCTTCACCCTCGCCTTCAAGCGAAGCGTAACTCAGGCTGACATCTTTGACATTATCTTCGCCTGGGTAGAACTCAATTTCCAAATCGACAAAATTTCCAGCAATGCTTAAGCTATCTTCTTGCCATATAGATTCAAACCCTTCGAGCCTGCCCAGTCTCTCCACCGCCTCTCTGCTCACGCCTCGGCCCGCCACTCGGCTACGAAGCAGCTCGACGACCTCTTCGATACGTTTCCGTCGCTCCTCCTCGTGATTGCGAGAACCTCCCAAGCCCAAGGTGAGTGCGCGAAGGTCGCTGTCGTTCATACCAGAGCCCACTAAGCCATCGTGAACATTCAAAGCCGGGCTCATGCCTGTGAAACCACCGAGAGCGAGTAGAGCGGAGGGTGAACTAAGGGCAACGGGGTCGTCTAGCCCTGCGGTTGCTGTGAGAGGTGTGGCACCCTGGTATGAGGAGGCACTGGGATGGTGGCCATGGCCAGTGCCCGAAGCCGAGGGGGTCCTAATTGAAGGAGACTTGTGAGATAGACCGCGGCCCATGGGAACTGCAGAGGGATGCGGAGACGAAGTCAAATGGGTGGGAGTTGCCCCTGGGTTCGGCCTGGACGAGGGAGTAGCCATTTTGTCTTCGTTATCATCGGTATCGCATCAAGCACAATACCTACATGAGGCGTCGCCAGCTGCAGGATGGGCGCATCGAATATGGACGAGTAGAAATCAGATTTCTTTTCGTCTTTAGTGATTAAGCAATCGCTTGCAAGAAAGCGTCGTTGACGCGGGTCCTGCGGAGTCTGAATAATCGCATGTGGAAAGCGCGAAGCTCACTCAAGCATCCATCTTCATTCTGTTGTTTGCCTGGTTTGCATCCAAGCTCCGTTCTCCACCGCGCGTGCTACTTAAAGCACTCTCCCGACTTCACATCACTCGTTTCCTAATACAAAGATTTTATCACCGCTCACTTTATATCATCATGAGTACAATGCTTACGCGAGCTCCGCGTTCTTGGAGCATTCGAGGAATTACTCACACTCGCTTATTGTCAACGCTCGAAGGACATCCCCATATAGTAAGCTCTGCTCCTTGGCCGAAAGCTTGTCCATGCTAACCTGCATCTACCATCCAGTATACCTTTCCTGACAATGCAAGACCAGGAAGCCATATTTTATCCTTGCTTTCATCGGACCCGCCTAATCGGGACCTAGCCATTGGCAGCACATCGAAGCTGCCCCCTACGCCGGAATCGTTTACCCAGAATTCAAATTTTCTCAAGATATTAGATGAAGTGGTCTCTGAGCACGCCACTAAAGACCCTGAAGTCCAATCGCAGGCTCAAGTTATGGTATCCACTGCAGGCGCAAATTTGGGTTCTGGAGGCATATTCTTCGCGCCTCAGCGGAGTCGAAAGCACAGACATGGCTACGGACAGGGCGGAAGCGCTGGTGGCGATTCCGCTGGTGGTGCAAGTGGACAAGGTGGTGCTGGCTCAGGTGGCCGCGGGGGTTGGATTCATGTATCGGACAACCGTCGGCCACCGGAGTATGGGCGGATTGCATGGTGAGATTTGCATTGGTTGAAGAACAAAAAAAAAAAAAAATAAGACTGGTACTAACTTGGCCACTTCGCTAGGCCCGAGGATATTTTCGGCAGTGTAGAAGTTGACAGCGAAGGGAAGTTTGTCGGCAGCAATGGAAATTATCAATCAAGTGGTTCGTATTCAGACTAAGCTGTATGGGATTTGATTTCTTTGTCTAACAAGAACAGGCACGTATCGAATAGTGACTCGCGACGGAATGTGAGTACAGACGAATAATGCATCGTTTTCCAAAGCTAATAAGAGTTGTAGACTCGGACTGAGCCCTTTCTTGAGAGAGAAGCTTGTTGAACGACTGCGCAGAGACCAGTGAGATCATATAACGAGGCGTTCTTCCTCTACTCAAACCCAAGTCGAAACTCACTTCGGCCACCCCCACAGCAAGTTGCCCGAGAACTTGCTCGTTCAAAACGAATTGACGGAGTCATAGTTTGTATGTCTGTCCTCCACTTCCTACCCGTCTAACATGGCCTCACATTACATGATGACAACATCGTTACCCAGCTCACTCAGACACACAAGTTGTGATTGATGTCAAACACGTATTCCAACGTATCTGAATCAAGGCCTTGACGCTATTACATATTGATGAACTTGGCTTTGCATGGTGCTAACTTTCTTGTCATGCAGGTGACCCATTTGACTCGAAGCTTTGTCCCAAGCAACCAGAAGTGTTGCATCTCTCATGATTAAGTAGAGGGTTGTCTTAAACTAGAAATTCGTATATAAATTTCATGTCCGTTACGATAATGACAAGTGGATTGGCAACAATCTCGGACAGTCGGGTATCATAGTTCGGTCTATATATATTTATATATGTACACCTATATCCAAACGCCTAATAAACTAATTTTTAATGCCAATCACGGCCAAATTCCTCGGACTCTGAGCGTAATCAAACACTGGCTCAACCCAGCACTCCTTCACCAGCCCCAAAGCCACATGCTCTCTAAGAAACTGCCAGCGATCAATCACAATCATAGCCTCGACCAACGTAGAACTAAACGCCATCAAAACCCAGACCAAGCTAATATTCTTCTTCGCATACGCGTATTCAGAGACATATCTTTCCAATTCCTCCGTCGACGTTTCATCCATCAACCGACTCATTTTGTCTCTGTGGGCCGGGTCCTTGGATAGTTTTGTCATGGCGGCTTTTGCATACGCGACGAATGAGTGGTAGGCGGTCTTTCTCAGTGATCCGATTACGACGGCGGGTGCTTTTTTCCAGTTGTCTTTTTCGCTGTTGTTGTTGTTGTCATAATCTTGGGCGGTGGGAGAAGAAGCATCGCGCGCCAAGGCTTCAAAGGTCGCCAGCTGCGGTTTCGGTATGATGCCGTGATCAGCGAAGAATCGCTGGAGAACAGCGCGGTAGTAATGGCGTGTGAAGAATGCCTCGGTGTCTTCGCGCGACCAGTTGAATGGGGCCTGGCAGGCCATCATGCGCGCGGTGATATTGAATTTGATTCCTGTGCCGCCGCTGCGATGCGGGTATTGCTCGAAGAGGTTCGACATGGGGAAGCCGTGTGGGTCGTAGCCGTTAGACGTGGTTACCAGTCTTTGGTGCATGTGCCGTAGGACGGGGAGCTTGTAGGTTGCTGGTCCCAGGCGTTCGGTGAGCAGGTTGTAGCAGCATCCGATCATGGCTATTGCGACGACGGATGGGTTGAGGACGAGAGAGCGGATGCCGTGGTGAAGAAGATTGCCGCATGAATGGAGCGAGACGACCATGACGCGAGCGTCGCTTCCATCTTCTTCGCCTTCGCCCTTGACGGGGCTTGGTTCAACGACATGTCGGATGATGGGCTCGAGATATCCGTCTTTTATGTTGTGTTCGATGTAATCTATTGCGCCTCGCAGCCTTGGGACTTCCTCGTCTTTGGCCTTTTGGCCAAAACTAGCCGGGAAAGATGGCAAGTCGTCAGCGCTGAGGTCAAGGTCTTTGAATACGGTGAACATGGTGCTGTCATTGTCCTCTTCTTGTGGCTGCTCTGGTTCTTCTGCTTTTGGTGGACATGTTGTGCATGCATCGTCTCCAACCTTATTTAATAAAGCTTCCTCGTCATGGGCCTTTTTCTGTTTTGCCTGATATTCCTCTTTTTGGGGGGGAAATTCCTTCTTCTTCCTCTCCACCAACCTGGCACGCACATCCATTCCTTGCGCTCCCTTAATGAATGCATGCTTGCGCTCAATGGCAATTATATGCCGGTTATAAGAGTGAGCCAGTGTTCGACCCAGGTAGTTCTGACCGGAGCCGAAATCGACTATATGCGTGACTGGTTCACCGCGCGTTTCCGAGACGGCGGTAGAAAAGGAGTCGACATACTTGGAGAAGTACTCGACTTCATGCAATTTCTTCGTTTTCATGCCCACTGCAAGGCGGCGCGGAATTGCACTGGCGCGCGGTGGGAGCGTCGAGGTGAAATCCCGTTTCAGGCTCAGACGGCGAATGTTGCGAATGTAGTCTAGCAGCGAGGACGGCGGTAGAGGGCCATTCTTCCACTGCCTGCCTGCTTCCTGGTTCCATCCCAGGCCGCCGGGGCGTTCGAATTGAGCGAGCTCGTCGGCCAAGATCAAGTCTAGGATGTCGTACAGATCGTGTGCGTGGAAGAAGTCGCGCCATTCTTGCGGGAGCAAGGTCGTATAGAGATCGGGCGTGCTGGTGAGGAAGTCGAGGATGTGCACGCCGCCGCAGAGGTTTAGAAACAGGGGCGTTGATGTTGCGAACGAGAGCAGGGCGTCGATGTACGAGTCGACGTCGTCCCACTCATCCTGGAGGGGAAGGGGCTTGGAAGGGGCCATGTGAGCTCAGCCTTCCAGAAGCGACGTCCAAGGTTGTTGTTGCGGCGGCGGACGAGAAATAATTTCGACGGCCCGGCTGCGCTAGGCTTATCGCTTATCGCTTATCGATAGCATATCCTTGTTAACGAGATACTAACTCGTCAAGTTACACTACTACATTATTATTATTCTTATGATTATTATTGTTATGATTATTATTGTTATGGTTATTATTGTTATGGTTATTATTGTTATGATTATTATTCTTATTATTAGTTAACATAGCATTTCAGTAACGAGTTCCTCACACAGCTTGGTCCATTTTCGCTGCCGCATGATAGCCGATGCCTACATGCAACGCACACCTGTTTGGGTGCATGTTTTGCCGTTAATTCCGAGGATGAATACGATGCAAAGGCATTTTTTGGCCCCCACCGCGCTGTAACCTGTAACATGGCTAGGACCCTGTGATTTGGCTGGCGAGCGATGTCACATTTTGCTGGTGATTTGCTGGTGCTGCGAGCCCTGATTCGCGAGTTGCATGGCTTAGTGTTTTCTAGAAGCCCGCTCGCGGCCCCATCCCCAGACGGCGTAATCCGAGTAACCAACTTCCTTGCAACTTGCCATCACAGGCTATCACTATCAGCATTGAACTAGTTGGTCAACTTAGGCCCAGCCTCTGCTTAGTGAGCTGCCTAGTCATGCACCCTTAAGCCAGACGGACCCCACAAGATGGTGCCCACGCCACATACCGCCATCTCTTCATATCACCATCACGACGACGACGACCACCACCACCACCACCACCACCACCACCACCACCACGACGTCGACCCGCCGAGGAGGGCATCGCAGACAGCAAACAGCCAGCGAGAAATGCTGGTCGAGCCGCCATGTCGATTGATAGACCGCACATCTTCGGCGGCGTGCCCGACGTGCTCTTCCTGATCCTGAGCATGGGCGAGGCGTCGACCATCCCAGTGCTGTGTCGCCTGAACAAGGCCACTTTCGAGACCATCAAGTCCCACGAGGCCTTTCTCTGCACCTCGTTTCTGCGTCTTCATGAGATCAGCCCGCCGCTGGACAAGATCCTGACCATGGACCCGATCACGGGCCAGCGCAGCCCGCTCAGCTTCATCAACCTGCAGAAGTTCATGTATCGCCGCGAGACCGCGCTGCGACTGGCCTCACGCGTTGCGCGCTCCGGCTGGGGCGCCTGGTGGGCCATAAAGGGCGCCGGGGAGATGGACGCCGAAGCCGAGATGTTTCGCCAGCGCGTCGAACGAGGCCTGTATGTCATGTTCCACATGTCGGATATCGCCCGCGACATTGAGCGCGTCAAGCTACGCCCATGCACGCTTGCCGTGGGCTCCTACCGCCTTCTCCTGCTGAGCTGGCTGCCCTGCATAGGATTCGAGAGATCCGCCGCCAATCGCAGCCCATGGTGGTTCCCTCGGCACATGTCGCACGTCCACGTCGTGCTGCTGCGGAAGACGCAGCAGCGAGAAGTCGGCAAACGGCGATGGCGCTTCCGGCAGATGCTCGATCTGGAGCGACGCGTGGATTTCCACATTGCCTTGCAGATGCTGCGGCAGTTTCTCGAGACTATCATCTTTGCCCATAGTCCCGATGACGACGCCAGCATCAACAGCTTAAACGAGGACGTGGACGTGACAAACTGGTTTCTTCTGCGGCAGAGCGCGCACTCACTCGCTCGCATTTTCCTTGAGTTGCCCGATGGGAATTGCTGTAGCATTGAAGAGCGCGCGCGGAAGGGCGAGGAGGGAGGAGGAGGAGGAGGAGGAAGAAGAAGAGAACCTCCGGTATGCAATTATTCTGAAGCGCTCAAGGAATACTGGGATGCGCGCAACGGAGACTCAACTGTCGACTGCAAGCAGTGCGAGGCTTGGTTGAGGAGTTCGAGTACACAAAGCATTCTCAACGATTTCTTCGGACTACATGCCTTTGACCTGGGCAAGCAGTGGGTTCGTCAGATGCGAGGAGAGGGCGATCTATTCGATGGATGACTTTGTTCTTTGTTTTTGTTTTTTTTTGGGTTATTTGCTTTTTTTTTTTCTCTCTTCTTCTTTTCTCCCTCTTGCCGATGATACCACTTTCTGCGATGCTACGAAGCATGGAACTGGCGTTTTCTTGGTCTACTTGAGCATAGATCTGTTGGCATATAATATCTATATAGACAGGAACAGGATATGAAGTACCAACTTGTTCAACTTGTTAAGTAGGCTGTTTGCCCGTAGATCTATTAGTGACATAGTTTGATGTGACTTTGTGGTGTTTGTTGGCTTAGCGGCGGCGACCAATCACCTCCGCCGTTCTCATCATCATCATCGTTGTTGACCTTCCAGCCAACCAGCCACACCATCTCTTGTCATTCAGCCAGCGTCGTTCGATTATACCAGCATTCTTCTACACATATACTCGTTCTTGTACTCTCCTTCACACCCCGCTACAAATAACATATCAAGCATGGCGGAAGATCCTTTCCTCCAGGTCCAATCGTAAGCTCACCACCATTCATCACGGCAACCGCACAACTCCAACAAGCAAAATCAACTAACTGCAAGCTTCTAGAGAAGTCATAAACACTCTACAAACCATCCGTCCTCTCTATTCGTCCTTCCTCCGCATCCGCTCGCTCACAACCTCAGCGTCCAATCCGGAACTCCAGCAATCCCGCGCCGAGCTCGAGTCGACGCTCGAAGACCTCCGCGCCGACCTCGCCGATCTGACCGAGTCGGTGCGCGCGGTCGAACTCGATCCTTACCGCTACGGATTAGAGCTCGATGAAGTGGAGCGCAGACGCAAGTTTGTGGAAGATGTAGGGAAGGAGGTGGATGAGATGGCCCGGGAGATGAGGAAACAGGAAACAATGCCGACAACAACAAAAGGGAAAAAGGGGACCAGTGCTGCACTGCCTAATCCCTCGGAATTCGACGCCCTGTCCCCGGATGCAGACGAGCATGATGACGATTACTATGCGACGTATGAGCAGCAACGACAGGTGGACATGATGGCTGCGCAGGACGAGCAGTTGGACGGGGTATTTCGCACGGTTGGCAATCTACGACAGCAAGCGGATACTATGGGCCGCGAATTGGAGGATCAGGCTGTGTTGCTTGACGATGTTGAGAATCTAGCGGATACAGTTGGCGGGAAACTGACAAATGGAATGAAGAGGATCAGGACTATTGTGAGGAAGAATGAAGGTACGTCTATTTTTTTTTCTTTTCTCTTCTTCCTTGCCTAAATCGACCGGGATACGAATTCAAATAAACGTGCGATACAAATTGTTTTCAAAACTAACAAAGCAAATGGTATATAATAGACACGTATTCGACCTGCTGTATCGGAATACTAATCATCATCCTCGTCCTCCTGTTCATCCTATTACTTGTGCTGTGAAATATACAAAAAACCATAACTTTTCAAGTCACCGGAATCTATGGGAAGAAATTAATCAGGTCTTGACCTTCTTGGCTGGACGATCCTCGCCGTCTTCCTCGTCCTCGTCCTCGTCGTCTTCGAGATCGTCGAGTTCTTCATTATCCATCTCGTCGTCGAAATCATCACCAACGTCGTATGATTGGACTGCAAATCTTTGATCAGCATGGTTTATTCAAAAGCAGCATGGAAGTGAACATACCGTAATACTTGAGAGCATTGGGCCAGAGGTCCTCAGCCAAAGCGACGGCAATATCATCACCATCAGTGAACACTTCAACATTTGCAAGACTAGCCTCATCCTCGTCCTCGTTTTCATCGTCATCGTCATCAACCTTCTCCCCCTTTTCAATCTTCTGCCAGCGCTCGAGCTCCTCCTTGGCAGCTTCAGCGGACTGCTCAGCAGTGACATTGTTACCGCGGTATCCGAACCACGCGAAAAAACTAACACCGGAAAGCGGGCTCTCATCATCAGCATCCTCCTCTTCCTCATCGCCAACCAGGCGATTAGTCTCATCCTCGACCTCGTCGAGCTTGTTCTCCAGCTTCTCATACTCCGGCAACTGGGTACGATCAACAGACTTGTTCTTCTGCTCGGCCTCGTACAAATCGCACGCGGCATCCAGCAACCCCTTGGTCAAATCCTGGTCTTTCTTCCAGTTGATGCGCACTGGCGTCGAGACGTATCCTTCCCAAACATGGCGTTTACCCTTGGCGCTCTTGGTGACTTTGGTGCGGTAGTAGAACTCCTTCATAAGCTGCGCGTTGGTGAAGTACGGGTTATCGTCGCCCGTGACAAAATCGAATGTGAAGCGCACGCTGCGTGGATCGCCGCCGTTGCCGTTCTCATCTACATCGAAGCGCTCGACGGTCAGGTTCTTGAGGCACTGGCCGATGACGGCGGTGTCAGAGGGGAGCACATGCTCATCGATTTCTTCAGGTGCGCTGGAGAAGACGCGCGGCCAGAAATCGGCTTCCTGCAGCTCTTTGGAGGCAACGAGGGCATTTCGCTTGGCGTAGAGAGGGCGCAGGACAGGGATTTGTTTGCGCACTGTTTTTCGATAGAAATAGAATTGTCAATAGAATTAGCAATGCAAATTAATCAATATTTAACAAATAGGAAAACTATAAATTGTAGACACAACAAAAGGTCAAAACGCACACTGCTCAATCTTAGCACGCACGAATTCCTGCTCCAGCTGAGCAATCTTGCGCCCAGCTTCCTTGGGGACTTCTTCGTCGGCGGACATTTTTGGTGGTTGAATGTCAGGGGGTGATGGAAGTATGACTTTGTAGATCAGAATGGATGGAAATGAAAAATGTTTTATTAGTAGGAAGAGGAGAAGCAAGGGAAAAAAAAAAAAAAAAAAGGGAAAGCTTACAGGGTTTACTCCGGGCAAGAGCTCTGATTAGATGACGGCATGCTCCACACCGCCGATTAGGGCCAGAGCTAACTACAAGCAGATGACTATAAAGAAAAAGATTGCCGTATTCAATTGAGGGTTTGTTGAAGGTTGATTCAAGGAATTCAAGTTTATCGCAACGCTGTCAGTAGTAATGCCAAATCAGACCACCACCACCCAGACACAAAATTAGATTAGTCGTTAGAAACGTGGAAAGTTGAGTAAGAAAAAAATGAAATCAGATAAAATGACTTTTGTCTCTGTCAAACCTCACAAAGAAAATCAGAGAGAGAAGGGGAATAATCCAACAGTACGCCGTAAGCTCAATTCGACGACGATTTGTCAGTCGTTCATGATTTAAAAAAAATGTCAAAGATCGTGGTGACACCCAGCCAGCCGATATGCAAGTCATGAGAGAAGGGGGGGGAATGAGAAAAGAGACGCCGGCAATGAATTGAAAAGAGATGGCAAAGAAAAAAAGTCGAGATTAAAAGCAAGAAGGAAAGATCACAACATCCATTGTAAACCATTCGCTTCTTCCTCGACTGGAAAGACTTCCCGCGCGTATTCTTCCATGTCACGCCAGCCCTGCCACAGCTTCCTCGCTTCGTCCGTCACACGTTGTGACACCACGCCGCCGGGTCCTTGCATCATGCCGGCACCTGCGCCTTTGCCTCCTGCGGGCCCGAGGCCTTTTGGGGACCCTGCGGCTGGGGTATTGAACTCCGGCTGTGGGAAATAGGGCGCCTCCAGTTCTCCGAACAGCTTCTCGAGTCCTTCGAGTTGTTCACGATATCCGTCGGGAATTCGGACTTTGATTTCGATCTTGGGTGTCTGCCGGTAGATGCACCGCCGGCCCAACGCACGTCCAAAGGCCGCGCAGACCTGTATCGGAGACAGGGTCTCGAAAGTGAGGGCAATGCTGTAGGATATTAGTAACATGGAGTAGGCAAGTGAGTGTATACGTGAACAAGACTAACCGATGACCGTTCCATCTCTTTGGGCCGTCCTTGAAGATCTGGATCAACGCTGGTCCGACATCGTGCTCGGCATCGAGCCAGGGCAATGGCACGTCTGGATTGAAAGGAGCCGCCCACTCAAAACTACCGTCTGGCTGCAACTCCATCTGGAACAGCGGATACGGCAAACTGGTGAAATTATTGTTGTAGATTCCGGCGTAGACAAAAGTAGCTGGAATACCGATCTGGCGGACGTAGTTCTCGACGGTGAATTTGCACGCCCACATGGGCAGGCCGGGCCAGGGGCCATGCACGGAATGGTCTGGCATGCTGCTGTAGATGTAGTGCTGGATTGAGCCGGCGCGCTTTGCGGCGTCGGCCAGCGCGCGACCCATGGCGATCTCATCGCCGGCTTGCGACACGGTGTTGATGAAGGCGAGCTGGGCGCCCCTGAAGACCTCGTCCATCAGGGACGGGTTATTGTTCAGGTCGCCCTTGATGAGCGTGACATTGGGCAGGCCTTGCAGCTCTTCTGCAATGACTCCTTTCAGCGTGTGGGTGTGCGCGCGAACACGGTACCCAAGAGCTGAGGCCACGCGAATGAGGGACGCAGCTTGACGCCCTGTGGCGTTCACCACCGCAATGGTTTTGAGCGGTTGTGTCATTCGCGAATCGTCAATTGCTGGGCTGTGGTGGGAAGGAGAGAAAGAGGGAGAGAGGAAGGGAGGGCGCTGCACGTGACGGCGATGGCCAAGCTGAACTCCCCGTCCACTCCAGCTGGTTCACACGCAAATTATAGCTAGTTATGCTCCAGGCAGGATGACTATGTTGATAGATTAGATAGAGAGTAGATAGTGATAGCGATAGCGATAGCGATAGATAGAAGTAGGAGGCAGGTAGCAGAGAAACACAGGCAGGCAGGAATACGGGACTTTTGATGAGAAGACGGCCACGCGAGAGAGATGATGCGATAATATAGGCACCGGCAGTCAGTCTTCGCGACGGCGGAAGCGGATGGTGCAATGCGCAAATTGGCGGCGAGGATCAAATAAGCGCACAAGATCGGGCGAGCATCTGCCGTGAGGAGTGGAGAACGGATCCCTATGCTGTGGAATATGACAACGACTTGCATGCATCGAGATGCGAGGTCTTCGTTCTGCGCTATCTCGCTCGTCTTCCTCCTCTCCTTCTTGCTAATAATCTCACAATAATAATAATAATGATCTGCTGTATGAGGGAATTTTCTGTGGTACCGGCGGAGCAGTGCCGAACCAGTGGATATTCGAGGGTAATAGGGTTCGAGTGACAGTCCACCGCGTCTAGGCTAGCAAAAAAAGAAAAGGAAAAAAAAAAAAGAAAAAAGAAAAAAAAAATTCCCCAGTCGCATACGTATGTAAGTATGTATGCTATGCTATGCTATGTTATGCTATCTCTAGCGGCTACCAGCCTGTCTGTCCGGGGAACTCTGGGCCTCATTCTATGGAAATTACATACAAGCTTCTTCTCCCGGAAAAGGTCTCGCCAACACAGGGGGAAAAAATTATTAAGATGAATAATGAAAACCACGACTCAGCGAATGAACGCCCCTGCCACGTCTGGTTTCCAGGAAAGAGTTTCCCATTCGAGTAAACCACCAAGGTGGTTGTTGGGAATACTGACTAGGCAGGCAGTCGAATCAGAGCATGCCGAAGCACAACGAACGCAATCCGACGCTGTGAATATGGCGTCTCTCTTTTTTTTTTTCCTTTACGTAACCAGGTACAGGAAGTGGGCATCCTCCACTTTAATTATCATGTTGTGCTGAACGGTGAGTGAGCGAGTGTGCACGCCGCTGTGAGCAACGAACGGATCGTAATATATATAATAGTATTAACACGCAAAGAGGTGACACTGTGGTAGCCTCGGGTATAGCTGTCAACTTCACAACAACGAGAAGAAAGCTAGGAACAAGATTTTCTTCCCCATAAGCAGGGGGGCCCACCAATGATCCCCGTATATTTATAACCACGTAGTCGACTATTTCACACAATTTCACACACTTGTCTGGCGTATCAACAGATCGCGGGGTAACACGGACGGCTTTACCTGACGTAGAGCTCGCTTACGTGCGGCGAGTCATATAGAATTAGGACAAGTCTCTGCTTGGAGAGGCCCGAGGCTCGAGGCTTCGTGTGTTGGCCAGGCGGGGGAGAAACAGACGGAGATAGATGGGTTGCATTGGGCACAGCCAGGTTGGTGTTTGTTTGTTGTTCATGAAATGGTGATCGATGTGTAGATAGTAGTATATGACAGGATGCATATAGAAGAGTTTGTGGCTGTACGGTAACGAGAATACACGCGATAATACCGCCGCACAAGAGCGCAGAGCCGAGGCCGGCTACCGTGCCGGTAATTACGTACTCGGCAATACGCCCCGCAGCCAGCCCGGCATGTGGCGCTTTGATTGGCCGCAAGAGCAGCGCCGCGGAAATGCTGAAGACAAGTCACCTGATCGGCTAGCTGGGAAAGGCAGGCAAACTATCATTGGGCGCACGTGCTTGCGTGCGCCGTATAGCGAGCAAATTATCAGCCGCTGTGATGGCACGCTGCACCGTCGCTACTGATACTGTTGTAACTATATCAAGCCGGAGCCGACCCCGCTATGGCTTGCATCTTGTTGTTACCCCCATCGCCGTCGAAACTTGATTGTGATTGAATCTCGACCTCGTGCCGCTCCTTCAAACTCCCCGTTCCCACGCCCGCCAGCGCCCATACCCCCGGCCGTCGTCGTGCCTGTGTCTCTGCCAGCGCCCTCTCGTCCGCGTGCAGATGGGCGCCGGATTTGCGGAGGAGCTTGACATGATCAGCGAGGCCGTCGTTGGCTGCTAGGAACAGTGGCGTTCGACCTGCGCGATTCCGGAGATGCACTGACGCGCCCTGTAGAAGAAAATAGCGGAGAATTTCGAGCGACGGCGAATGTGACGCAATGTGCTATGGGCATTTCACCATCATCATTAGCATGTATATATTTTCAGTACAGGGAGGAGGACATACCACCGGCGTGTTGCCTGCGTAATCGCTGTCGTTAAGCACCTGATTGTTCTCCCCCTTCATCAAATCTTGCACCTTCTCGAGATCTCCTTGCGCTATTGCGTACCCGAGTGCCGTAAGCGTCGTAGTTCGCGCCGAGAGACCGTCGCCATCTGGATGCCGGAAGACAGCCTGCGAGTGTGACGTGAGCTCTCCGCGTATCGAGTTGGCCATGTCACGCGCAACGGATGCCGATGTCGAGTCTGGCAATGCCAACAGATACGCGAGTTTCGTAAGCGCAGCTTCAGTCGTCATGTCTTGTCCTGCCACTACGCCCGCTCGAAAGAGCGTCATCCCAGGCGCATATACGGGGCTCACATGACCCGTGAGGCCTGTTGATGTGAGCGGAGAAGAAGAAGGAAGGAAGGAGAGAAAGAAAGAAAGCGAATAACCTACACTGTGTGATGTTTATGATGACAATCCCCCGTTGAATGGCGCTCGCCAGCACCTTCGTCATGGCATCATCTCGCCCCCCGGGAGCATTGCCAGCCCCAAACGTTTCCAAGACAAGCCCGCGCAACCCCTCCAATTGCAGAACCGCATCCACCATCTCCGGCTTGATACCGGGGAATATGCGAAGACATGCGACGTGGCTCGTATCCAAGTTGGTGCGGATACTAAAATTTTCTAAGCTTGTGGGCCGGCGGACGAGGTCCCAGTTGACATGCGTCTGCATGGACGTGGTCACAGCGAGTGGCGGCGCATTGGGGGAATCAAAAGCTGCAAAGTCACTGGCTGCAACCTTGGTTGCTCGGTTGCCCCGGAAGAGCTTGTAGTTGAAGTAGAGACACACTTCGGGAATCATGAAATGCCCAGCTACCACCAGACTTCCCAGAAGATTGTCAGATGCATCATTCTGCAGCTCGGACATGGGTGCCTGCGACCCTGTAAGAATCACGGGCTTTCCGAGATTCTGAAGCATGAAGCTCAGCGCAGAGCACGTATACGCCAAGCTGTCAGTTCCATGCTGCCATTCAATTAGCCCCTCAATCTAACAAGACGATAACAAACAAAGGAAACGTACAAGGATAACAAAAGCATCGAATAAAGTATAATTATTGTAGATCGTCTGGGCGATTTCCGCCCATCCCTTGGAATCAATCGAGCTACTGTCAAGGAGTTCCTCAAACTCAAAGACAGTGTACCGGACCTGGCGCTCGTATAAACTGGGCGGTGTTCGCAGACTCGAACATTTCTTGCGTTCACCCGCAGAATTCACAACCACATCCAGGAACACCTGCGGCTGCGAGCCGTCGTTGAAGATGGGTATTTTGGCGAGACAGGTCTGTTGAAAGTGGCGTGCTGGCACGAAGCCCGAGGGAGATCGCTGCATACAGATCGTTCCACCGGTCATGATAATGAGGACCTGAGACTCCGGAACGGAGCTGGGCAGTTGGTGTGCGTCCATGGCTTCAGTTGTTCCGACTAGTAAAGATGTGAAATATGCCCAACTCTGCTCCTCATCTCAATGCGAAGATTTGGCCTGCCGCGAGTCGCTCACCAACTGGTCCTGCTGGGCGTGATGGAGGACGTAAAAGTTGCACTTGTGCAATATTAAATTCAACGGTGGAGACGGCAATCGCTGCATTTGATTGGCTCGATGCGGCCGGCCAATGAGAGGCGTTACAACTATGCTACTATCTACATATGTGTGCAGTAAGTTATGTCCATCACGAGAATAAGATGTACTGTGATATCTATATATCTATTCTCGTGCAGCTTAGTTCCGACGGGCTCAATCTACGTCTCTCCACGAACCCCCTGGACCATGCTTACGTACCTAGGCAGCATGCTCGCGCATTCCTCTGCCGCGGCCAACCGGTCACAGCACCGCATCAGCTCTGATCCTCGTCTCGATTTGGCCTGCAGCAAGAGCCTCTCAGCCACTAACTGACGGATTGATTGGCTGGCATAAGCAGAAAGCATGCATGACTAAGCATGGCTGCCAAGGACAGTGTGCATTCCATTGCCGCCTCCTTCGCTCCTTCCTCCTTCCTCCCTCCTCCTTCCCTCCCGGATCTCTTGTGCATTTCTAGAACTCTTTTTCTTTTTCCCTTGCTCAGTCCTCGTCGCTCGTTACTCTTCATATTCTCTAGCCCATTCACTCACTGCCTGGCTTGATCCCACTCGTTCCTGCTGGTCAGCAGCGCCTGTCACTCATTACATCCTTGGCCTATATCGTTGTTTCCTCTGTTCGAGGACCGATTCCGTGATACCTTATTCGGCCACGCTCTACGTCAAGGAGACTGGGCGAGAGCATTCATCGCTTAATAGACTATTCCACTGGTTGAATCTTGTGAAATCTTGTCCACATCGAAACAGCTGGATTCTGTTCATATCTGATCTCACCATCATATCGACCGCATTTATTGTTCCATTTTTCAAACAGCTAACCAGACTGGGGCTGGTCATTATATCAACAAACACATAGTGTCTATACGTCAAACTCGGAGTCACGGGCAATGGGATTCCCTACGAACCTGCTTCTGGCCAATCTGGTCATGTTGGCCGGCTTCGCTCATTCCTTTAATTTCTGGCGTCTGCCGTGCAGAAACCGCATTGCTGCAGCTCGTATAGATCCTATTATGGCGCCTGGCGAGACCTGTGACCATATGCATACGATATTTGGCTCCGGAGGTCTGCATCCACCTCTTTAACAACTCAGCATGGGTTTTATATCTGACTGTGTCACAGGCTTCTCTGACAACGTCACCCAAGATGACCTCTTAGATGCCAATTGCACTTCGTGTGCTGTGACGCAAGATAAGTCTGCGTACTGGACTCCGCCATTGATGTTTGTATATTCCAACGGATCTACGACCATGGTCAACCAGGACGGAGGGATGTTAGCATATTACTTTGTATACGGAGAAGACCCGCAGCCTTTCCCTGAAAGCTTTCGCATGATGGCCGGTGACCAGTTTTTGCGAAACTTTACAGGCCCCGTTCCAGATCCGCCCACTTCTGAATGGACTGATGCAGACAAGACTCAATTTTCCCTGTCTCAGAAGGCTATTGGGTTTAATTGTCTGCACTATAATACTACCAACGAGGACTCCCTCTACCGCCACACAATGCCTGAAAAGGATTTTCTTGACGAAAATTGCTGGGACGGTCTGCGTATTGAGCTCATGTTTCCATCTTGCTGGAATGGAGTGGACGTTGATAGCCCAGATCACAAATCTCACATGGCGTATCCGGACCTAGTCAAGGATGGAAAGTGCCCTGAAGGATTCAACACTCGGCTTGTGAGCCTTTTCTACGAAACTAAGTACGACACCCAGGATTTCAGAGGCGTAGAAGGCCAATTCGTTCTTTCCACTGGCGACCCTACGGGTTGCGGATACCACGGCGACTTTATCCAAGGATGGGAACCGGATTTTCTCCAAGAAGCAATGAACGGATGTACAAATCCCTCAGGGGAGGTGTCGGATTGCCCTCTATTTACTGACAATGCTGATGCATCCACGTGCCAGATTGCCCTCCCAGAGGCTTTGGTGGACGAAAACCCTTTCTTCAACCTGCATGGCTTACTAGGCGATGTGCCCATCCAAAGTGGTCCCGAGCAAGCGACACCGTACGGTTTCTTATTGCCAGCTCCCACGAGCCCAGGTCTACCTGTACCCGCAGGAGGCATCATTGGTTCACTTGGCGATGTAGTGTCTGGAGTCGTTACTGGGCTAGCGGCTCCGGTACCATCAGAGGCCCCATCTGACGGTCGTATTCAGGCCGCCCAGGTACCGTCGACGACGTGCGCTTCCAAACAAGCACTGCCAACTGGTGTTTCGAGAGATGCTGACGATTGTGAGGTTGTCATAGTGCGCGAGACGGCCGTTGTTGAAGTTGGCAACGACGGTGTTCCTATAACAACTCTTGCGCCGGTTGGCAGCACTACCACAAGCACCAAGATCGTCGCCATGCCAATGAACAACCTGAAGCGTGAGCAGTTTTCGACACCTGGTGAGATGTCGTCTCTTCGCCGCATGCATAATCGGCACCTGCATAACCGTCATTGAAGGCCGCTTAAGTCCTAGATATATGTCAATTAAGAGTTTGTTGAATCAAAAGCAATACACTATTTCCTAAAGAACAAATAATCCGTTATCGGTGCACGTTGCATGGGCATCTCGGGGACCTAAATTGGAAAATGGCGTGTCCCTGATTAATAATGACGAGACGGGAAGATTCATGAATCACCTTCTATTCCTGCATGCCCCGCTGTAACATCCAAGACGGCTGATAGGCGATAGGCTATAGCAAGCTCAGAAAAGCTACATAACAGATAGGTCACCGGGGGCTTCACCGATTATTCTTGCTTGGTTGAGATTAATCCATTCCTTCGTAAGTGGAGCTGTGAGGGAGTTAGGACCTTGTAAACCCTTTGGCGTGCGGGGATAAGAGATACCACTATCTCCTTCCTGAAGAGGTATAAATTGGCAATGATTCCACTTTGCGGACAAGGATTTCTTGACTTTGCAGTAAAACACACCAACGAGAGGGGCAGAAGTTTGAACAAAAAAAACCCCCCATGAAAATGGCTGAGAATCTCCCACCAATGGAATACCGCCACCTGGGTAACAGTGGCTTGCTGGTTTCGGTGATATCTCTCGGAGGATGGCTTACTTATGGTGGACATGTTGAAGATGGTATTTTCTGCCCCTCTACCACTTGAATTATCTTTTCGAGAGAGTGGATTGGGCTAACAAACAGCAGAGAAAACGTTCTCCTGTATGAAAGCCGCGTACGATGCCGGTATCAATTTCTTCGATACAGCGGAGGGATATGCCGGTGGACAGTCGGAGGTCGTGATGGGTAAGGCAATTAAGAAATTCGGATGGAAGCAACAGGATCTTGTTATTTCCACCAAGGTAGGAGCACTCTGAGCACTACGTTGCATTTGGCTCGATTTTCCTAACCAGATGTATATATATATAGATTTATTTCGGACAAGCCAATGGCAAAGACCCAGAGAATGCTCTCAATAACAGGGGTCTGTCACGCAAACACATCATCGAGGGATTAGATCTCTCGCTCAAGCGTCTTGACTTGCCTTATGTGGATATTGTCTACGCCCACCGGCCTGACAGGACTACCCCCATGCACGAAATCGTGCGGGGCTTCAACCACGTCATTGACCAAGGCAAGGCAATCTACTGGGGCACATCCGAATGGAGCGCGTCCGAGATCGCCGACGCCTGGCGCTGGGCTGACAAGTTGGGACTAATCGGCCCTGTGGTCGAACAGCCACAGTACAACCTGTTGGTTCGCGAGCGCGTGGAGAAAGAATACCGCTGGCTCTACGCTGAGCATGGCACTGGTCTGACCGTGTTTTCGCCTCTTAAAGGCGGTGTCTTGACAGGGAAATACAACGATGTCGAAGCGCCGCCAGCAGGTTCCCGGCTGAAGGAAGGGGACGGTAAATTGGCATATGTTACCCAACTATCAAAGACATGGGGCGACGAGTCGTGGAAGAAGAATCTGGCTGTCGTAGCAAGCCTAAAGCCCATCGCGGAAGAGCTCAATGCCACTGTGGCTCAATTGGCGCTTGCTTGGGCACTCAAGAACCCGAACGTCTCTTCGTTGATTACTGGGGCGTCGAGACCGGAGCAAGTCTACGAGAATGTCAAGGCGATTGAGGTCGTGAAGAAGCTGACGCCGGAGATTATGGAGAAGATTGAAAAGGCTGCGCAGACCGCACCGGCGGTAGAGCCGCTACGTGCTTAGTTTACATATCGACTAAAACAATTGTTGCGAATTCTACCACTATGCCAGAAAGGGCTGTCTTCGCTGTTTTTGCGGGTTTTTTGCAGGACGAGGCCCCACTTTTTGTTCCCTCAAGCGCGATAATTCTGCGTTACGTCATCAGCTGGTAGTTTTCTTTCGATTGTCTCATAGATGAATACAACAAATACACGCATAGCTAGACATCAGTCTGGTGCTACATGTGCTACATGTTATTGTGGAACGAACCCTGTACAATCGAGAGTATATAACGCTGATGCTTGGCTATATCGAGGCGAGACCTCCGATCTTGATCGGCTTGTAATCTAACATCATATTTCACAGATCTCTGTGACCAGGGGGCTTATGACGTCGGCTACCCACCTATAGCATATAAAGATGTTTTCACACCTTAAAAACTACTACCAGAAACACTCTTACTTTAGCAAGACTGGATAGCACTCTTTGCCTGCCATGGTATCTGGAAATGCTGTACCTGCCACGGCCTCATCCGGCCAGCGTCCGGACAACACCGTGGAAAACCTAGCAAGCAATGATGACAAGCCGGAAACCCTCAACAGTGAGCTTGATGCCCCAACAGACAGCCACGCTCTTGCCCACGCTGAATTGGAAGAGGAAGGCTTGGTTCACAAGTCGCCAGATGACGAAGCTACCTCTGATATTGGCTGGCAACCGCAGCCACATGATATAAACGAACCTATCGTCGGAGGCATCTCGAATGAAGACTTGTGGATGCTGATCCGCCGCCTCAACAAGGTAATCGCTGTCCCCGGGTGGTTAGAGGGGAGGAGAGAGAGTGGAAATAACTGACACTGCAGCAGCAAATCTACCATGTTAAGGCTACATCGACCCTTCCTCTGGATAATTTGGATCTGAATCCTGTTGACGATGAAGAGTTCTCGCCTGACAAGCTCAGAGCAAACATTGAGCGACTGTATATGACTGTTATTGTTGGCACTGTTGGGTTTTGGAAACATGTCGTCAGGCTCAGGTCCTGGCGTGAGCAACATCGCACCGCTGCTTTCTGTATTGTCAGTATTTGAACGACATGGAAAACAAAGACAAGACAAAAACTGATAAATGATAACAGACTTATTTCGCCGCATGGCTATTTGACATCGTTGTGCCCACCATCCTTCTAGGTCTGATTATCTTGATAATCTACCCACCAAGTCGCAGTTTCCTCTTCCCTCCTGCTCCAATTGCATTGGTCAGCTCTGAGACAGGAGGAGTTCAGAAACCACGGGCTGGTGTCCTCGGATCTAAAGACAGTGTCACTGGTGCACCGGAGCGTTATCGCGGCGAAGCAGTAGAGCAAGAGGCCAGCAACTTGGTTGGCAGCGTTGCAAGCGTGGCGGTTGGGAGCGCAGCTGGAAAACACGACCAAGCCGTGCCCGATGACGCTCCAATGGAAGACACGGTTCCAGATGCGACTGATGCTCCCTCTCAGCTCGCCGACCTTCAGTCTTCAGCCAGCGGCGGAGTCCCGTCAACCAAACATGACAAGACCAAGAAGCCAATGGCGGACACTGTATGGGCCAAGGTGAAGCCCTTGATGCACATCATGGGCGAAGTTACTGATACTTATGAACGCTTTGGGAAGTACGTATAGATTTTTGTCTTTAGTATCAATCGGTCTGCTAATTGATAATGTAGCGCCTTGTCTCCAACACCGCCTTTCCCAAGGGACACAGCTCGTCTTAGACTTGCAGCAGTCCTAGTCTCAATGATTCTGGTCTCTCTTCTCACTACATCCTACTTGGCCGTCAAAGCTAGCGGTTTCATGTTCGGTTTCATATTCTTTGGAGATCCAGTTCTCGTCAGAGGCACCAAATATCTCAACCGCCGGTTCCCACATTGGCAAAAGATACTGGAACTTCGCAAGTCAGTATAACACCATCCCTTCAGTCGTTCAATATTGTGCTAGCTAGCTAACCAGAAACAAACCAGTTCGCTTCTAAAGGGTGTACCAACCAACGCACAACTTACGATTACTCTTCTGCGACTGGGCGAGGTTAACGGATCACCAATTCCACCACCTCCTTCAACAACTCTAGCAGAGACACCCTCCAAGCCTACATCTATCCATGAAGATATTCCACTAGATGCATCTAAAGCTGAGATTGAAAGTGCCGCAAAGCCCGATCCCACCATCATAGAACAGAATACCGAGCCTCATCCTCATGACGACGGCGGAAAGAACAAAGCTGCAAAGAAAAAGGGCTTTGTACCCGCCATGTTCAGGTTTTTCAGAGGAACAACGGCAACCGGGGTCGAGACCAAGTTGGCTGCAAACTATGCAATGGCTAGACTAGGCCGTGGGCACGCAAAAACCCAATTGGGAATCCTTCCCAGAAAGGGATTCACCCCTTCTCCCCGTGGGCCGGTAGATTTTCAATGTCGGTATAAGGGTAAGAAGGGTACTGCGGTGATTGACTGCAGCGGCGAGGAGCCTATTTTATTTTTCACGACTGAGGTGGGAAGCTCGACACCGAGTATTGACAAGGCAAAGAAAGTCCTCTTTTCGATACCTATCAGAGACATACAGCATTTGAAGAAACTTGGTGGGATGGGCTGGAAGGGCAAACTTGTGGTCGGATGGGCCGAGACTGAGAAGGAGGTTATTGATGGACTGCGAATCATAGGCAAGGATCCAAAGCAGAACTTCCATATCACCGCCATGAAGATGAGGGATCAGTTGTTCAATCGCTTGGTTGCCATGGGCGATCAAGTGTGGGATATTTGCTAGCTTTTCGAGATGAAAAAAAATTTCTTTTTCTCTCCCTATTTTATGAATAATGCTGTATGACCGCCATGTTTTCATAGTTGAGCAATTATTAGGTAGCTAGACAGATGTACATTTATCTTGTTTGGACTATACATTCTCTAGGAGGCTACAATGAATCAATGCATCCTCTCTCTTCGTAATATGTCGCCCCCCCCGAAACATCAGGTAGATGCTCAATTGCCCCCCCTCCCCCTGATATTATTCAAATCTATACAGATCAGCCAGCCACAAATTTCATTCCCGATCCCGTGAAATAATCCCTTCCCTTGACCAACAACACCATGAACCCAGGCGCAGTAAAGCCTCCAATCTGGCCAGTCCCGCTTGATTTACCAATTGGCACAAGCATCATCAGAGTCTGGTTACTATCATAAGCCGCGCGTTTGCCTTTACCTGTGATATCGGCCTTGAGGTTCGACACCAGCACGCTCACCTGCCCGGCGATTCGCGACGTCAAGCGTGCAGAGTAATGCGTGATATCGCCCACGGCATACACAGAATCAGTAGATGCGACCTTGAAATGCGCATCAACCTCCACCCAGCCAGACTCGTTAAGCAGAGAGGCCGGGATAAAGTCATTGTTAGGAACAGAGCCTGTGGTTGAAATGTACGCATCGGCGGAAAGAACCTCGCCGTCAGCCAGGGTGACAGTCCATTTGTTAGTTGCTGCATCGAGCTCGGCCGCCTGCACGGTTTTGCCCGTCAGGACCTCAACACCCTTGGACTTGAGGATTTTGGCCGCCTTTTGGCGTGGCGATGCCTTGAGGATGGGCAGGACGGAGTCCGTGTTTGTGACGAGCGTGACTTTGGTGTCTGGGTAAGCGTCGGTGATTTCACCGGCGAATTCCACGCCAACGGCACCCGCGCCGCCGATGATGATGCTCTTTGCGCTTTTGATGGCTTCTTGGGCGGCTTTGATTTCGGACTCGAGTTGGCCGCCTTCTTGGGCGGCCTTGAATGGCACTTTGAGAGACGCGGTGCCTGTCGTTGCGTTGGACGTGCTGCCTGATGCGATGACGAGGTAGTCATAGGCTAGATCCGTGGTCGTCGCGTTTTCTGCGACAGAGACTTTCTTGCCCTCCAGATCGATAGAGACGGCTTTGCCCAGAACGAAGTCAAATGCATTCTTGCGGTTGGGGTATTTCTCAAACAGAGAGACGATCTGATAGAGGTATTTCTCCCTGGCGATATCGCCGGGTTTGGCAATGACTCTGGGAGAAGCGATATTGAAGAAAAACTCGTCTGTCATATGCTGTTAAGAGGGCGGATGCGTTCGCAATTCAGGAGCATCGGGGACTCACCAGAGGGATTGACCAACACCACCTTTGCATCGGGGACTTCTTTCAGCAGGCCATGAGCGACGTTGATGCCGGCCCACGACGCGCCAACCACCACCACCGTTTTGGACGGCATGGCTACGCTGAGACGACGCTGTCTCCAGAACCAGAGCGCCAGCAGAGGAAGAGCAGCGAGAGACGCGTTGAGGTAGATGGAAGCACGATTTGCGTCGGCCATTATGTCGAGGGTGTTGAACTTGATGTTTGTTTGTTTTCTCCCCTGAGAGCCGAGGCTGTGGGCTGTGCGGCACAGGTTACATAGCGCCGAACCAAAACTATCGAGGTGATATTCTTCTTTCGTTGAGCAACTGAACTGATAGAAGGAAATCGGAAAAAGGCATTATATCATCTCTCCCAAATATATTAATGCTTACCTACTACCTTTTGTCTTTTTGGTTTGATTCTAATAAGAAATACAAATCGAGACCGAGGAATCGGAAGGAAGAATCTATATACTCTGTATATAACGAACTAGTATTGTGCTACTCTGAATACATAGAGTATAGCTGCGTAATTAGTAAGGGTGATTCCCTCTTGAGAGGTCAAGCTTTTTGCACGTACAGCAAATTCACTTCCGCTGAAACTGTGAAAGTCAAGTACGCTGCATTGTTTGACCAATCGAGCGGTAAGAGAGGAACGAGGGAGACAGAAATTGAAAGGGTAAGATCAAGTTAGGGCAGTGGAACGGAGGGAGCGGAGTGAATCCCGCCGGAATTTCCTCCGTGCGGTACTGTGGAAGCATCCACGGATGTCAATTTTGTTGGCAGAGAGGAACAACTATGTATTCTATCATGATAATTGTTGCCGGATTTAGCTGTCCGGACTCCGTTTAACCCACTGCATATAAAAGAGGTGTCTCCAACTATGCCGCCAACTTGACTCATCCAGACTGTCGACCACGGGTCTATCTGTCTATATTCGTCCAGTTTCTCACTATTGCAATGCCCAAAACAGTTCTGGTTACCGGCTGCAGCCACGGAGGCTTAGGTGCAGCCATGGCAAAGGCCTACCACGCCAAAGGCTTCCAGGTCTTCGCAACGCTGCGCAACAAGGCCAAGGCCGGATCTCTAGCTGACATAGATGGCATAGAGATCGTCGAGCTGGAAGTCACCTCAGTCGAATCTATTCGTCAGTGTGCAAATTCTATTGCGAAACATACTGGAGGAACACTTGATGTTCTCGTCAACAACGCGGGCGTCAACGCCATAGTGCCGCTTCTAGACGCATCCCTCGACGACGCGAAGAAGGTATACGATGCGAATGTTTGGAGTATCGTTGCCATGGCCCAGGCATTTGCCCCGATGCTCATCAAGGCCAAAGGGGTGATGTGCAATATTAGTTCAGTATCTAGTGAGATGGTTTTTGCATGGGCGGGTATGTTCTCTCTCTCACACACACACACACATATCCCAAAGGATTGCAAGGCTGATCTTGACAATCATATAGGTGTATACAGCAGCTCCAGGAGCGCTGAAACGAGAATCTCCGAGACGCTGCGTCTCGAGATGGCACCCCTTGGCGTGCGAGTTGTCACAGTCATCCTCGGCGGTGTCCAGACAAGCGGAAACGACCCTAAGAACATCGCGGACCTTGAGCTACCCCCGAATTCGTACTACCGGAAGATCACAGCAGTCATCGATCGCCATAAGAAGACCATGGTGCACCCGAACAAACAGAACGTCGACGTGGCAGCAAAGAACGTAGTCGAAGACGTTCTCAGCGGCCGCAGCAACTTCATTCGTCGCGGTCAGGCGTCGACTCTTAGCTGGATCTGCAACACGTTTCTTCCCTACGGACTGTTCACTTGGATGATCAATCGGGATTCGGCTCTTGGTGAAATTGGGCTTGAAGATACTGCATGACTTTGAAGGTCGTTTGTTTTTCTTTGATTTCACATGTGTATAATATATAAATATCAGAATATGGAAATCGGTGTAGTATGCTTACATAGATTATTGCAAATCTACGCAAAGCCATTAATTCCATCATGTACGAAATCTAGGTGCTTTTAGGTAAATGATAAATTGAGCTCTTTAACAGTTATAAAATGTTAGCAATAATGCATAGAGTATTAGTATTTGAACACTGATAGACATACATGATGATATATGCATAATCGCGTGCACAACCGCGATGGAAGAGTAGATATGGACAAGCAATGAATCTAATTTGGTAAATTCCATCTATGATGGCGTTAATTTCAAGCCAATCTTCCTAAGTGTGAGTGATTTCGGTCGTGGTCTCCCTCGCCTCTCCCTTGCTCTCGATAAAGTGCTTGATTCTGTTCTTGGGCAGCCACGACTCTTCCGGCGTCATCCAGTACGAGATAATGGCGAAGATGGTAACGGCACCCATGATAACGGGGGCGTCTGTATGGACAGTTAGTTTTTTTATTTTCCAGACTACATTCTACTGAAGCAGAAATAGAGCGAAAGAGATCCTTACAGTTCAACGTCGCGCCAGTCACGGGCCATTCATATGGAGAATACAGAATAGCAACGACCCAGCCATTCCAGAAAATGGAAATGATCTGGAACGGCTTGCTCCACCGACCCAGGCTCCATTTTGGTGTAGGAAACGAATTTGGTGTAATGAAGACACGGCCAAGGCAGATGAGACCATAGGCAGCCGCAGAAGGGACACCGGCCGCTGATATAAGGGAGGTGAAGGCCACCGCAGAGGGCAGGATTGTGCACGACACCAGTGCCGCCACGCCCCAGACAACAATAACTGCATTGCGAGGCTGTCCTTCAGGCGAGACTTTAGAGACCCAGCCGGAGAACGGCAGAACTCCGTCACGGGCGACGGCGAAGACGAGACGAGAAGCAGCGACGATAGCGATTGCAGTGTTCTTTCGAAGCTGTTAGCCCAACCTCTACTCCTCACAGGAGGTGTTTATAGGAGATTACTTACAAACCACAACGCGACAATGCAAACGATATTCATAAAGATATGCCCTCCCTGTCCAAGAACCACGGCGTACAGGGAGACGAACGGCTGAGGCGCACCGTAAGAGAAAAGCACGTCGGGAGTAGGCTAGAAAGAAGCATATTAGGTATATAGTCCAAGTCGTTTTGAAGAAACACGTACCGCGCAGAAGAGGTACAGAATAATAACAATCAATCCTCCCAAGCCGCTGACAACGGTACTCCAGAAGATACCGCGAGCAGCAACCACCGAGGCATTTTTTGTTTCTTCGGCGACATGACCAGAAGCATCAAATCCAATCAAGATACCAGCTGTGGCGAGATAAGACAGACACCAGTTCCAGCCGGCCGGAGCACCGGTGCCATTGTAGGTCGTCATAAAAGCCTCATGGGTGGAACGGAAACCCCAGGTATTGACGACTCCGATGGGCAGCCAGATCATGTTCAGCAAGAAATCGAGAAGCACCATGGCGGAGGACAAATAGAAGACCCATCGGAAGTATTTTGCTAGAGTTGATGGTCCTTAATTAACAACAGCGTTCGTTTACCCTTCTGGCAGTGTGGCAACATACGAGGAACAAAATTGACTACTGCAGCCAGCGCCAACAGAACTTCAGTGATAGCCCATTGCACGGCTCGAAATTTCACGTTGTCGGTATCGGTAGGGAAGCTGAGATCAAACACGGTAATTTCCTTGCATTACATGTTAGACTCTGGATAGAAAAGAGAGACGGTGACCAACCGAAAGCAAATAGTTTGCAGCAGCCTGCGTGTTGCTGGCACAAAAGGTTGTCCACGCTGTGGTACTCCACCACGCGACGATAAATCCTAGTAGACGGCCATACTTGGGACCGCCGGCTTCAGCTGCCCAGAGATAGATGGAGCCTGCAGAGGGAGAAGCCGAACATACTTCGGCAATGACGGCAGCTGTTATGAAGCTGAACACCAAGGTCACCAAGTAACTCGTCCTGTGTCACGGAATTAGTAGCTGCAGAAAAAGACGACGCCGAGTCGTTACATACCAGTAGGCAAGGTTACCACCGCTAGCAATACCAGTACTGTAGGTGACACGAACACCTCCGACAAAGTACAGAGCCGCTTGAAGAGCAATTATTAGCAGGCTTTATATAGAGCGAAGATAGATCCCTGTCATACCAAATGTAGTCGAGAAATTTTCCAAAAAGGTGTACGATCTATGCAGGACCTAAACACAGTTGCCTGACTTAGATGATAGTCCTTATTCTTTCTTTTTTTTTAACTCTGGTATACAGCTTGATTCACTCAGTTCATACCTGCTTGTAGCCCATTGTTTCCTATCCACGCCAGTCGCATCGGTTAGTATCGGAACAAGACCGGACCACGCTCAACGAAGCCATGAGCATGAACTAAAGGACATACCAGTAGAGCCGCATCTTCATCAATTACAGACTGATCTCTTGAGACCTCTTCAGCGGGGTTTGAGACTGGGACAGTATTGCCCTGTTGGTCGCCATCGTGTTGCGACGTTCCCGACATTCTCGACCTCTGCACGCTGCGCGGGGCGGCACTTGATATCAAGCTAACGATGTAGACGAGAAATCAAAATTACAGAAAGAAAATACACGAAGAAGAACGTGGAGTGGTTAATGAATTGTGCTTTTATCCAAAATATTCGAGGGTGTGTTGGGAGAGACGAAAAGGAAAGAGAGAAAACTTTTTTTTTTTCTCTATCAGTGGTATTTATCTCATGAGAAGAATATTTATACATGTGGTCTGATCCTACAAATTCTACTCTGTCAGCAAATGAGCGATGGCGAAAATTCTGTCAAAAACCAGGCACGAGCTAGCGCCTCCTGTTAAGCTTCAGCTTTGCCCAGTAATAATATTTGTGGTTCCTGAGCTCTTTAGTACTAGTGACTAGCAGCAAAGTAGACCCGGTGAAGTATGCATGTACCTCGCCATACAAATTGCTATGCAAGGGTACATCCGTAATCGCTCTGACTAAACACGGTTAGCGTGCAAGCACGACACCGTCACTCGTGATTCGTGGTGGCCTGACTAATAAGGCCTACACTATTCTCCTAAAGGGGAATGCCGTGATGCCTATCTGGGCCTAGTAGATAGCTAGTCTCAGTGTCACTTTCACTATCAAATTTCAAACCACCAAGGTCCGAGCGAAATATCAGTCTGGTAACAAGAGTTCAATCCGTTCATCTATAGCAAATGCTATCCCAGATCCCGTTCGATATATACCGTAAAGGAAAAATACCTGTCGTTCATTGAGCGTTCACAAATACATGGTGATACAAACAGGGAACGATGGTTGTGCCAACCAGAGAAGCTGGAACCAGCTTCATCGAAGACCGTAGCAGCCAATTTTTGATTGTACAATAGATTAACAAACCTTTATATGGGAGCATTCTGCCGCTCCCAAGATGCCTGAGGTATGGTATTGCGGAAGGATATTGAAGACTTTGAAAGAAATATGGGGTAACAGTGGCTAGGTATTCACATACAACACTAGCAGAAGCGAATAATCAAGATATTACTTCGTCGTTCTTCCAGTGGCAAGCGAACCAACCCGAGCTAGACTTGCTGAACCCGGAATTAGGGCTAGGGCCCAGTAGCCCGCCCGGAACTCCTCTAGCACCAACTGGCAGCAGAATATTGATTTTGATTCTGACAATAGCAGTGTGACAGTGCCTGTTTGCTTGCTAGTGAGCCCTTAGAAACCATAAATTCCTGGGTCAAGTGCTAGTCATCATCAATGGGCAGACTTGCCACCTCAAGGGTTCTCTTGGGTTGGTAGAGAGTATTCAGAAGCTTCGCCTTGTTCTTCTCCACGACAATCTGTCTAAAGATGTCAAGATTGCACTTTGTGATTAAGAATTAGATTTATTTTAAAGTGCAGCATTGGCTTCATGATCATTCATTGCATGTTCTAAAGTATATACATTTGCGCAGAATGCAAGCCCTAACTACGTAAACTGTACGGGACGTTGCATATTGGTATGCAGAAAATGGTTGCTTTGATGAATCGTGCATGACTTATCACTGCCGTTACAAATGCAGTGGTTGATGGAGAGATAAGCCTCCTTTTTCTTCATGACGGACTCAAACATACGACTAACCAAGGGACCTAGGTAATAGATGGCAATCCGTAAATCAATCACATCAAAACGCAATGACCATGACTAGGTCGACGACTTTGTAAGTTGACCTTGTCTTTGCTCAAATCGACAACAGGGAACTCGGAAATATGCAACTTGGCGCTTGCGAATGGAACCAATTTCACGCCAAACGGTTTCCCAGTTGCTGCTGGATTTGCTGGCGGAAGGCCTGCACAGTCGCCTTCCAATTCCCAATTCGATATCTTGGTGCCTGCCACATTGATGGACACCGGTGGCGCCCCGGAGGCAAAGACAGGATTAGGGAGGTTTCCCTTCACTTCGGATCGGTGGAAGTGCATCTGAGATGGATCAATGGCCACTCGCCAGTCGGCTGTCGGGGTGTATTCCACGTCGCAAAGCTTCGGCGAGTACTCGGCATCTGGCAATGGCTTCCGTTCTGCGAAATGTGTTGGAGGGCCGACCTTGGCCTTGTGTGGAATCTCCATAGCGTACAACAGTGCGCCTCTATATATAGCAACCGCATTGTTCGGTCGTGGTACAACGCGAATTTCGGCATTTAGTGTAATTGTAAATGCCGTTTTACCCGGTGCTATGGCAATCTTGTATAGATTGTTGGCGTCCACTTCTATGGTTTCTTCCTTGGTTTCTTCGTTTCCGGAAGCTCTGTTTATCGTAGTCCCCTTAGTGGCCCATTCTGGGACCCGTATGTAGAATTCAAAGGCTTGGTCAGTCTCAACCTCATAGCTAAGCTTTTCGTCAAATGGGTAATGAGTTTCGCTGATGATGTATATTGGTCTACGGCCTGTGACTGGGATTTTGGCCTCGGCAGGAACGAGAAACTGGTGCGCAATAAATCTTAAATCTGGACTAGCAACAAAAGCGTTCATTGCAAATTTTGGTAGAGCTTGGGAGTGATTAACCAAACAACATGGCTAGTTCAATGTTAGTCTTGCCAGTTATCAAAACCATCACCAGAAAAGTCCAGACTTGGGCGAGACTCACATAGTTCACTTCCAAGCCATATACCAGAGCACGTCCGCCACAGTTGTAAAAGGGCCAATTTTCAAGGTTCCTCGCCCAAACTTCGTTGCTCTGTGTCAGATAGTTATGTGCCCACCAGTCCTCTGTCATCCCGGCCGGTAATCCATTGAATGTGGCGAGTTCCGCTCTATCCGCATAGCTATTATCGCCAAACAAACGATACATATATGAAAGCGAGAATATCAATTCTGCCGTTCCACAAAGCTCTGCTCCTCGTCTTGGGTGAAGGCCGGCGAGAAATTCATCACCCGAGATTGCTCCAAATGTTGTCCCGTGATATTTGAATACCATATCAACAGATTGGCGTGTATGTGCCACCAATTCAGGATCATGGGTCATCCGATAAAGCTGTGGCATGTAGCGCAAAGCTATTACTTGTCAGTCTCGAAGAGTAAGAAGATCGGGTGATTATTATTACTTGTTACCAACCTTCTGACACGTTCACCACGTGCTTCATGAGTGTAGATCCTGGGGCTGCTGGCTTCTTCGGGAATTGCTCTTCAGTGAAGAACTTGGACCAATCACGGTCGCCTACACGGCTGGCCTCCCACGCAAGGTCCATGGTGTCCCAGATCAATATTTTGTCCTGCCTATTTTCCACCTGGTCGTACAGCCATTGCAGCGACGTGGACAACTCATGTGCGCGTGTAATGCAAAATTCATCAAACTCGTCACCAGGATGAGGAATTAGCCCTTGGAAGTTGTCCTTCAACATGGAGTTGGCAAGTTTGGTGAAACTAAGCATAGCCTCGACGATACGATTGTACTGGGCTGGGTCTGCAACAGCGTGGTTTACCATGCCCATCAACACAAGACATCGTGCCCATATTCCCCTGCCGTGCTTTGTGTGTTCCGGGCCAATCCATCCGTCGGCATGCTGGTTCTTTAGAATGCGGTCTAGAAATTGGTTCGCTTGCTTCTTCAATTCATTGTCGTCGAGTATATAGGCGAGCGGCACGATATAATTGTACCAGTATGGAGCGGACTCGCGTAAGGGGCTGTACTCCACGTCGCCGCCGAGCCAACTGCTGTCTTTCACGAAGCGATGGAAGTTGTAGAGATTCCCGCCCAGGCCCTCTGCGCAGAGTTTCAGCTGGTCGCGGATCCACCCACGAGGCTGTACAGAGCCCAGCGGGAGGAGATCAAAAGCGAAGGGGGCTAAGGCTCGAGACTTCATCTGCATATTCCTTGAGTACCTAGACAGTTTTGGTGATGGTAGTGTGGCATAAACAAAGAGCATCGAGAGAACTGACAAGAGACAACAAAGCGGCGCTAACCAGCCAAGGCAGCGATGAGGTCATCCCTGGGGTAATGTATTTCCGGGGTAAACCCCATTAAACAACCCTTTTCAGCATCCTTATATCGTCACGAATTTAGATATTCATATACAACCCATAGCTTAGAATTGCATATTCGATGGATTAAAGGCTTCTTTTTTAGGAATTTGTATATCTTAGATCATCTCCAACATATTTATCAGAATAATCAAATAGTACATGACTACGCACTAGTATATTACTAGTTAGTGAGTTAACTAACCTAAATAGTCAACTAACCAATACAACAACTCCAGCTAGTTATGGAGTTATTTCAACGCTGATTGATAGATTCCAGTGTCGACAGAGCCAGCCACCATACAAATGTCACAATGGCAGCATTAGTGCAATTGCACGGAGCCGCGGAGAAAAACCTTTGCCAATCTAACGGCGCAAAATAAAATATAAACGAACGTGCAGGGATCGAAACAAAATCACGACCGTCTACCTACTACCAAGGTCGGATAAGAAGAAATGGAGATGCGCTTGGTTTCGACCGAGTCGTTTTTAGACATGAGTGAGAATGACCATGAGCTTCTACACAACCACGGCAAAACCGAACATGATTACGAAAATGAACAAGTGAATAGAGGGAACGCAACTGAAGATGTGCCACTCCATCATCCAGAAGAAAGTCTCCCTCCCTATGAATGCCGCAACCACCATGACTGTGTACGGTCCACGCCGCTACATTGGACGTGATGGATGTTGAACCGGACAGCAGTTTACACGGCCGTGGCGGTGTTTTCCTGGGTGGGATTGTGTCATCTTTCACGTACGGGCAATTTTATTACCAACAAACACAATGCTGCAGTCCTCGAATACAGGGCCGCCCGAATACTCCACATCACCGTTGCCGTAGTCACGGTGCCCATGATATCGGCGCTTTGCGCCTGGGTCCCGGCCGTTTACGTTCATAACCAGCGCGATCCGTATGGTCTGCGATTACGGCAGGTTATGATTGCTTGCTGATCGGACATGGATGAACCCGTTAGTCTTGCTGAGATTGGTGGTTAACACGTCTGGAATCAAGCGGTATGGGAGTGGATTGCTCACCTTTCTCATTGGAGTTGTGACTTATCCCATGCAGTCGTTGTTTCTCCTATCTACTCGCCACGTTTATGTCGCGCCTATGTACAGGTGGGGCGATGCTGAATATCCCACAGGCTTTCAGTCGATACAAACAATACCAAAGATGATCGATACTGCGCCGGCCGGGGTATACTTACGGTGCGCCATGAGCTACAAACGAACGGAGTTGATGGGCAGTACCCTCAGCTTTGGGGCAAGACCGACTCGTTGGGCAGTATCGGGTCAACAATCAATGCCAGTTAGTTCGCGCAACTGCCAAATACCTTCACAACGGGTCCCTTTGCAAACTAATCTGTGCCCTGAGTTAACTCGCCGACCACCGTCGTGAACCTCAATGCTGGTGAGTTCCCGTCTGTTTGCCCTGAACAAACGGGCTGGTTCTATGCATTGTATACGTATCCAAATACTGTTAGTCAGTATAACGCGACGTTGGAGGCGTGTTTGGCAGTGAATGGAAGCACGTCTCCCTGGCAGGGAACCAGTGGTCGTCAAGGCTTTTCGGAAGTGCTGTACCTCGATGCCACCAATGCTGACGATTACTTGGTCAGTTTTGTTAAGGTGGTTATGAATACGACTGCGGGTTTATTTGAGCTGCGAAATCTACCAAACAGCGGACCAAGACCCTTAAACGACAGCTCGACGGGATGTGTGGTCGCTGATGGGGGCTATGGTATGGTGACACTGAGCCGTCGAGAAGGTCTGTATAGTTTTGAGCCATGAATGCCGGGCCTTCGTATCATCGCGCTGGCACTGTTTGGGCCAGGCTCATACGCCGACATATGACTGGCTTACAACATCACTTTACCGCTGTCGCCGCTTGGTGCTGACTTATCTTGTAGACGCAAACGTCGGCATTAGTGCAGCTTTCACGCGGGCTAGCTTTTCGGCCGCCAAATCCATTTTTGACGCGGCGGAGGGAGTTAATGAACATGAGGTTATGTACAACACCTGCTATTCCATAAGTTACTTTGCCCTCTTTATCGTCAGGCGGGTCAGTCATTGTATCCGTGCTGTTTGCTTTGTCTATGGTACCCTTGTTGGAAATGACACTATATGCTGCATACACTGCTCGCTGGACCACTTCTCTCAACTCGATCACCATGCTGCGCATGGGAACTGCTTTCGGCCAAAAAGATCTGCCTTTGCTTGTCCGGACCAGCAAGGTTCATGCTCTGGATGACTTGCCTAGTGTGATCAGGGATTTCTTAGGCTCGGATGACAAGATTCGCCAATTCTCTGGATTCTACTGATTTCCTCGAAAGCATCGACCACTTCAGCGTCTGGCCTTCTATTTACGCAAGCGACATCGTTCCAACGAACAAGTTGCAGTTCAAGGGGTATTTTATCACAGTTTTAGGCGAGTTATTCCGATACTACATGAGAGTCACTTCTCGATTTCTCTCTGAAGCATAAACATCCGTGTTTAGGTATGCCCTTCTCAAACCTAACTCGAGTCATAAGTACGCAACAAAGGGCGTGAGTGACTCAACATGAAAGCTTGATAGAAAATAAGTCTATAAATGTCAGGGTATCTCCATGGACGTGACAGATGCTACTTGCCTATGGTGAAAAAATTAACCTAAGTAATGAATATATTGTTGAATCAAGTATGTGCATTTCTTCTACCTGCGTATTTAGATTGGAGACGAAAGACCATTTCCAGCATATTGATATACGAAAACCACACCGCATAATCGATCGTAAAAATCTATCAAATGCCAGAGTAGGACTTTCAGGTATCATTATTCCTGCCCTCGTCCCGGTATCCATTCGTCAATTCACTTGCGTTTTTCCAACGCACTCTTGATTGCTATTTTATGGTCAGTATCCTCTAACAACACTCGGCAACGCACTAAGGGACTTCATATTCAGAGGGAAAGAGGTAACGTACCATCACATGAACTCTTAGCATCCCCAAAGAGCATCTTGGTATTCGGCATATAAAACATTGGATTCGGCACATCCGCGTATCCACTTGACATGCCCCGTTTCATGACGATGACTTCTTTGCTCTTCCATGCTTGAAGCACAGGCATGCCCGAGATAGGCGAGTCGGGCTCGAGGGCAATCGGGTTCACGGTGTCGTTTGCACCGATAACAAGTGTCACGTCAGTGTCATTGAAATCGTCATTGATTTCATCCATTTCGAGGACGACTGAGTTTAAAGAAATCAGTAACATATACGGCCATGAGGAAATAAACAAACAAACAAACTCACTGTCGTAAGGAACAGAGGCTTCCGCAAGGAGGACATTGCATTGCCCAGGCATTCGTCCAGCTACTGGATGTATGGCAAAGCGTACATTGACCCCTTTAGCCCGAAGCATTTTGGTGATCTCCGAGATGGCATATTGCGCTTTGGCGACTGCCATGCCGTATCCCACAACCTGAAAATTTCTTTTCTTAGTCATTTGAGGTTATGGACGGAATATGGCACTAAAGGATGTTTTCTTACAATGATAACATTCTCAGCATTGACAAGAGAATCAACTGTCTCATCAATGGCAGTCGTCGTCACCTCCCCTTCAATCTTCTTGCTTGATTGTATCGGCGCAATGCCACCGAATAGCACGTTGGTGATAGATCGATTCATCGCAACGCACTAATTGCCATTAGTACTTAATACCCGATATGTTACAGCGATAGACTTGCCATAATATAGGACAGAATCGATCCACTGACGCCGATCAGAGAACCTACTGTGGTTAGTAATGGATTATCGAGCATAAACCCTTCAGCCACGAGGGCGAAGCCGGAATAGGCATTAAGCACAGTGATAACAACAGCTTTTATATGTAAGCCAGGATCGTATATCCAATATGTTTGAAAGAAAAAAGACTCACGCATATCAGCCCCTCCAATGGCTGCCGTTGTTGTAAACCCCTTTAGGAAGCTAAATACCGTATTTGTACCCAAACAAGTTGCAGCAATCAAAGGCGCACCAGGAGCCATAGTCACAAAGGCTCCCATTGTTGCAATATTGGCTCCTAGAAGGGATGAGTTGATTATATGTCTCCCAGGAAGGATGGTGGGCGAAGACTTCATGCGACCAGCCAATTTCATGAAAGCTACAATTGAGCCAGTAAAAGTGACACCGCCAATGAGGACTCCTAGATATGCTGTCACCATATGCAGAGTTGAGACATGGGCGATATCTGCCATGACGCTTCCAATGCTCGTTAGGACTGCTGCTAGACCAACTACGGAGTGTAGAGCCGCAACTGTCTGAGGCAATTCAGTTGGAGTGATACGTCGACCGATAATAGCACCTGCATCTCCGTTAGATTAAAGTATAAATAATAATATGATCGATACTCATGATCTACCTAAGAGACCCCCGATACCAGCAACGGCCCCAAATTGAGCTAAAGTCGCTGGGGCAAATCCGACAGCAAGTAATGAAGCCAAGAAACCAGAGCTGACGCCTAGGATCCCAAGAATATTACCTCTTCGCGCAGTGAGCTGAGATGCGAGCCCAGATATAGAACCTGTTGTACAGCGTTAGTATACCCAAGCCCGTTAGGAGAATATCGCCGTAATCTTACTTATACATAGCACGCTGCTAACCAAATACCCAGCCTGTACAAGACCAGCCATGCCTGTTGAAGCAGCAGCGATGTAACCACCGCCAAAGATAAGGCCCGGAATGGCATACAACCAGGGGTATTCTGGAGGATCGGTGGGGCCTGTGACAGTGAACCATTACAAAACTAAGCACTATAACATATGAAACAAACAGTGAAAGAGATTTCGTACGCTTGAACATGTCCAGCATGCGTTTCGTGATAACAAAGCCTCCGGATACATTTACAAAAGCGAGCAAAACAGAGATAGCTCCCAGTGTTTCGGGGATATTGGTTGGAACATAGCCTCCGCCCATGACGAAGAGTCCACCGATACCAACCATTCCTAACACAAATTATCAGTCTGACTTACCGAACTTGACAGTCCTGTTTGTATTACTGACCAGAAATAGCGTTCGTCACGCTCATCAGGGGAGAGTGAAGAGCAGGGACAACGCCCCATACTGCACGGTAGCCCACAAGCCCAGCCAACCCAAAAGTAAACATGTTACCCATGAATGCAGGACCAGTCAGCTTTCCTAGAGCTAGAGCGGATCCCATGCCCACCGTCACTGTGGCCACTTCACGTGTTGCTTTTTGCCATGGATTCAATGCAACTACTTTTTCATCCTTAGCCGCAATTTGCGCTGTACCAGCAGCTGGTGTTGGAGGAGGCGTAGGAGGCGGGGTTGGTGGTAATATCTCGCCATTGAGGCTCACAATTGCTCCTCTGGTAACTTCATCAGTCAGATCAATAGTAAAGCCTTTGTCTTTATCTGCTAACGAAAGGAGGAAGTTTGTGATATTGTTGGAATACAAAGTAGATGACTGGGTTGGTAACCGCGATGGCAGATCGGTGTACCCTGAAGGTAATCAGCCTCATCAATATATGTATCCCCCCGTATTTGATGGTATAGATTTACGTACCGATGACCTTTACCCCATCGTATACATTTATTTTGCCGGGAATGGTAGCTTCGCAGTTACCTCCAGCTTCGGCGGCAAGATCGACGACGACTGATCCTGGTTTCATCGCACGTACCATCTGGCTTGTGTTGAATATATCGGCTCTACAGCAAGGAAAAAAAAAGGCTCACATACCTCGTTAGTGATGAGTTTTGGCGCTGGCCGGCCAGGAATCAGAGCGGTTGTGATGACGATATCCACCTCACGGCATTGCTCCATGAATAACTTCATCTCGGCCTCGATGAAATCCTTAGACATTTCTTTGGCGTAACCGCCTTGCCCAGACCCATCTTCTTCTAGATCAACTTCGATAAAATCTGCACCTAGTGATTGTACCTGCTCGCGGGCCGCGGAGCGTGTGTCAAAAGCGCGAACAATTGCACCATTTCGACGTGCCTACTATAGGTGTTAGCAGGACATATCATCTAGCCATAGTGTACGAATCACATACAGCAGCAATTGCGCTCAACCCAGCAACACCAGCTCCGATCACAAGCACTTTGCTAGGAGGTATCTAAGAAACTAGGTTAATCAGATTTCAGGTATAAGTATGCGAATATAAAAAACATAATAACCTTTCTGTTACGTTACTTTTCTGTTAGTAATTGCCGTTCTCAATACCCTATACTAGAATGTCTTACCCAGCAGCAGTTACTTGGCCAGTTAGGAAACGGCCAAACTCGTTAGACGCCTCGAGGACGGCTTTGTATCCAGCAATATTAGCCATTGAGCTGTTTGAATGAAATGAGCGCTCGTTAGTGTTTTGAGTCCATTGAATTCAATAGGTTCTTCTGAGATTTTGGCTAACCTCAAGGCATCGAATACCTGGGCACGAGAGATCCTAGGGATCTTGTCCATGGCGAAGGACGTAATTCCACGGGCTGCAAGGGCTTCGACGACCGGCTTGTTCTGCGCAGGGTAGAGAAGAGAGATGATGGTTGCACCATTACGCATGGCATTTACTTCATTCAGAGGGCCATCCTCTATTCCGGGAGCGCGAACTTTTAAAAGAATATCGCTCTGAGACCAGACCACATCTTTTTCGACGATAATTGCACCGGCCTTTCTGTAAGCTTCATCGGTGAACTGGGCTTCAGCTCCAGCACCAGTTTCTATGAGAACCCTAGAGATGCCCCTCTTTAAAAGGAGAACTACGTTCTGAGGCGTAATGGCTACGCGGCGCTCGTTAGGGAATGTCTCGCGCGGAATGCCAACCGTAAATGACTTGTACGGCACCGCCACGGACGAGTTAGATGCTGTTGCAAAACTGCGTTTATAGGGCAGATACTTTGCTGCGGGAGTATGCTCGTGGCAATTCCATGAATGCGGATTTGTCCTCAGACCTTGGGCCTGCCATGCTGTGTAAAGGTGAGTGAGATGTGCGAACTATCGGGTTCTTTGCTTTGCAACAACATGAGCTTGCATACCTGAGCATCGCAGCAAACGCAGGAACCGGCCTGGTTTCAAAGGCGACGTGGGAGAGCACGGCGCCAGAACTGGCACCGTCCTAAACCAGCGCATCTTGACCGGGCTGATCGATAGTCTGTAAACACGATTATGAAAAACAGAGAGGCATGCTCTATCGAGGCCTCAGCGCAGGAAGCAAGTGAAGCAAGAGCAGGAGAGGTGCGTTGGAGGTCGCAGGCCACGTCGCAGCGGGGTTGTCGTCATGTTCAGATAGGTTGCAAGGGACGGAGCGGAGAAAGGATACCTCAGGCATGCACCTGCCTAGATAGGCAATACTACAAGTATAACTCCCCTGGCCCTGGCTCATGCAATCCATACACGTAGGTGGCCGGATAAGCGGATGTTGCTCACAGACAAGACAGACTGATAATTATGTCCAATGAAGTTGACCAGTAACAGCAGCCATTCCACATGGCCTAATGGTGTCGCACTACTATGTTACTATGCTACTCTACTATGCACTAAAAAGCCGGGGTTAATGCGGGGAAGACTCCGCGTGGGGCCCCTATGTATTGCCAATGGTGGTAGCACGATTTTTAGAAAACAAGAAAAAAACGACTGACCATTCATCATTTTTATCGCAGGAGATCATTTTCCTGGACAAGTTACGCAGGGTTATGTATGCTCTATAGAGTCTGACCACTCTTGCTTGCCGTATAAAGCCTATAATACTTGCTCTTCATCGCCATCAGCTGGGTATGAGTCCCATGTTCGACAACGGTGCCGTCGTCAATCACGTAGATTCGATCCGCGTTGACAATCGTGCTCAACCGGTGGGCAATGGTAATTGTCGTGCACCCCTTCTTCAATTTATCAAGTGCTTGCTGGATGCCTGATTCTGACTGTGAATCCAACGCGGAAGTCGCTTCATCCAGGAGTAGAATCATTGGCTGTCGAAGCAATGCTCGGGCCAGCGCGACTCTTTGCTTCTGTCCAACGCTGAGTTGGCTACCCCGGCTCCCTACTTCCGTATTGAATCCGTCCCTGACCAGAATGAGTGATTGTGAGTGTAGCTATTGGGGGGTAAACGCGCCTTGTGGGGGGTTCCCGGAGTAGGATGAATGAAGTAAATCCAAGAGGGTAGACTTACGGGAGACTGGATATAAAGTCGTAGATATTCGCTTCTTTGCAGGCTTTCTCAATTGCCTCGTCGGTGGGTTTTTCGTCGTCATCTAGCCCGATGGTCAAGTTCGACTTGACGGTTCCGCTGTATAGAATGGGATCCTGGCTCACAAGACCGATGCGCTTCCTGTAGTCGTACATGCGGAAAGACTGAATGGGTTTGGAGTCAACAAGCACTGATCCGCTGGTAGGGTCATAGAAGCGCTCGATTAGCGACACAATGGTGCTTTTCCCGGACCCAGTAGTGCCAACGAATGCAACATTCGCGCCAGCGGGAATCGTCAGACTTAAATTCTTCAAGACGAGATGATTAGGGCGCGAAAGGTACGTAAAACTGACTGAGTCAAACTCTATGTGGCCTTGGATGGCACCAGGGTCGACACCGACTGTTGAAAGTGGGTTGATTGCAGATTTCTGAGCCAGGAGATCTTGAAGGGAAGCAGCGGCCTATTTAGCTGACCCAATGCTTGGCGTCCAGGAGAACACCAACCCAGCAGAGTAGGCACTGAGGAGCATGGCAGACTGAATAGAAACTGTCTTGAAGAGACTATACTCGCCAGAGAGGATGAGTGTGCCGCCGTACCAGAAACTAAGCGCCATGCAGGCATAATAAGCAGTTTGAGTCAGTGCGTACATAAAGGACGCCTGGAGATTAGCCAGCAAAGCTTCTCTGTTGTTGGAACAAAGGATTTTATAGTACTCATCTAGAATAGTCTGCTCTCTTATTAGGGCCGCAATGGTCTAGATGCCATTTAGTGTCTCTCCTGCGAACTCTGCTACATCTTTGGCAAATATTTCATTCTTTTTCTGAAATTCTGCGACAAGATAAACGCCAAAGTAGCCACCCCCAATCATGAGAGGTATGACAGCGAAGCACACGAGAGCTAATTTCCACCCTAAAGCAAGCGACAACACGACACCTGAGATCAGCGTGGAGACGCAGATAAGAATAATACCGAGAGCACTACCACTGAGACCAGTAAGGTCACTAGTGGAACTAGATAGAAAGCTAGAAAGCGCAGCAGCCGAATTTTCCTTCTTGTCAAAAAAGGATATATCCATTCTGAGATATTTCTGCAGGACGATGCTGCGAACTCGATTTGTAAGATTTTCGGAGCTAAATGCAAAGGCAATGCCCTGAGCCGCACAGCTGATAAGCATCACAAGGGCGAGTGTCAAGAACATCCACGAATAGAAGGCTGCCTGAGAGAGAATTCTCTCAGTTTGATCGACGGGCTGGGCAAGTGCTGAAATTGCTTCACCGAAAAGTACCGCTGAGGCAGGCTCTTCGCCTCCCGCAATAATGCAACAAATGAGTCCTATGAGTAGCCAATGCAACTCTCCTTTATTCAAGTTGAAAATGAACGATATCATAGAGAAGATGGAGGATGATGTCTCCTCAGCTGTTGTCGAAATACTGATAGATCCATGACTTCCTTGTCCAGAATTATCCTCTTGAGTTGCCGCCTGACTAGCCGTATCAATAAATGCTGTCTTCTCACTTTTCTGCTCTTTGACCTCGTCCGTGGTTCCCTGGTTGTGATAGTCCACGTTCTGGGCATTGACAAGGTCGTAGTAGGATGATCGTGCCGCAATGAGGGCATCATGCTTACCGCTTTCAACCACACGTCCAGCATTTAACACAACAATGTTATCAGCATTGCGAACAGTGGAGAGGCGATGGGCAATGACAATGGTCGTTCGTCGTTTATCTTCCTGGGTCAAGGCGGAAAGTAGCCTAGCTTCTGTTTCACTGTCCAACGCAGACGTTGCCTCATCCAATATGAGAATGCGCGGATTATTGACTATAGCTCTTGCAATTGCGATCCGTTGAAGTTGTCGACCAGATAACCTCGAGCCCCGGGTTCCGACAATGGTATCATAGCCTTGCGGAAGCTTGCTGATAAAGTCGCTCACTTGCGCTGTCTCTGCAGCCTTCTCCACAGCTTCTCGTATCTTGTCCTGAGAAGCAGTTTTCCACTGAGGTCCCGTGAATCCAAGTGCAATATTGTCAAATACAGACTTATTAAACATAAAAGACTCCTGTCTCACGACGGCTATTTGTTGTCGTAGCCAGCGAAGCTGATAATAGCTGAGATCCTTTCCGTCTAGAAGAACACGTCCAGCTAGCAGATCATAGAATCGCTGGAGCATATTCGATATAGAGCTCTTTCCTGATCCAGAGTGCCCTACTATAGCCGTAGTCTTTCCCATGGGAAGCTTGATGCTCACATCATTTAGGACGGTAATTTTTGGGCGACATGGATAAACATGTTTCACATTCTGCAAATCCATAGTAGCATTGTACTGATCTGGCGTGCTTCCCTGGTCAGAGGATGAGTCAAGGGGGGACACGCGCCAGATCATACTAGATAGTCGGCGAGCTCCAGCAAGAGCTGCAGCAAAGGCCTCCATATTTGAGCCGACTCCTAAGACACAGAAGGCTGCTGACTTTGTCACCATGGCAATAGCCACAACAGCAGTGAATGATGTCTTGTTTTCGGTGAGACGCCTAGATCCCTGCCAAAATGCTAAGGCCACATTCATGTAGCCACAGGCGACGCAAATGGCAATCAAAATTGAGTTTAAGGAAGAGACGATAACTCCTTTCTTGGCCGCCTTAGCCAAAAAGCTCATGTATGTGCCATGAATATGCTCCTGGATTCCAAGTGAGGTTGTGGTCTTGATAGAGCCCAAGGCCTCCTCAATAATGGCAGATCCAGCTGAGGAAGCTTCGATGCTCTGGCTACTATAACGAACCGTCAACTTGCCTCCGATATAGAGAACAGCATAGCCCACCGCGAGGGACCAAATCGGTTCAAACATCAGAATCCAATCCATGCTAAAGCATACAGCAACGGTCGCCACCAAGGTACCAAGAGCACTCATCGTCTGAGATAGCTGATGATATGGCTTCCTGGATGGCCTTTGTGTCATCTGTGAGCTGAGAGAGAATATTGCCTGTGCCTTTATCGTCGAAGACAGCCATATTCTGCTTTAACATAGACTCAAAGTAACGCAGCCTTATGGTCCGCGTTATTCTGGCCCCAGTATAGTTGAAGCCCGCCGTCGACAAAAACCAAGTAACCAGCGCGGCCACCACGATGTACACATAGTACACCGTATAGCGATCTAGCTGCGAACGAAACTCGTCACCCTGCGACTCGGCTTCGGAAAATATGAGAATGATTCGAGAACTAATTATCTTCACATAATACACATCAATATCTGGTCCCACCAGTTGATGAGATCGAAAAAGTTTGGGCTCACCGGAGTGACGGGGATTAACGCACCCCCGATGACGGCAAATACTGTGCTGATGGCCACTAGGCACAGGTCAATCCGTGTTGCGTAGCTGTAGATGCCAATGAATGATAGCTTGACATCCTCGAAGTGCAATTGCTGGTCCAGATAATCCAGCTCCACGTTGTCGCTGGGGTCTTTCTCTCTTACTGACGAATCTCTTTCCGGGACTTCCTCGGCCTCGATGTTTCTGACTGATGATGTCGCCATCACGTTGGTTCTTCTTCAAATTTCTCTTTTGACGACTGTACTTTTTCACTTATATTTAATCCAGTTCAATTCGCCAAAGAAGAAGAAGAAAATGAGAAGATCGAATTGCCGCCTTAAAAGCTCACCGTTCCGTACCGCGTCTGTAACGCGCCTACCGTAGGTCGGGCACCTAAATAGGATTGGAGTTTTTGGTAAGTGCCTATACATAAATATATGCATCAGTTATTCTAGACATGTACATTTCACTGACCATCTGTAATATGCATTATGGACGTCAGGTAAAGTGTATTAGTATGACTCCGCCTAGAGTACGGATACCATGTTAATCTACGGAGTACACCGTACGTATCGTAACGAAACTATCGATTTTTCCCTGCTGAATAAAGAATTGTGAGGCAGGTAACACGGTGTCAATCGGTTAGTCCCAGAATCCTGTTAGGTCTTGTGCAGAGGAACAGGTCAGAGTCTCAAATCATCTTCAGACTGGTGAAAAACTTTACTAGCGACTGCGATCACTGACTTCGTTGTATGGCGACTTCACAAACCGGCGATCACTGCTATAGTAACACGCAAATTTTCTGAGAACTTGAGGTTCATTATGACATCTAGGTCAATAGCAACACTATGACACTATGACGATGAGTTCACCAGCTACGGCTCAGGACCTTACAATCCTACATTTCAATGATGTCGTGAGTTGTCTGCATTTTTGGTCAACGGCAAGTTCACTGAAGTCAACAGTATCACGTATCCAACACCGACCTCGTCGCACGTTTTGCTACTGCACTCACGAAACCACGCTCGGTAGCAGTGAATGGGTCCCCTCTCGCTCAAGGCGGCCCGACGTTACGCATCTTCAGTGGCGATGCGTTTTCACCATCACTTGAGGCTGCTGTTCTCCGCGGAGACCACATGGTCCCGGTGCTAGACATCCTAGGCATTGATGTGGCCTGTTATGGTAATCATGACTTTGACTTTGGCGAAGATCGGCTCGTGGAGCTGGTTAAGCAGACTAGGTTTCCATGGACTCTAGCGAATGCTGTCTCTACAGTAGGGGGTCGCCTACTCGCCAATGCGCATGAGTATGTGATAAAAGAAGCTGCTGGATACAGGATTGGCTTCTTCGGCTTAGCAGGCAGGTAAGTAACCTGACCTCATCTCGTGCTTGAAGGTCGGAAATTACTCCGTATCTAAGCTTACTCTGTTGCAGCGACTGGCCATCAAATTGCAAACATCTACCACATTGCACCCTCTTGGACCCCGCGGCTGTGGCCAGACAAGTGGCTGCGCATCTTCGACGCTCAGAAGAATGCGACTTAGTGATTGCCGTCACACATATGCGTCTGATTGACGATCTGGTCGTATCTAATGCCACTCTCTCAGGCGACGAAAGGGTAGATTTAGTGCTCGGTGGGCATGATCATCACGTTATTCGTAGGGAGCCTGGTGACAATAACATGGATCCGGAGACGATACAATCCGGATCTTATGCTTCGGGAGCCAATATGACCAACTTCATTGGCAATGTACGAATTGTTAAGAGTGGAACTGACTGGCGTGGTCTATCCGTCCTGCACCTACAAGTTAGGAGAGGAACTAATAGGGAAGCCTTCTTATCTAATATATCATGTAAACCCCCATGAGTCCACTGCTGGTACGCATGTCGTTGCGTTTGCTCATACAGGGAGTATAGTGAAGCAAATTTCGGATCTAGAACGATTACCCGAATACAATGATATCACACCTTTGCCACAAATGCTCCGCATCCTCGGCACTGTCCATGACGAGATTGAAAAAGTGGTCCGGCAGCCACTCTTTCGTACTGGTATTCCGCTAGAGGGACGAATGAGCCTAGTCCGTCGCCAAGAGACCAACCTAGGAAACTTGCTCGCAGATGCTATACGGGCTTTCATAGCATTGATCAATAGCGGGGCTATACGATGCGATCGAGTTATAAATTGTAACAATGGGTTGCCTCTCTGCATTCGCGATCTCATTGAGATTAGTCCATTCGATAATACATTTGTGGTCAAGCAACTGAGTGGAGAGGTGCTCTCTAAGGCACTTGAGAACTCCGTCTCGAATGCCCATACGGATGGACGGTTCTTAAAATTCTCAGGTCTTTGCATAACCGTGAACTGGAGATGGCCTGAAGGTCGTAGGGTTTGCAGCATCTTCCATACTCCGCCACAAAACGGCACACCACAACCCCTCGACATGGATCGCATGTACACAGTTGCGATGGTAGACTTTATCGGCTCGGGGTTTGATGGATATTCCTGCTTTCAGTCTGCCAAGACCTTAATCAATGTGGAAGGGGCAATAACGGACACAAATCTATTGGAAATTTTCAAGACTAGCGATGCGGATAAAGGGAATTCTGAGACAGCCGGTGACCATACGAATGGTGGTCAAAGGGCAAGAAAAACTATCATCCATCGATATCACGAGCTTGACGGCTTACCAATTGTGATGCCTATATTAGAAGACAGGATAAAATTTCTAGATGAGTCAAACCTATAGTTATGCTACGGGCAGACAAGAAGACCCTTGATGAATAGCGCTCCGCAGGTCACAAAACCCAATATCAAATCACCACAGATATCCGAATGTATTGTAGTGGACCTAGTTGTTAAATAGCTGTCATGGTGTAGAATTGTAAACGTAGTATTGGAACCGTCAGCACCGTCAGACGGGAACGATGTTCCAAGTCCTCACAGGCCCAGGCCCCGCGCTTCCCATGTGACAATGCGGGCCGTGCCGTGGAAATAGTGGAGTAATAGTGGAGTACGTGAGTCATCCCACTCAGCAATACGCAACCTCGTAGAGCAATCTAGAAAATCTCGGAATCTCCCAAAATACGAAAGAAATCGCTTATTGCAACGGGAAAGAGCAAGAACTGCACTGATGTGACAAGAAAATTTACGGTTTGTAAGATATTTGATTTGCGCTAAAACTACTTAGGAAGTAATGTTTCGAAATGTATCTCGAGGCTATAATTGTTATCATTGATTTAGATGCTCTTGCTGCCAATCTTAGTTCTCCACGCGCTGTGACGGTATCGCACGATGTTGGAAATGATATCGCCAGTGACGCGCTTCCTAGATCTACGTTGAACGCCGCAATCCAAATATGGAGCAAGGAGGGTTGCCCTATAGGCAAACAGGGACCAATTCCTAAGGGCTTACGTACAAACACGATATCTAAAGGAGACCGGACGCTATCCATTTCCGTGGGTAAACGAAGATAAGGAGTGGATTTAATCACCTAGTGCGATTCAACAATATATTTTTAAGATGTGAACAGGTGCCACAGGCTCTCATTCAGGCCTAAATTGAGGGGATCCTTCCTTCATATTGAAACAATTATGCCCCTAGAGTGTAAACACCAATATGAAGAACGTTTCGTAACAAGAAGCAGCGTTGCCGGCTGAGAGGCGTACTGCCATTTAGAGACTATCTAGCGTACGAGCCTGAGTCAGATCCGGAGTGGGAAGAGTGGATAAATCTGGTATATAGTTATACGCTGTTTTATGACTCCTTTACGGAGTAGAATGTAGAGATTTACATAAACCGCGGAGGCCGGGTCGATGCGCAGGCGGCATACCCATCAGCACATAGATGAACTAACGAAGGTAACCTTACCCCTCTCACTTATCGCCTGTCATGTTATTCTGGTACAACAAAGCGTTGATATCCTAATCTAAGGCGGTTAATAAGTTACATGCCGCCTAATTCCGAACGTATAACAACACCCTAGCGCATCACCCCTGCGACTATGAACTCCGAGTAAATGTGCTATCGCCGTTGGCGCGTTGGCCATCAGATTCTACTCCAACCTTCGTACGATATACTTGCACTTGACAATGGAAATAGCCTTGGAACGCCCACATACGAAGACCCTGGCGCTATGCACATGTTGAGCGCTTTTTAGTGCAACAAGAAATCACTGTTGGACTGTGCAGTCGTTTGAAGTCTTCACGCACATAGCTGCCGGGTGCCATTCAAATCATATATAATCGCCTAGCTAGATTAGACACTAGCTTAATAGCTTGATTTGCTGATATCTCAACACCAAATTTTGTACGATACAACGATTACCCTGTTTCACGCCAATGCACGTTGGTTTGTTGGCTGATTCATTGATTTCTTACCCAGGCGCTTCGCCGTCAAGTACGTAGCCTACCACAAGTATATTTATCTTCCACGACTGCGCCTCGTGTCTTTGCTAGGTCCTTCGATGGCAATTTACTATTGGACCTACTCATGCATGCCCTTTAGCCCATGCCGCGAAACCCTTAATATGCCTCTACGGAGAGAGTTACAAGCCAGAATATATCAATACGCAACATAGATGTCCACTATCAAGGTCACGGTATCAAACACAACGCATCGAATTTCGTTTTAGTTTTGGATGTTGAAGTTTAACGGCGAGAATAAAAATGTCGTTTGCGTCGAGCACTGACGCGGCCGACCGGCGACGTCAACAGAACAGAGAGGCGCAGAGGAAAAGGCGTAAGTGATCAGTCGCAATTCGTCCGTTGGCTAGTCCATAACATAAACTATCACGACCAACAACAATAGCCTAAGTACTGGAAGCATTGGCTCACTGAGGTGATAGGCGACGCTTTAAAACTCAGAATTCAAGAACTGCAGGCCAGCAACATGGAGCTGTAAGCTTTCAAGGATGCCACGCTCAGATCATCAAGACGTTTAGCCTCGCCCATTTCCAGCGCTGCACCCAAACCAGGGTCCACCAGCGGCCGCCTTGGCCATTGTGCTAGTTCCTTGGAACATGATCTCACTCGTCACATTGGTGAGCAGGAAAGGAAAAGTCCATGTACGACTTTGAATCTTTACTTGCCGACAGTCGAGGATGAGCTCTTAACCCTGAATGGCTCGTCATCAAACCTTTATAGCCCCGAAACTAGTCGCCCAATTGGCTCATCAAATCGACAACTATGAGCAAGTCTTGTCGCCCTCAAATTTGGAAGCGCGGTCCGTGAGGGCTAGCGAGGATGTCGACACGCTCTCGACGTCTCCGTGGTTACAAACAGCGGCCGTGTCTAGAAATGAAGATCTCAATTCCGACATGAGTTTTGACTGCTTACAGGCTGTCTTCTCATCGCCAAATTCCAACCCCCAGACCGAAGCTAGTAGTGCGAGAGGACTGGACACTGCCCTGAATAAACAACCGAGCCCGATTTCTACTTTACGTGATGACCATAGCAAAAAATGGCACAGGGCCGTGCAGGTAGCCATCACAAATCGACAGGCCTCGATAGTGCATCTTCTTGTAAAACACGGTGCCAATGTGAATGCCCAATACGATAAAGGCCGCACAGCGTTGCATCATGTGGCTGAGACCAATGATTTCGAGATGGCCCAGTTGCTTATCGATTCACTTCTGGGAGCACGGGTCAGCCAAAAGGCATCATGATAGAGCATCGCTCATATTTGGCTAACGCCATTTCCCAACAAGAAGCGTGTCGTGTGGACAAACAATCTAGGGTACTCCAATTCGCAAGTCACAGCTTCGACGCAATCCTCGTCGAGGTGCTCACGCCGCTGCTGGCTGGGGCATGTGTGTGCATTCCATCGGATGAACGCCGCCTCAACGACCTGGCCGGTGCCATAAGAGACTTACGCGTAAACTGGATGGGGGTGACCCCAACTCTGGCTAAGGTAATAGACCCTAAAGATGTGCCCGAGCCGCAGACGCTCTGCCCCTGGGGCGAACCAGCCACCGGGGAGGTAATAGAATCGTGGGCCGATGCAGTCGAAATGATCAACATCTACGGTCCTTCCGAGGCCTCCGTGGAATCTACGTTTCATTCGTGGTCCAAAGGAACCCGAAATCCGTCTCACATTGGTAAAGCAATAAAAGCAGCCAATACCTGGATCGTTCGTCTCGACAATCGAGAGCAGCTCGCTCCTATAGGCACGATTGGCGAGTTAGCTGTGCAAGGGCCAACTGTGGCCAGGGGGTACTTACATGACCATGTCCGCAGCTCTGTTTCGTTCAAAGATGGCGCTCCTTGGCTGCAACCTGATGCCGTACACCGACGCGTTTACTACACGAGCGACCTCGTGCGATACGCCGCCGATGGAAGCTTGGAATTTTGGGGCAGGCGTGATACACAAGTCAAAATTAGGGGTCATCGCGTCGACCTTCAGGAAATTGAATATCATATCAACCATAGCCAAGCAGGGAGCTACATGACTTCAGTCGTCGAGGTGGTTCGACCCGCCTATAGTCCAACCCAAAATATCCTTGTTGCTTTCATTTGTGAACGACGCGACGCCATCTGCTCATCCGGGAATCCACTCCAGGCTGTCTCGAACGCCTCCCGAAATACCGCGGTCATGATTGAAAAATATCTGGTAAACTGCTTACCGGCTCTTAACAACCCCCGACTAGCACAATTTGCATCAATTATTTCGAAAGAGCATGCAACGGTGAAAGAAAAGCAAGCAAGCACCGGTTACTTATCTTTCTCCTCCTTACCTCATGCATTCGTTGACGATTTCTTGCGCGAGGTGGCAGCTCCCCGCTTAGGCGTCGAAGTTTCAGATATCGAAGACGCTGCCTTGGCCACGGATTATCAAATTGAGAACCTTGCGTGGTCTTCCTTAAAATCGCGCGGTGGCACGAACTATATACGCTTCCAGTTCAGGAATGCTGGTCTTGACCACCGGCAACTCCAGCTGGCAATTGAGCGGCTTGTCTCGTATCACCAAATATTACGCACAGTCTATTTGGTCTACCAACGACGTGTCTATCAGGTTGTGCTAAAACAAATACCAGTAGAGATTGTCCACTGCACTCAAACAAGAGACGTATCCAAGACAACCTCGGCCTTGATCGAATCCGACTCGCGCCAGCCCGTTGACATTACCCGCGCACTCATCAAGTTCTGGCTAGTACGCGACACGTACGGCGCGGTGAAGTATCTCGTTCTCCGCGCCTCCCATTTACAGTACGATGACGTGAGCCTGATCAGACTATGTAAGGAGCTTGGCTTAGCGTTCGCTGGGGCTGATCTGCTTCCAACAAGCCCATACTTTGGCTACGTGCATTTCGCAGCCAACCATGATGAACAAGGCGCCAGGCAGTTCTGGCGCAGTATTCTAGCCGGATCTTCAATGACTAGTGTCGTTCATCACACAAGTATTCCTTGGAAACATGTGTTAGACAAGTTGAGATGATTGTCGACACCGCCATCGTCCGGTCTCACTCGGATATCACCATTGGCACTACTATCAAAGCTGCTTGGTCATTGGTTCTGGCTGAGATGGCTGGTAGTGATGATGTCGTGTTTGGCTCCGTTACCTGGGGGCGAAACGCCATGTATCCCGGTGTAGAAGATGTGACGGGTGCATGTATAGACAACATCCCAGTGCGTGTGCGTCTCACTCCCAACATGACGCAACTGGATCTTCTACAACAGGTTCAAGGCCAATATTTTGAGGCCGTCAGCTATGAGAGTTTCCGGTTCAAGCGCATTGTAGAGGAATACACCGACTGGAAACCTTGGGAGCGACTGAGCTCCCTAGTTGAGTACGAAAATCTAGGGGAGGACTTCACCCATTTCATCATAGATGAAAGGCATGATTTGGTCGTTGATGAGGTCCGACCGCCTGCAGGTCGGCACGATATAACGATCTATAGTACTCCAGTAGGCGACCAGGAGACCTTCATCGCGCTTGACTTCTGCAAGGCAGTCGTGACTAAGCCAATGGCACAGAGGATGCTGACTCGTATGATAGAGCACATACGACAGCTTCACGATGATCCATACGGGCCGATAGTCCTCGGTGCAGTCCACGAGACTGGACTACCGCACATTCCCATTCCAGTGCCAGCCACAATCTCTTCAGAGGCCGATTCATGCGTGAGCCACGATCACTTAAACATCGAAAATCTTGACGATGACCTCGATGACCCAATACGCAAGCTTGTGGAGAGAGCGTGGACTGAAGTCCTGGTGTGCCAACCTGTAGAAGGTTCTACTAACTATTGGACGGACCAGGTGCCGTTCTACCATGTCTGGGGTAACCTCATGGCTTCATACGGATTAGCAAAGTACTAGCAATATCACCACGATCTAGGGTCTCGCTATTATCTAGATCCTCGTGACACTTGAGACTCATTCCCCCGAATCAATCCTATTCTTTGTCGCAGCTCGAACGGCATATCCCGCAGAGGCTGGAAGATTCTCGCCGGATGCACGAAGTTAATACCGAAATATGCGGTATAACCGCCAGTCGCCTCATCCACCGAGAGAAGTGCATTTTTCAGGGATCGCCCACCCAGAAGCTTACCATCAGACTCCAGGTTGAATGAAATCGTGACTGGGGTACTTTTCTCTTTCGCTAGTTCTACCACAGCAATTGCTTCATTTAGGTTCGTCACTGTTACGAGTGACAGCATCTCTACCCCCTCATCGACCAAGGTAGAGATTTGATCACGGTATGTCTCCTTTGCGGATGCGACTGAAATTTCATGAGGAGAATAAGCTTCGTAGGCGTCTCGAAGCGGACCTACAACGCCATCAAGAACAATGCAGATATTCGGCGTTTCCTTCGTTAGCTCGCCTCGCACTTGCTTGAGAAGTTTCACTGCAGAACGATTGAGATCTAAGATCTCGGTCTCTGTGAGATTCAATTGCTCAGCCCATGCAGAAGATGCTCGCCAAGTGCGGGTGTCGAGGATAATCCCCATTCCATGGGAGACAGCAATATTGGCATAGCACTTGTAGAGGGAAGCAATCAAATCTCGGCCCGAAACGGATCGCAGCAACGGTGCGCTAGAGAAACAGGGAAGATGGAATTTGTGTCTATAGTAGATCGTTGTATCAAAGCCGGCTTCGGTAAGGAAGGGCACAGAAGAGTTGAAATGGGCAGGAACCATCTTCGCCAGGATGCCCGACTATGCATTGGCGATGAAGCCTTTGCGAAATTCACCCGGGACAAAATATTATCCTAGTTATAATTATATTCTCTTCCATCCCCTTCTTATTCCTCCAGATGTTTAAAACATAGTACTGAAATTCTCACTGGGAATTGGCGTTTGTAACACGACGCAACAAGTTGTGGTCGAGTACGTAGTATGTGTAGGATGTGTCAGCAATGTCGTGTTGGATGTGTCAGATTTAGGCAAGGGGAACCACCGAAAGTAATAGCATGTAATTAGTTATATAGAATACTATATACAATATAATAGAAATGAGTTTGTACCTACGTAACAGCGGGAGCTGGGTTGAAGAGAGTCTTCACTGAGGAGATATCCCGCTGAGATTATTTATGCTGCACACTAACAAATCATCATAGACAGAATTTTTACTATAGTAAGCTCTTGTCACTTTACTATGGGCATCCGTATGAACTAGCAAAGGGCTCGTAGCAACAGGATTACCAGTATAATACTACTAGAATTATCATTGTATCATTGTATGTATTAGATGTGCTTTAGACTACTTGGCTTGACAGTCGAAAAATCTTTCGCAACTTGTACTCCTTACTACCCCTCTCACGGAGTCCTGCATACAGATCTTGAGGTTCAAAGCTCAAACATAGAGTTAGCCTGAGACGTCCTAAATATACAACGCCCTTGCAGGACACCTTTGTCGCCTACGGTGTGGAACGCTTTTACAATTATCATAACAGGACAAAGCCTTTTAGCCAATGTAACGACAACACAACATGTGTAAACATCAAACTCCATGTCCTATTCTGAACGTCCTCCAATTAGATACAAATACGTCCCCCCAAAGGAAAAGACCAAGTAGGGATAACAACCTAGTTACTTACTAGATAGATTCAACCACCAAGCTAGGTAGGATACAGATAAGCATAAAAAAGTAGAAAAAACCTTGGAAAAAAAAGGAACAGGGGATAAAAAGCAATCGAAGCGATGAGCTCCATAGTTGCATAGGCAAACAGCTGCCCTAAGACGAGAACAATAGAAAAAAACGGTGTCCAATTAATTAGAGAAATCAAAGAGGGTATGCATTAGCTCATGCAGGCTTGAGGTTCAGTGGGGTGTCCAAATGTCAGCGTATGGTGTCAGCATATAACGTGGGGGCAGGATGTCGTCGAATTAAAAGATGAAAAGGTGGGAAGAAATGCTTTGATGATCAGAGACGAAACGAGGATCTGGGATCACAATGGTAAACAGATTCGAAGTGGCGTCATGCTTGTGAGAGAGCATCATGGGGCTGAAAACTGTGTACATGAGTACCTATTAACGGGTGCGTTGTTTACCTAGCCCCCGAAATCCGCCCATCAGTAATTTCATCGGACTATGAGATTGTGCCTTTGAAGAAGCTGGCGCTAATCCTGACGTCGATATCGATAGCTTCCGTGTGAAAATTGGGGACGAAGTGCTAGAATTCGTCCTCAATCGAGACCGTGTCATAGAGGACTCAAGATCTTCAGGGGCCGTGGCGAGGGACAAGGATAATGACGGATTGCGCGGGCGAGAGTAAGGAAACGTGTTGATATCTGTCGATAATGTATTTGTTCTTTCGACAGACGACCAATCGACTTCACCATAACTTGCTAATGCCGAGTGCGGATGGGGCGTGAGTATCTCAAGATTGGGGCTGGAGGAAGTTATAGGGGACATTGGGGTCGTGATGATCGAGAGTGGATGGGGGCCCGATTTGAGAATATCAGCTTGATTCTGTGATGATGATGACTCTAGTGGTTCGACAGAAGATGATCTCGAGTTCTGCATGGATGTGCTGGACCAGTCATGTGAATGAACTTGTTTCCAAGATATTGCGCTCGTAGTGGTGTCGTCACTAGCGGCACTTGAGGTCCGAATAGAGCGTGGCCGTGAGTAATTTCGCTTCATTCCATGATCTGGCGTACACCGATTGCTTGTAGAAGACCATTGAGATGGGGTTCGTCTCGACCGTAATTGGTGTATCTCTGAACAATCTGCATTACGGCTGCCCTGTCTTTCTTTCAATGAAGAGTCCGCTCGAGGTCGTGATCGGCCGCGTCCTTGGTATTGAGAGGAGCGGGTACGTACATGACTCTGAGAATCAATGTAAGCAACCTCGCCACTCTGGTTCAAGTCACGGTAGACCATGGCCGAATAGCGCTTAGGACGGTCTACTGGGCTCATGCCTGATGCGCTTGATGACCTCTTCGTTGACGATCTTTTGCCGGCATTAACCGGACGGTCAAGGATATTGTTTTTTCCCTCCGGTTTGCACGTAGGATGACCCATTCGAGCAGATAAAATTGCTTCAGTTGTGGGACTGGAGATCATGACAATGCTGGGTCTCGAAGCCGGCGCAGTGAAGACGACCTCCCTGGCCTCGAAGACTTCGTGCAATTCAGAATCATGTGTTACTTCCTCATCGATATCGTTGGCGAGTATGAGTTCCTCTCGGGGATAGTCTCCAGACACTTCCGGCATGTAGCACACTGGCGACAAATAGAAAGGAGATACCGGGGCGGTTACATACTCGGTGCAAGGAGACACGTCGCCGTTGTCTTGATCCTGATATTGGGCAACATAGGTAGCCGCACTGCTGCGTTTTGCAGTTGTAATCGAGAGACGGTTTGAATAAAGGCTGGACGAGTCATCTGGCGACTCCAGTCTCGATGGAGACAGCATTCCAGCCTCGGCCTCGCTGGCAGACTCGTCGACATCGTCCTCGTCATGGCTGCCGGTCTCGCCTTCAGTTGGCGAGAAGACACTCTGCGAGCTGGTTTCTGACACGTCTTCCTCTTCTGATTCATATCGCTTCCACGATGGTGCCGGATGCATCTGTAGTAAATCTGGTTGATTTGATTTCACGGTCAAGTCAGGAGCCTCCATGCTATTGTTGCTGTTCTTGTCCTCCGGTCTCGCTTTCTCTGCTTTCCTTGTTAAAAGCACCCACGGTCAGACATAAGCCTTGATCTCAGCAAGATGGTTTTCTTGAGGATATCGCTCTGGCGGCCGGAGGGGTAACTAGCTGGGACAAAGAGAAAGGCAAGAATCAATGAATGACATGAGGGGGGAAGAAAAAGGACATGCGTAGCACAAGGGTGAGACAGCAGCTAAATTTGAAGCAGCAACAAGCAAAAGGTCAAAGCACTCGATCCCAGTCAGGAACGAGTCTGAGAGAACAGTCGTATATGGCAACAGGGGGCCCTTCGGATGCGATCTGCCAGCATGATGACCGACCGAGCGACAGACAGGGGGCCAGGAATTTGACAGGCCGGTGCATTCTCAGAATGGATATGGGCGAGCCCTGGCATGGCATCATGATGGTCCGGAACTGGAAAGCTGAGGGTCCAGCTAGTTGTTGGATTTGCTCCGACGTGAACCTTGAAGAGAGCCAGAGAGTCGGAGAGTCGGCGGCGTGCGTGGCATTAGCGGCGGAAGGCCGCCCCCTCACGACTTCCACGCCCTCTCTCCTCCTCCCTCTCTCCCTCTCCCTCTCCCTCTCTCTCCCCTGTCTCGCTCTCGCGCACCGCCTACATTACTTACTCTATTATGTGCAGCATACCTGTTCTGAGAACGCCCCTCCTGTCTACAGAGGCTGCTGCAACAGTGTTATCCTTGATCACATCCTTGTCAGGATTCGGAACTCCGGCTCACTTATACTTCGCTAGGGCTCGCTGATATGACTGGTCCTGTCAAGGGAGAGAATCTAGTTAGCCTGCTTTTCCATGTACTCACTTCTGCTATAGTGATCCGTTATCCAGCCAAGGTGTGAAGGAGGGGGCCACCGGGAATTCGAAAGTCGCTGACAGGTCTAATGACTCCAAACCCGTCATGCTGCATAGCAGGACGAGAGGGACAATTGCAGAAAACTAGTCATGCTCTGTCCCTGATTACGTACTAGCCAGTCCCCAACACACGGCAAACGCTGCGCTCCGTGCTCCATTTTCAACGGCCATGCCATGATGGGACCTCCTGCAAGAGACTGATTGTCGGACTTGACGTGCATGGTTAATGGTCCACCGACTAGTGAAGCCATTTAACGTGGGTGTGTGACACGTCCTGCGGCCGGTTGTCGCAAGGTACGCCGGACTAAAGAACTTGGCAGGGGTGACACGTATCACTCTGAGAAATCATTCCCTGTCTCGGTGAGACTCTGTGAGACGTATATGCAAACCCTTGGCAAAATCCGGTTTGTTTCAAGATGCTTTCGCTAGAAGTAATTTTCTAAATATCACTGCTAATATATATTGGAATATTACGATATGCTAACTAAGTATCATTAGGTAGACATATCTGATTAAGAAACGGAGAGCAGTTTTGCAAAGAAGTTTCCAGGAAAGTGTACGCGTGTTGGAATACCAAATTTAAAAGCCGATTTTTTAACGCTAGGTTACTTGAAAAAGAATCAATTCCTGCGAAACTGAAATTGAAATCTGATATTAACCCGTGTGAACGAATCAAATGACTTCCCCGACTATGACTTTCTTCTCCGATAACTAACTAACTATCATATTCTCACGTCGGCTTACAAGAGAGTAAATCTGAAATGGCCACTACAAGGCCGTCCATTGCTCGTTTCTCCACCTTACTGTGCAAGAAACCGTTTCCCATGCCTTCTTGCGAGCCATCTTTACCCCCCGGCATACTCATTGATGAAGAGATCACGCCAGTATACGATTTCAAGTACTTCTACCCAGCAAAGCCCGGAGAGGTACTCGCTGATCGGTACCAAACCATGGTCAAGGTTGGTTGAGTACATTGCCACGGCAGACCCATCACATCGGGGTCGTTCACTTTTCCGAACATTACTGGACTCTTTTGAAATTGATGGTCCGGGAGGTTCTCATTCGTGTCTTGTTTATCCTGCTCTTCTTACGGGGCTTGAATATCTTCACAAAGATTGCAAGATAGTTCATACGGGTAAGTTTATCTTCGGCATTGCTTCCTGTCTGTGATACTGAGTCCAGGCCGCCGCCTATCTCAAAACGAAAATCACTCTCAGACTCACAAAATATCTCATGTCGCTTTCTCTACGAAGACTTGATCCCCGACAGGACACTAGACGACACAGTTCTCTTCCTTGAGGGAGGGGAGAAGGAAGCTTTTTTGGATCTCGCCAAAGAAATGCTTGCCTGGCATCCAAATGTGAGAAAGACGGCAGGCGAACTGGTGAGGCATCCTTTTCTTCAACCAGAGCAAGCAGGCGTCTGATTTCTGCGAGCGTTTACTAGCGGGAAATCGTGGTGGATCCCAGTTCAGCGGTGCCATCAAATCGGTTGACGTAGTTGTCTTCTTGAATGAAATCTAATAGAGTTAGTTGATCTACTAGATCTGACAACAGATGAGATTTTGCACAGTCAAAAGCCCGAAAACCATCGATGGTGGAGTGAGATTCATTTGATACAAGCAATCAAACTGAGATATTTTACAAGGATCTTTTCTCTTCCAACCTTGGAACTTTTTGCATTTCATATATATGAATCCCCCTTTCCGTTCGTTAAATACTTACAATAGATTTTGAAGCCTCTGTCAGAATAACGTTCCAGGACCTTATTATCAAGGATGACACTATAATGTGCGTCATATTTCGACGCGGTGGTGCTGCCGTCTAAGCGCTTCGCTAAGTGGCATAACACCTGTCAATTTCTCTAGCAGATATTATTGTTTGGTAATAGAGAACGGACGTATTCCCAGAGACGCTTTGGATCCTAGCAATGAAATCCGACTGAGCATAAGCGTACTCATCAACCCTTATATTTGATAAATTTTGATGCTGCTACTTGTTGTCACGACGTCGTGGTGGGTCAGGATGCAGCAGGAGAGGAAGTCGAGGGGCGGCGGCCAGTCTTGCAAGGACCGACTTCGTGATAGCGCAAGCAGACGACACAGAGAGCTCGAACAGGTCTGCGCTTCCTCCACCTAGGTTTGGCTTTTTACCACCAGAACCAGAGGAGTTGGAGTTGCCAGGGGCGTTTATGCTGTCTTGCAATGTGAGAGCCATGGCTAACCCGTTGGATTGTCGAGATGCTGAGGGAAGGAAGAAAAGAGGAAAGAGAAAAGAGAGGACGCAAAGACGTTCATATATCAACAATTAAGCGATATCAGTGAACACATACAAACGGAACAACCAGCCTCTCGCTTATCAGCATAAAGAGCTGATACTACTTGGTGATAAAGACATATTCCAAAGATTCATCGATGCAGGTGTTGGCATCAATGCGCGAAAACAGAAGGGGAGAAACCGCACTACTCAACTTGCAGAAGCAAAAATCATGAATATCTTGATTCGGTAGGGGGAAGACGTACCCATGCTCCGATTTCGAGTATTGGTAATGATGTTTTCGCCCGAAGTAATGATGCTCCGAGTCATTGCTGGAATTAAACACTATGATTGATCATCGTAGCCTGCCACCACATTTGAAAATCTTGAACCAAGGGATATGCACAGGACTAAGAGACAAGCAAGGGTGGAAGACGATCAGAAGCACTCGAGCCCGCCAATCATCGGATTGACCAACAGGGGTCAGAGAGGACAGAATACGAAGTTACAGGAGGAGATTCGGGCATTGCGCAATCCAAATCGAGACACAGGCATCTACAAAGATAAGAAGTATGACCAGTCCCCAAACGGGTCCAGTCTATACCTATGATGGCTAAGCTAAGTGGTACTATTCATGTTTTCTAGATTTTAATTAAAACAACATTGGAACACACCAGCTACCATGATGTTAGGACAAGCTAGATACCTAGGTACAGGCTACTTAGAGAGAGCATATACCCGTGTAGCAACGCATGACTCGCGTGCAAATTGGAGTTCTTCGAGTGCCATTCATGGAGATGTTCTCGTACTCCAGATACATAATCAGATGCCCTCAATTATTTATCGACAAAACATCATACATATATTAGTCTTTTAAAAACCCCCACGGCATTGAAGCATAGCATACATAGCATATCAGAAAAACACGGCCCGTAGTCGGCAAAGACCTGACTGGGCCTCATGATGGATCAAGATCAATGGCCAAGAGAAAAATGAAAATGAAAATCCCCCAATGCAAAATGCAGGATCGTGGAGGTAATGATTTACAATAAATAACACAGAAAGCGAATGCCCGCTGGCAAAAAATCTAGAAACTAGACGGCCGTCTTCGCTGCAATTGCGTTTCCCAAATAATCCTTGCCTTTCCCCCTTTGTATTATTTTCTTAGATGACCTAACCGGGAAATTTACCCAGTCGTGACCAGCCCTCATTAAACATATAATATCTGTAACAATAGAGTACAGTCGAAGATGAAAAGTTGTTTTGGTAACGAGCCCTGTAGGCACGTCGGTGCGTTCGAAGCATTGTTGCGAAATTGTAAATACTTCTCCGTGAGTCTCGCCAAATAGTAACCGAGGCTAACTTTTTCAGAACCTCGGTGTGAGCTAGACAACCCAACTCACTCCCGATATTGATTTATGCCTTGCGGGAACGAGTGACAGGTCCTTGACGTCCAGATGTTGCGGCTCCATTTGTCGCAGGCTTGGTACGACCGTTGGCAACGGGGCTGGGAACTTGGGCATCTTTCATATCAATAAGGGCTTGACGACCAGTGTTGCTGCGAGGACGTCCGGTCTTGGCTGCCTTCTTATAAGTGACGAGGTAGAACGAAATGAACAGAAGGAGGTATGAAGTGAGAATGGCGATACCAGCAAATGCGGCAAATTCCTCACCAGCACAAGTACCCATGTTAGGAGCCCATGGGAAGTAGGTGCTGGAGAAGTAGGTGTAAGATGTGAAGTAGACGAAAACTATTTTTCGTTAGTAAAAGTAGGTTTCAAGTGTAGCAAAGAAAGAAAGGCTTACCTAGGTCGATAACAAATTGAAGGATCTGGAACATAGTAATGTACTTCTTCCACCAGATGCGAACGCCACGGGCACTCTGAAAGTAGTACCAGTACATGATGACATGCACGGCCAAGTTCAAGGTGATCGGAACCCAAGACACAGCGGTCAATCCAATGAGCTGAGTCCAGCACAACAGAGCGGTGGCACCATGGTGGTAGGTGTGGAGGAAAGTCAATGGCTTCTTCTTCAGCACAAGGAAGACGGTGTCGAGGAATTCAAGGTACTTGTTGAGGTAGTTGAGCTGCACACTAAACGTTAGTTTTCCTGTCCAGACTTCTAAAGAAAGCGGCGATTGCATCTCACATAGTACAAAACAACCAAAGGCTGAGTCCATCCACCCTCGTGGTCACAGACAGTATAGAAAATGCCGTGGTGGTAAAGCGTAGGAAGTAATTGCTCGATGAACAGAACCAACAAGATTCCGCTGATGGCAGTAAGCAAGAAGTTGTGTATCATGAACAGAGCGTTGAGTTTCAATGCCGGGAATTTCTTCATAATTTCACGGCCACCGAAGATGACGACATAGTAGGTGACTAGAGCAGCGACGGTTTCCTTGAAAGTAGACATCGGTGTCTGGTCTCTCACAAAACGAAAATCGTCTGCAGGATAGCCGACCGCGGCTTCGAAGGCCTTGTTGAAGTAAGGCCATAATTCGATGCCGAATGGGCGATCGATGGTGGGAAGAGGGATTTGCTTGAGGTCGAACGACATGGTGGAGGTATTTGAATGCAAAACTTGGTGCTTCGAGGACCGCACTCGAGTTTCGATTATACGATTGAGCAATGTCCGATGAGGCTGAAACTGTCAAGACGCCTTCTGTTCTTTTCAGGGTAAGAAGCACGAGAGCGATGGCGCAAAAAGAAAAAAGAGAAGAGAAGAAAAAGGGATTGATTATAAGAAATATATCAAGAGCAACAACCCGTCCGAAGGAATGGGTGCAGAATTGCAAATAAGAGAAGAAGAAGAAGAAGGAAGGAATTGAGACGAAAGCCAGGGAAAAGCAACCGGCTCGAGGAAGGAAAACGCAAAGAAATAGTTTTGAGATTGGAGCAGGGGTGGAACAGCGAGATGATTTCCAATTTCTTAGGCTGAGATTGCAGCTCGCATCTTACAGGTCCGCCGGCGGCCAGCGCTTGCCTGTGTTGGGCCTAGCGCGATCCGCCCTGGTAAAAGGGGCTGCCGATGTGCCTCGAGGTACCTGCGCTGAATGTTGCTAACAAATTGTTAGTAGGATGCCTCGGAGGTACCTACGGGTACTTTAGACTGGATCGCAACCAGCTCGCAAGATCCTCCGTGCTTCCGGCTTCTCCGCAAACTTGACAGCCGTGCCTTGTGAATGTACGGAGTGCAATTTAGAATTCTAATCTACTAGTGATAGTTATCGCAATGTCTAACAGCCAGCAGTAGCCGTGGCTACGCAGTACTTGACTGTAGGTCGAATGAATGATATTCTCGTTCCTGAGTCTATGCCTGCCCTGGAGTTGACCAATGAGCGTCCGCGCAGAGCTCTTACTATCTACATTGTTATTGGCTCACGACAGGTCAATGTAAATACGGGCAAAACCAGAAGAAGCCATGATCTGACAGTAATCAATTGGACACTTTACTTTCATGGAGCAAGAGACCGATCGTTGTTGTGATAAGAATAGTTAGTTATCATAATAGACATGCTATCATGCCGGAAAGGGAAAGGTTGCGGCCTTGCAGCCTCAGGCCATCACGCGGCAGTCACACCACCCGCAAAACTCCGTGGGCAAACCTCCAACGCAAACGCAACGCCAACCTCACTTCCCTGCCCACGACCTGTTACCTTCCATTGGGGAAGAGCACGCACACAGCTTACCCTTCTTACTGTTCTTCTCCGCTCCAATGGCCTCTACTACTCTTTTCCGCCTCGCGACGCGATCCGTTCGCCCAGCAAGCTTCGCCAGAGCTTCGTACGCTCGGTCAGGCCTTTCCGCCCGTGTTGCTCCTTCGTCGCTCGCCATTGCCAATAACTTCACCACCTCTTCCAAGCTCCGCAGCGGTCATGAGGAGGAGACCTACGAGGAATTCTCTGCCAGGTACGCATTTATACCATTGGGTGTTGGGCGCGAGGGTCAGGCAAGGCGCGGGAGAATGTCTCGCATGTCCAAATTTGATCATATCATGCGTGCCACTAGACATTCGTCAGCGACTGCCATTTAACCTGCAATTTGTGTCGCTCATTCATTACAATTGCCTGACTTCTGATACGTCAATTCTAGATATGAGAAGGAATTCGATGCCGTTCAAGATGTCTTCGAGCTCCAGGTACGTCACCTCTTTTGAAAAAGCCTGGCGGAAAACACAAGCGTTGAGCCGGGCCGTCGGGTACAATCAAACAATCCGACCAAGAATCTCCCAATAACAGAACTCCACTTGACTATATATATGCATACGTACATACTAAACTTGCTTCGTCTTATGCAGCGCAACTTGAACAACGCTTTCGCCTACGATCTCGTTCCCTCTGTTGAGGTTCTCTCTGCTGCTCTCCGAGCTGCTCGCCGAGTCAACGACTTCCCCACTGCCGTCCGAGTTTTCGAAGGTTCGTTGATCTACTGCCACATATACCTCACTCCTTTACTTCCGTCTGACCGAAGCTGACTAATTCCAATAAACAGGCATCCGCGCCAAGGTCGAGAACGAGGGTCAATATAAGCAATATCTCGAGGCGCTCGAGGGTCTCCGAACCGAGCTTGGTGTTTCCCTTCGCGAGGAACTCTACCCCAAGAACGAGTAGAAACAGCCATTTTCACAATGCTCCTTACTTTTTGTGTGTTTCCCCGTGTGTGTGTGTGTGTCTAAATCTGTGAAATCTTTCGCCCTCGACCTTTGGAGAGAAATCTGTATAGATAAATAGAAAGCTTTATGGACGAGAAAAGCCGAAAACAAAAAACGATAAATCTTCCAAAGTAAACACAAACTATGAGCCTCGTTTGCTTCATGCCTGACTACACCCTTATAACTATCATTGTAATTCCCTCAGTCCTCCTATACTTAAATCTAATATTAATTATGCATAAGAGATTACGAACTCAAAACAAACTCATGAAAATCGACTGACCATATAAACCAAGAGGTATCCATATTTATGTATATAGGTATTTGACATACTTCAAAACTTGATGGGAAACGATTTGAGTACAGGATGAGTAAAAATCACAGTTGCACAAACAAATGCCTGATAACGCCGCTCCTCGCTATAAATTGTTTCTGATAAAAGAATATATATTGAACAAGCAATTGCTGAAGAAAAGTCGTTCATATACATTACAGAGGAGGTAAATGCAATCTCCCAAAAAGATAATAAGGAAAATAAGAAGCGGATATCTTCATGACTCATCATGTACCACTGGGGAAATAAGATAATTAATGGGTCCCAACATACTTGAAGTAATTGGGACGGCAATCTTCCTTAGACAACCAGGAGGCTCCCTCGTAGAATTTACCAGGGGTACAGCCTGAACATTTCGGTGAGTTGGGACAGTTGAAGTAAGGAATATGACGATAACCGATGTCTCGGAACCTGTAAGTTTTGTGTTTATGTGTTAGTCCTTTTGTTGTTGCTCTGCTTATATAAAATGTCGATATTGAAATGGCACGTACCAGTGGACCTTGCTAGCATCTTCAAAGAGACCCAGAGCGACAGAATGGACAGGGGCATCACCCCATCGTTCATAAAAGAAACCACCAGCACGGTCGAGGTAGTTGAAATAAGCCTCATATCTTTCGCTGCGGAAGAAGTCCATATCACCAATCTCAAAGTTCGACCAGAAGTGGCAGGTCGAGTATCCATTGGCTTTTTTGTTATGCTCAGGGCGCAACTTATCGTCTACAAGCCATTCCATCATGTTGTTTTCGGCAACGTACTCGGGGTGTTCGGCAATGAAGCGCTCAGTCTCCGGCCATAGCGAGGGCAGACTTTCCGGCGCATCGAAGAGATTGATTGTAAATCCGTATGTTTTGTTGTGATCTTGCATGTATCGGAAAACGTCGTAATCGACATTGCAGAAGAACTGCACCTTCGGTTCGACTCGCCAATAGTACCGCGTGTTGGCCAAAGCCGGGTGTTTGTAGAACATACCGCTGTTCCATCGGCACATCTTGTGATACGAGGACTTGCCGCTGTATTGAATGCCTTGTTCTTCCAGGATTTTGTTCGATTCCTTAACCAACTCATCATCGATCCACTCGGGGGCTTCCCAATGCTCTGCGGGGATTTGTTCTAGAATAATTCTCGTCAGCCAACGTCCACAGATGCAAAGAGATATTGTCCCATACCATAATAGCATTTAGCTTTTGTAGCCTCTTGCGTCTTGCGCTTAAACTCCTCTGTGAATGGTTGGTCGTTCAGGAATGTCCAAGGGTAGTTGAACTTGTGGTTCCATGTGCGCTCCAAGTCACGCATCGTCTTGACCAGTTCGCCGAGCTCTTCATTACGAACCAATGAAAGAAGAGTCGCATTAATGCGAGCGGATTCCGTACTATCAGGGGCGTAATCGTTGTCTTCGGCTCGCCAGAGTATACCCTCAGGTTCTCCCGTTGCTGCGCAATAGATTAGCCTTCTCGCACATCGCCCATTCGTTGGTTGTTCGGCAACACTCACGGTCTAACAAGGGATCTCTTTTCATCCCATCTGTTAACTTATGTGTATCTCCACCTGAGCTCGACGGCACCAATGACGGCGTTGAATGCGATATCCTGTAGAAGACCAGCAGAACCGCTAGGATTGCAACTGCCCCTAGGAGCCGAATAGGCCGTGCGATGGCCATATTGGCAATCGGCGAGATCGAGTTGACGGGTGGATTTCCGGGGAATTTGGGCTGATTGTGAGGAAACTAGGATGAGGGTAGCATGTTCTGGTTTGAGTCGTGTGCTCTAGAGGCTTATCTAGAAGACAGATGCAACTTTTCTCCCCAGGGGATCTCCAACTGGCATTGCATTATTCGCCGCCTTTCCTTGTCGGGACTAGCGCTATGCCCTCCGCGCGTCTTCCCGTCTCGACGTTTTGCCCATTGAGTTTCCAGTCTCTCCTGACTGTTCTAACTTTAGCCCTTGAGCTCGTTACATCTGCGTACCTCGCGATCTTCGATATACTGGCACTTCGCCAATTGAAGTGGCGGGGGGTTTGTGGCGCGCGCGGGCTTCTTTCTGTCCGATGAGAGCCGTGGCGCGTATACATCATGGCCCGCTCAGCGGCCATTGGGACTTTGCTTGATGAATTGGTTGTGGCAACAACAAAATCGGATAAGGCAAGATGGGCGCCCCCCTATGTTAAGCTTCAATATGAGAACACTAACAGGTTATATCAGGATTCCACTGCTTTTCAAAGTGCCAAGAAACGCAGCAGCACAACCCTCAAGGAGAGTAGTGTCTGGAACCGGACCGACCCTTTTGCGATAGAAAAGCAACTTGATGGTCTACAGGAGAAATTCCGCGTCCTTAGCAAGGACGATTTGGCAGACAGTCTGTGCAGTCGCTTATTAGAGTTGAATGAACAACATTCGTCGTGGACACCGGAGTTCTTGTCTCTCTTGCTGCAGCTCTCTGATCGCCCTGCCAATGTATCCAGTGTGCCCAAATTCGACTTGGCCAAATCTGACAGTGCTCCGTCCCATCTAAAATGGTCAGAATTAGATGCTACTGGAGCAACGTTTGCTGATGAAGATATCTGGGAAGACATTGACTATGGTGCAGAATCTTCTGACACAGAGTCTTCGGCAGCCTCCAGTGAAGTCTCGATTCCCAGGATACTACCACAAAGTGCCCGGCCATTGGAAGATGAGTTCACAGTGCCTGACGATCTATTCGCAACAGGTGATGATGATGAATTGATAACTACAATTAAAAGCGGGCATTTCTGGGAGTATGACTCGGCTGCTGTCCGCGAATTCTCAGAGAGTCATACCCGTTTTATCACAGAGCTACAGGCAGCTCGTGAAATATTGTTTATGCTTCAGGGATTACCTACGTCACTCTTTTGGCAACTCGACAATAGCATAGCTGTTGATAGAAGGTATGCTCTTCGCCATGCCTCAAATTCGGCGCTCCTTCATATGCTTCGATTAAGTGCCGACATTGGAGTCAAACTTGGAGACCTGAGGCGATTCGTGCAGATTCCACAGTCTGTGGTATTCTTGCAAACATTCGCCAGGGGCGTCGAGAACGAACTTGGTGAATTTGATGCGTTTTTGTCAAGATTGCAATTAAATTATTTATCGACCGGGAAAGCAGTTACCGTCAGCTTGCTGCAGTTGCTAGAGGACGTCAAAGGAGAACTACGAGTCCTCTTACTGCTATCCGACCTCGTAGTGCAGTTGAAGTCTGCTCCGTCTGAACAGTCTTTCCTTTGTCTGGACTTGCTCTTTGATTTGGTTTGTGCTCAGCAAGCTTCTGGGAATGATCACGAATACAAGTCGCTGGCAATATTGTTTTTCTCCTGCTTCGATGCTTATGCTCAACCTCTGCGTCTGTGGTTGAAGAGCGGAGAACTCGAAGTATCTCAGGATCATTTCTTCATAACCGATTCTCAAAGCAATAAGGATTTGCAAACCCTTTGGCATGGTTGGTATTCATTGAAAATGAGTGCGGGCCATCTTCATGCTCCAAAATTTGTGAAACCAAGCGCCGTCAGGATTCTTACTACGGGCAAAAGCATGGTTTTCCTACGAAATTTGAACATTTCAGCCGATGAAATGGACTCGGTGCAATTGCAGTCTCTCACTTTCGACGACGTCTGTGCAGACGATGCGGCTCTACAGCTATTGCCATTCTCAGGTCTGTTAGATCAGGCTGTCGAACAATTGATTTCGATAAATCATATTCTCGCTTCAAGCATGTTGCGAGAACAACTCAATGAGCAATGTGGGTTCTGGACATCGCTTTCGGCCTTGCGATATATCTATCTATGTCAAGACGTCGGAGTTTCTTCAACGATCGACAGCAAAGTATTTGAATCGATTGATAGAGGCGGTGGAGTATGGAATGATCGGTTTCTTCTCACCGAGCTCGTACAGAGTGCGTTTAACGAAGTTAGCTGTGTCGACACATCTCGACTCATTGTACGCTCAACCCGAGGGCCGATTCAAGACGTTGGAAATCGTAATCGGACGGTGAAGATTCTCAAATCAATTTCGATAGACTACATACTACCATGGCCTGTCGCTAACATCATAACCAAACTTGGTATGAATACATACCAACGTATTTCCGTATTCTTGATGCAAATTCGACGGGCGAAATTTATCCTCGAACGACAGCGACTACAGAAAAAGGATGGTTCTCTGGCAAATGCTAATGTTGGTGATGTAAATGACGGAACAGGCTACATTATCCGACATAAGCTGCTTTGGTTTACAAACATTCTATACGGCCATATCACAGAATTGGTTATAGCCACTAATACCACCTCCATGCAAAAGGCGCTGGAAGCATCGGTAGATATTGACAGCATGATTGCCGTTCACGAGTCCTACATGTCTTCCCTCGAGGAACAATGTCTTCTCACGGAAAATCTAGCTCCCATACACCAAGCGATCATTAGCCTGCTAGACCTATGCGTTCATTTTGCAGATATTCAAGCTGCGCGTCACGGCGAGAGAAATCAGTTTGACAAATCGCATCGCTCATCCAGTCCAGCTGGGGGTCATCGACGACATCGCCGAAATGAATCGAGCTACAGCTCTGACGAAGAAGAAGAAGACGAAGAAGACGAAGAAGACGATGATATCCGTAATAATGATGAATCCGACATTGACGACATTGACGACGGAGACGACTATGACGAGGGTAACACAACTAGTATATCATTCGTTGAGTCACCCTATTCCCACAGACTGGACCATGTAACCAAGCATTTTCACCGATTACTTGCATTTGTTATTGCGGGACTGAGAGGAGTGGGAAGGGTAGACGGACAGCAAAGTTGGGATGTACTTGCTGATCGATTGGCATGGAATGCCTAATCATAAATTTATATAATCAAAATTAATCAACATAGAACATTGTAATACCCACGTGTGATGATTCATGATACTGAGTAATGATCATATATAAGAGAAGTACCTTCTGGGTAGATATGATTTAGAAAAGGCTGCAGTCTGAGATATGATGTACCTAGACAGGCACTGTAAGTCATTCTCTTAAAAAAAAGAACACTTTCAAGTAAATGCATGTTGATATTTGAATCCAAGAACTATTCAAGGCGGAATTTTGATAGCCGATAAATGGAAATGAAAAAAATGAACAGATATAACTGATCCAAACATTGAGTCTAGCCGACCCATCTACGAGCACTGTAGAAAATTCGTCCCCACGGGCCAACATCACCCCATTTCTCCGCGTCTGGCGGTAGCCAGCTAGCAACACCGCCGATAACAGTGCGTTCAGGATGCGGCATAATGGCAAGGACACGGCCATTGGGCGTCCTAACACCGGCGATACCCTCGGGACTGCCGTTCGGGTTATAAGGGTACGTCATGGTTGGTTTGAGAGTGGCGTTGTCCACGTAACGAACTGGAGCAAGATTGTGTCGTACAAAGTCCTGCGCAGTGACATTTGGAGTCAATGCAAAGGATGCACGGCCTTCACCGTGAGCCACGGCAATCGGGAGTGATGAGCCACCCATGCCATGCAAGAACACAGAAGGTGCAGAAGGATCCGGATCGGAGATATGAACCATGGCAACACGACCTTCATATTGTTCACTGGCATTTCGCTCAAAGCTTGGCCAGGATTGGGCACCGGGAATGAGCGCCTTAAGACGTGAGAGGAATTGGCAACCGTTGCACACTCCGAGAGCGAAAGTATCAGGGCGATCAAAGAACGCTTGAAATTCTCTGCGAGTTTCTTCATGAAGTAAAACTGATTTAGCCCAGCCCTGTCCGGCTCCAAGAACATCGCCGTATGAGAATCCACCGCAAGCAGCAAGACCAACAAAGGCAGCGAGTGAAACGCGCCCAGAAATTATGTCGGTCATATGAACGTCAACAGCAGTGAACCCAGCAAGGTTGAAAGCAAATGCCATTTCAGCCTGACTGTTGACACCCTGCTCTCGAAGGATTGCCACACGAGGCTTATTGCTAAAGGGTGATAACTGGCTCAAGCTGGCGAGAATAGGAAGGCCTTTGTCTTTGGGGTCGAAACTGGGTCTCCAAGACAGACCAGGGTTTCTATCATCGAGTATATTGGCAAACTCTTGGTCGGCGCAGGCTGCATTGTCTCGAATCTTCTGCATGTGGTAAGACGTATGCGACCAGATTTGTTGGATCTTGCCCCGAGGTTGGCGGTAAATTAACTTGTGTTTGTGGTAGATGGTAAGGTTTTGCTTCGCTCTCTCGGAGACACGACCAATGCGTCTGATCAAGCCAGGGGGCGGGCCACAAGTTGCGAAACAAGACCGGAATTTGATTTCGTCCTCCTTTCGGACCTGGAAGACAGCACCGAGTTCTTCGTTGAAAAGAGTTTCGATAGAGCTGCCAATATCCCCGCCTTTCTGCAATTCATCGAGCATTATCTCAACACCACATCGGCCAGCAAACATCATTTCCGCCAGAGTTGTGAAGAGACCCCCGTCAGAGCGATCGTGGTATGCTAGAACAATCCCTAAATCTTGGAGTTGTTGCGTGGCGTCGAAGAAGTCTCTGAAAAGCTCTACATCGCGGATGTCAGGGCTTTCATGGCCAACCTGTTTGAAGACCTGAGCTACGGCGGAACCACCAAGGGCTTTCCGACCGCATGCAAGATCAACAAACATAAGAACAGATTCGCCGACGTCCTCAAGACGACGAAGAGTAGGCGTCCATGTCTTTCTGAAATCTGCAACGGGCGCGAAAGAGGAAATGACAACAGACAATGGTGCGGTAACTTCACGCGCATCCTTAGACTTTTCGTCTGTCCATTTCATTTTCATAGACATAGAATCCTTTCCGACGGGAATGCTGATTCCTAATTTAGGACAAAGCTCCAGGCCTATAGCCTCAACAGCTTCATAGATCGCTGCGCCTTCACCTGGGTGACTGCTCGCTGACATCCAATTTGCTGAGAGCTTGACCCTACTCAAGCGATCAAACATGTCCGCAGCTGCGATGTTCATCAAAGACTCTGCGACAGCCATGCGAGCGGATGCTGCTGGAGAAATCAAGGCAAGTGTGGGCTTTTCGCCAATTGCCATAGCCTCTCCGGTTCTTATGCCCTGAGTAAGAGAAGTGGCTGTAACAGAGACATCTGCAACTGGTGTTTGCCAGGGTCCCACCAGCTGGTCTCGGGCAGTAAGACCACCTACAGTTCGATCTCCGATTGTGATGAGGAAAGATTTTGATCCAACTGCAGGAAGAGACAACACTCTGCTTGCAGCCTCTTCAAACAAGTGTTGCTCTGATGGCGCTGCAGGTAGATAAGTTGATAGACTAGCATCAAATGCTGGCAGTGTCAACTTTCGTGAGTCAACTTCTCGTGTCATCTTCGGCGGTTTACCGAATAGAACAGAAAGCGGAAGGTCAATGGGCTTAGGGTACTCCTTCGAATCCCTATCCAAAAGAACTAGTCTCTTTTCCTCATATTCATGGGGTTGCTCGGCCCTTCCAACAACCGAAAAGCCGCAGCGCTCACGTCGAGCAATCGCGGTGAACTTGTTCATGCCATCCTCTCCAACCGCCATGACGTATCTTTCTTGTGCCTCGCAACACCATATCTGCATGGGGCTCATACCCCCGTCAGCACTATCAACTTCCCTTAAATCGAAAGTCGCACCCAATCCAGCGTCGTGAATCAACTCTGGAAGGGCGTTCGATAAGCCACCAGCTCCGACGTCATGAATGAACTTGATTGGATTCTCTGCGCCCATCGCAACACAAGCATTGATAACTTCTTGGGCCCTGCGCTGAACCTCTGCATTTCCCCGTTGAACACTGGCAAAATCCAGATCTGCCGAACCTTCTCCAGAGGCGAGGCTGGATGCGGCGCCACCACCAAGCCCGATGAGCATCGCTGGTCCTCCTAGGACCACAAGGAAAGATCCTGGCTTAACCAACTTGGGATCTTTGAGTGCATGCTGAGGTCTGACAGTGCCTACACCACCAGCGATCATGATAGGCTTGTGGTATCCTCGAAGCTCCTTCTGGCCATTCCCTATATCAAGCTCGGTGAGCAGAGTCCGGAAGTATCCAGCCGTGCAGGGGCGTCCAAATTCGTTATTGAAAGCTGCGCTTCCAATCGGCGCTTCCAACATTATATCCAAGCTGCTTGCTATGTGGTGAGGCTTCCCCACATCAAGCTCCCACGGCTGACGTAGCTCTGGTATGAGAAGGTCCGACACACAATACCCTGACAATCCGGCCTTCGGTCGAGAACCCCGGCCAACGGCTCCTTCGTCTCGGATTTCTCCCCCAGAGCCGGTGGCAGCGCCGGGATACGGTGAGACTGCTGTCGGATGGTTGTGTGTTTCCACTTTGGCCAGAATATGAACCTGCTCCCGCGTCTGGGTCCATTCTCTGGTTGCGGGATCAGGGGCCCAGAATCCGGCATTCTCGCCCTGCAATACGGCCGCATTATCACTGTAAGCACTGACTGTATAATCCGGACGTTGTTTATGGGTATTTCTAATCATCGAGAAAAGGCTGTAGGGCATCTGCTTATTATCGATGACCCATGATGCATTGAACTGCTTGTGGCGGCAGTGTTCGGAGTTGACTTGGGCAAACATGAAAAGTTCGACGTCGGTCGGATCGCGAGGCACAGGGCCATTCGACGCATATGCTTTGGCAAGATACTCAATCTCGGATTGGTCCAATGCCAAGCCAAGGCGTTTGTTGGCATCTTGAAGAATTTCGATGGGAGTTTTGTCGCCTGCGTGGAGAGGAACCGTCTCCAAGGGTTGTGGCGGGTGGTCTGAAAACATATTTGCGAGGTCAGGCTCGTCCTGGCTTATGACCTGTGTCATCCTATCATGTAGACGATCCAAGTATCCGTTCTTTGGCTGGGCCCCTTCGGAAAACCATACTGATATTTTCAAGCCTCGTTCAATGCGTCTCACGTATGTCGAAAGACCGCAGACGTGTGAGATTCCAGTTGCCTGCGAGCTCCACGGGGAAATTGTACCAACTCGAGGGTAAACGTAGAAGTTCTGAACGCCGCCGTCATCGGATTGAAATGAAGGGGGGATATCGACAATGTCGCCATATCGGAGAAGCTGCTCGAGGACCGCTTCTTGGACTGGCTGCAGAGGCTGGAATGTGTGGACATAGTGAATCCATTGTGCTCGAATATCAACCGCACCTATGTCCAGAGCCAGTGCACGGCTACGGGACCGAGAGAAGGCCACAGGGCCTAGAATGGCCAAATACGACTGCTCGTTCGAAGCCGCCATCGTTCGGCCGCTAGCTCACAGGTCAGCTTTGTAATGTAATAATATAAATAAACAGCAGCGACAGCTCGGTTCGTATTACATTGGAAATCAATGCGTGAAACTGGCGTTCAAAATTCGGTCAATATGGAGGCATTGGCTCCCCATAAACTCAAGGAAGCTGAGTGACTCAAAGGGAAAAAAAATCATCTCAGACTTCGCCGCGATGATTGGCCCCGCACTAGTCCCCATTGGTCCTATCGAGCCATAGTTGCTTATCAGTCACGTGATAGAGTATTTTTCTGATATGTATGGCATGTAACTAACTAGTTAGACCTGCGAAGCTTCATGAAAGAGTTACCCCGCAGGAAACGAATGGCATTCCGGAAATCTATGGTCTATGGTTTCTAGCTTATCATGGTATTTCAAAAACCGCTCAACCATATTCATCAAAATGTTGACGAAATGGCAGCGTGGTCGAACTCGCGCCTCCCAACGGACCCTCAACTAATGATTTTACTAAGACAATTCCTGGAGCACCAGCACAAAAAGCACAACAAATGACCCAGTAATTTGTGCATTCCAGAGCTGCCGGGACTCCTCGGCGAAATCACTTCAAATCATTGACGCTAGTGACGTCACCGACGATTTTCGCTGCTTACTCAACATGGTTTAGCCTCTTCCCGAAAGAGGTCATCAGAACCCTAAGTTTTAAGTCCTCTGGTAGTTACAACTCATCATAATATGGTACATTGCTATGTTTGATGTGTTTATTAAGTTTCAACTAATTAAATATGCTAAACAGAATGTATTCAAGCAAGCCGGATCTACCAAAAAAAGTGGCATTTGTTTAACCTGTCTATATTCCATATAACCTTTTCGCGTTTGTGTATATGCCAAATCAATCCACAGGCCGCTTATATGCTCAAGATCCTTGCAGCTGCGGCCTCGGCAACAATCATAATGGTGGCCTGGATGTTACCAGTGGGAAGATCGGGGTGGATACTACCGTCGACGACGAACTATTTGGTGGAGTTAGTCAACAATTGATTGTTTATAGAAGTAGCCTGTGTCCAGGGTAAGAGAGAGAAACGAACCAGGTTATCAGTTCCGTAAACCTTAGTATTGATGTCAACAACCGAAGTACCATCATCAGGACCCATCTTGGCGGTACCGACATAATGAATACCACTTGTAAGCGAGCCCAAAATAGCTGAGGTATTTGTATACGTGCTCAACGAAAAGCCAGAAGACGGGCTGGTAAAGTCAGCGACCAGACTGCTGATGAACTCGGTAGCAGCCTCGCGGTCACCGTCGGTCTGCATGTAAGGGGATTTCTCAACTACCGTACTACCGTTGACGTCCAGACCCAATACACCGCTCGAGGTGAGGCCATGGGTCATGTAGGTGGTGATGGTAATCTCTCCGGGGCCAGTGGGCGCACATGAGCCCTGGAAGTAACGTTTATGGCCGTCAGAGGCAACATTGGAACTAAAAAAGATCATGCGATGCTTGCCTTGGGTCAGTACACCGCTGTTTGTATCCTCGTATTGATCAATATCGTGCGTATCAGCACCATCATAGACGTTAGTGCCATTGAGTGGCGAGAAAGTACCGTTCGTCTCGACGATGATGGAAAAAATGTCGTGGTCCTTGAAGTTATAGCCGACCGGGAGATAAATCCATTCATTGGAGGGAGGAAGAGTGACACCGCTTTCCTGAGCAATCTCGATTTGCGACTTGGGCCCAATACCAGAGTTAAAGAGGATGCGAGGAGTGGACATAGTACCGGCAGCAAGCACTACACGACCGTTAGGGGCGACAGTTACGATTTCCGAGGTTCCGTTAACGTCAAGCTCGACGCCGGTGACGTTGCTGCCGCAGCGCACGAGGCGGTTGACTTTTGTGGACATGCTGAGGGTGAAATTAGGGCTCTCTTCTGCGAGCGGCAGGTATGTGCGCACTGGGCCAGCGCGTTTCTGGTCCTTGATATTCCAGGCTGGGTAGCTGTAGACCTGGTACTTCTCGTCGGGCTGGGTGATCATATCAACTGAGGTCCAGCCGAGCTTGGCAAAAAAGCTTGAGAAGACATTGTAGGCACCCTGGTCGTATCGCTTGCCGTCGGCAGAAGGCAAGATAGTACCGGGGTTGCGCGCGTACAGACGGTCTGCAGCAGAGGAGACGTCATGCCATTTCCATCCCAGAGGCCATTTATCATCAAAATCATGGGCAGGAGGATGGACGAAAACCATGTAGTTCACGGTGACACCACCACCGAGGACACAGGCTGCTGTTCCAGCGGTATCAGTGCAGAGATCCTGGCTGAAGACATCTGTTTCGCCTAGGCTGGCTGAGAGACCAGGGACGTCGACGGCAGTGAGTGTGTCGTTCCATGATAAGGTCTGCGTGTCACCTGTTGCAACAGTAGGACCAACACCACGCTCTAGAAGGAGGACCTTCTTGCCGGCTTCGATAAAGCGTTCAGCAGTAATGATACCGGCCGGACCACCGCCGACGACAATGTAGTCGTATGTGCCGTTTTGGATTGTGGATGCTGTTGCTGTGGCAATAAGGGCCCCGAGGACTCCTGCTCGGAAGCACTTCATGCTGTGACAGTGGGCACCTAGGCAAGTATCGAAAAAGAAGATGTGGATGCGAGGTTTGAAAACTATTGCTTGCTCAACGGGCTGTTTGAAAGTTAATATAGTTTATTGAACTGCTGAATTCGGCTTGACTAAGTGCTGTCTATTACTTCTAGAACAGATAATCAATGATCAGTCATAGATTCATAATCAAACTAATTAGGCACCGGTCATCAATAAGGCATGATCTGATGCCGAAAAACCTACATCAAATTCCAAAGCCGAAATTTTGGCACTAACTAGAGTTCTAAAACATAGACTAAGTAGACAAGAAAATCGTACTAATGCACAATAACGCCTGTGCAGAAGGATCGGATTATTTTGATAAAATATGTAGTACGTAATGGTGATCCCGAGCCGATCTTGCTAGGTAGACGCCGAAACAGCCTCGAAATAGGTTGGGCAATCATATCTAGAATGTTACTGTCACTCGTCTGGAAGTGGCTAGAGAACGATTAACTTTTTTCCTCGGAGCTAGACTCGATTTTGTGCATTCTTATAGCAGTCTGCAGATGTTGATGACGTCTTCTGAGGTTCTTGTGTGTACTTAAAGTACCTATGTAGGCCCATCTATCGTATGGTGACGATGAATGCAAAAAAAAGAGACACAAGGAGAGCAACTTTTACAGCTTAAAAGTAGGATTTGAGTTAATTCATCTACCCAGTCTAGATGAGTCCCTTAGTAGTAAAACAAATAGAACAATTCTAGCAACTCCATTGTGAATGAAAACTTTTACCAAAAACGTGGCTTATGACGCCAGATCCTGGATTTATAAGATATTATAAATATCCATAGTTACATGCTACTTCCGTTTTCACGTTCTAGGCAGGAATCTGCCTAACAGAGTATACGTTCGCCTGTGAGCTACGGAGCATGAAGGAATTTGAGTACGCGATGTAACCGGATAATCACACACCCGAATTGTGAAAATACATTGCAGCACTATTGGCCGCCATTCAAGATGGCGGGCATACTCTTAACCTACGTAGTCTGTGCCAAACTTCCATGTCATAGGAAGTTCTGTAAACGGTAGTAGTCAAGTACTTAGACAGAGCTAATCCTGATTACGAAGTAAGTTTTGTCGTACGAGTATAAGCACAGGCCAATCAGAAGAGACTGCACGATCTGATAATGATTCTTCTTTCTTTTCTCTTCTCTTTTCCTTTCTTTCTCCTTTCTTCCTCTATTCTTCTTCTTCTTCCTCTTTTTTTTTTCTTTTGTTATGCATAGTCTTCGTGCATCATACATACAAGAGTTGATGTTCCAAAATGGGGATTCCAACAAACAACGCCCTTAAAGTCTAGTCATTCACACCGACTGCGCCGGGCGGGTTTAGATGTAGAACAATAGAAACCCGTTTGATGAGCACTCTGTGATCGTTCATTGCACTGTTTACGAATTTGTATCAGCCATGAAGATGAAGAAAGAAAGATGGGATATGTCATAGCCCTGAAGGCGGTGGCAGATCGGGTAGTCTAACCCAACATAGTACACAACATACCCGAATGCGGTAGCCCCATCTCAGCAAATTCTACGGCTCCTCCCTCCAATCAGAATCCGTGTTGTAGCCAGGCGCCCCACCCGGCTGCAAACTGCCTTCCAAGGTTTCGACTTTCGAGGTCCGCCATGGCAAGCACGTTCAATTGCTCTCTCTCTCTCTCTCTCGCTTTCATTCTCGCGTCTCGATCACTCGATATCAATTGTGCTCTGCGATTTCAGCGCTTCAATATGATCAAGCGTACTTCTATATGTCCAGTCAATACCTGAAACAAACACTCGTTGATAGCAAGCAATCTTGAATCTGAATTCCGATATCTCGCGCAGTACGTAGTCACAATCGCCCACTGTTCATGGCTACTTTCTATGCGCCATCCGATTCTCTCGCCCCTAGTGCGGCCAGAGGAGTGAATATGTCTCAGTCTTCCTCGGTTTCCGAATTGCCACAGTCCCAAATAGACGCCATCATTCGGACGAAACGCAAGGCGCGAGAACCAAAGGCTTGTTATCCGTGCCATACCAGGAAGGTGAAATGCGATCGTAACCTGCCTTGCGACGGCTGTGTTAAGCGTGATCATGCAGATCTTTGCTCTTATGAGCGCCCGTCCAAAAAACGACAAGCAGCTACATCTTATTTGGGGCACCTGATGAACGATGAACCATCGGATAGTAATATTCCCACGACAATCGAAACCATAGGCGTGCCCATCAGACCAGAGCCTTCAGAAACAGTTCCCGCAGAACGTGATTTGGGTGGACGCATTTCGGTACCTCGAGAGCACTGGGACAACGTTTGCAACAAGTTGAAGGAAATGGAACAAGCAATAACCAGCTTGAGAAGCGGGCTGGAACAAATTGATGGACGCCCCTCGACTAGCACAGCCTCAACCAGTAATCGAAACGCTGATGCGGAGCCTACGTCTCCTGAGGCCGAGGGTATCCATACCACGCATACGTACGGCGAAGGCACTGTGCATCTTGGATCGCGATCGGTATTAGCATACATTCTCAATAAATCCGGTTCCCTTCAAGCGCAGGCACTTCTTGAAGGTGGCATCCTCCCAAAATTAGGCCTCGATAACGAAACCGCTACATACCCCTTCGTGGATCTGTGGTCCTCGGATACATCATCGTTCGATGTGAATGCAGTTTGCAGTGCCCTGCCAAACGATGATCAAATCAAAGAGTTAGTCCTGAAATTCGCTCTTATGGTATAATATGAATCACAAGCTAACAGTCTTCCTAGATTTTTTTACTATTATAGAGATATCGCTGGTACTCTTTATCCAGTATTAGTCGACGTGCCTGGGTTCGAAAAGAATTTGCAGACATTTTTACAGAATAGAGCTGCAGCTGGAAGCGTTTTAAAGACAGGTGACGATCGGGGGCTTTCCGAGCCCCCCTTTGGCATGAATTTGGCATTCATAGGGCTACTCTTTGCCGTTCTAGCATCTGGCTGTCAATCTTCGGATCTTCCTGGAAAAGAGCGAGAACTTACATCTCAGGTTTATGGTAAGCTATCTCGCGACAGATATTATATTGTTCTTATCGTACTAATTGCATGCAGTCTGCTGCTCCTACCAGTGTCTTCGCATGTGCAATTTCGTCTCGCAACCTACTATCGAAGCAATGAAAACGCTTTTGATAATTGGAAACGTTCTTTCATATAACATGAACCCCGGCGTCTCTTATGTGCTGCTAGGTACGATATATCCATCTGTAATATTTTAAATATGCTTAGCACTTACTCTCTATAAGGGATGACGCTCCGTATGGGGCTAGCTTTGGGACTTCATGTCGATTCCAATCGGTTTGAGCCATTCGAGCAGTACACGCGACAACATATTTGGTGTGTTTTATCAATCTTCAGTTAACGATCAACAGTACTAATGTTTTCCTATTTTCAAGGTGGTCCATGGCATGGCAGGATAGCCATTTCTCACTCTCCTATGACCGACCATCTACTGTCGCGGTTAGCCAACCTGAAATATCTGACAGGCCCGAATCCAAACCTGGAGATCGTGACTACTTTGAAACGATGTGCAGGATCATATCATTGACTCTAGAGGTTGTACGCGGGCGTATGCTGACGCCTCATTTTCACATGAGTTTCAAGACAATACAGATATACAAACAACGGATTCAGAAGATGCTCGCAGATGCCTCTCCCCACTTGCGAGACCGTAAACACTGCCTGACGTCGATGGATCACCTACAAAGACTCGCACTAAAGGTACACTCATCTTATATTACCTCAGAACTTTGCAGGCCAGCACTCAAAGCCGAAGCGGACAAAAACGATCCCCTTTTACCTATAGTGCGTCGCGACTGTGTGGAAAGCCTCATCGGTACAGTGGAGTCTTATATCGAGCTTCACTCGTTTAGCACTCATGGCTCGCGAGCCTGGATCACCTTGCAACGCGCAATCAGTTGTGCATTTCTTCTTGCAGTGATTGATGAGGGAAAGACTGAGCCGAAAGTCAGAGACCTCTTGCACGAACTTGAAATCATAATATCTGAACGTGCCAGTGCCGAAGGAGAGTTTCAGACGACTGAAACCACTGTCGCTGCTGCAGCCCCAGGAGTTGAAAGTATGACGTCCCCAGAAAATGCGAACTATAGAATGGCCGCAGGCTATCCGCAAATTGACATTATTCATGGGATTACCAAAGCTCACTTGTCATTATCAGACTCATATCAAGGGCCGCAAATGGCATCAATACCCGCGAATATTGTGATGGACACGCAAGCGCAATGGGCAAAGCCACTCATACGATCTCTTCGCGCTTTGCAGAAAATGAACCTAGCTTTCAGCACATACGGCGCTCAACCTGGCAGTAGCACGGGCACCTACGGACAACCAGACTCGCAGACGGCCCCGCCACAATCGGCATATACACGTAATTTGTCAGTGACTGCTTCTGCATATACGCCGAATATGGGATCACTACCTCCCCCGACTCCTGAAAGCTCCAGTAGCGGGGATTGGACTTATCCCAACCTTCTAGATCGGGCTGCAGAATATATTCATCCTCCGCTATGGGGCTAAGCATGCTATACGCCTCTAATATTTCTTTTTCCTGCCTTTGATACACGACTATTGGCATATTTTGGTTTTCGGAGTTGGACTTTACAGTATACTTCTCGAATATATTATGGACCAGATTTGTGCATAGACCCAATGGAGTCACACGGCGTTATTGATCTGTTTTTCATGACTCTTTTTTCTCCTAGCTTTATTGCTATGGGCATTCTCTCAGTGGATTTATCATGAAAATATTTGCAGAATTATCTGTTCAAGCTCGGATGGTTTAGTCAATACACAGCGTCATGCGTATCTTTCTCATTATTTGGGTGCCTAAGTACTAAGTATCACAAATGCCCAATCACCCCTCAATACCTGAATGCACTAGTACTAGGATTATTTTGTGCACCAGGCCTATTCGTGGGCTTATGAATATGCAACTGCCTGTATCACATTCCGCCGCCCAAAAGAACAGACAAGAATTTCGTAGTAAATCCAATGCGCCACCGCTTCTCGCTCCCAATGCAAATATAAAAGAGAACGAAATGCAAGAGAAAAACAAATAAGTATATGCAATAGGAAAACCGTAACAATCAAACATCGTCAGCACGCCTAGGCTGTACTCGACGTGTTGGACTGCGCCGACTAGGGGGCAATTGCGAATTCCCTCGTCTACTTCGCTCAGCAGGTTCTTCAAGTTCCATCTCTTGTGGGTGCTCAACTTGTGGTCTCTGAGGCCTTTTGCCGGCGCGTTGAGGTCGTACTCTAGTCAAGGCAATGCCTAGAAGACCTTTCGCATGCTCATCTAGCTCCATCTCAACATTTTCCTCAGAAGTGCCACCGGCATGAACAACGTTATCTGTCCAGCTGTCTTCGAAAGGTTCTTCCCTCGTCCGTGCCAATGCCTCCCTCTTTTGGCGTCCACTGTTCCCGGCTCGAACATCTTTGCCTCGGCCTTCAAGAGACCATAGTTCCAACGCACGAGACAAAATAGTGCCTGCGATACCGGCACCACCCGCTGCATCGCCACCGCTTACTCCGAGAACCCGCACAGCTTCATGTAACACGGTAACAGCTTCTAGTGTTCGTCCTTGCTGTAGATAGATAAGCCCACGCGAAGTGTGAAGCGAACCAATCAATCCGCGATCTTCGTATCCTGCCACACCCGCCGACGTAGCAGCAACGCCCCCTATTGCAGCACCGTAGCCTGTGGTACCACCTCCTGCACCGACTCTCACGCACTCATCGAATTCGGCAAGAGCTTCGTTGAGGTTACCCATGCGCCGCAGAGCATGCCCTAAATTAGCCCGCGTGGCCACCCATGCCCCCGGATCACATTGTAGTGAATTTGCCAGTGCCAGTGCCTGACGAAACAAATCTGCTGCCGATTCGAGATGGGATTGGTGATAGAGGACAACGCCCAATTCATTGAGAACCAAGGGATCGCCACCGAGTGACGGCAGTCCGCTGGAGGGCATGTTTGGAATGGTTGTCAGGGAGCCTGATGGTGACCCTGAGGACATGGAATATGCAGCGCATAGGTACTCGTGCGCAAGTGACATGTTATTCAAGGCTAAATGTTGCATTCCCAAAAACAACTGTGGCAGATGACTGCCCTGAAATAACCGTGCTGCGGTGCTGTAAGCAGCGATTGCTTGGTCATGCTCGCCCTCAGCAGCGAAAGTGTGAGCAAATCCAATCCAAGCTGGTGCTGAATGAGGATCTAGGAGGGAAGCTTTGGAGAAGAAACGTCGCGCCTCCGCGATTTTGGCCACCGAAAGATAATACACCCCAATGGCTAGGTATGTATACGATTCTTCCGGCGCATTATCGGCTAACGTATGCGCGAGCAAGAATAAAGCATTGACAGCACCGGTCTCGTAAAGACATGCAAGATGCAAAGGGTAAACAGCGGGTGAATGGCCGAGGTTCTGCCCAGGGACAACCGAGACGTCGGTCGTCACAGCCCCCGTCTCCGGAGTCGTAAGAATAGAAGATGTAAGCTCCAAAGCTTCGACAAAACGGCATTGTGTATATAGTGCCTCGGCACGTGAAAGGAGGATATCGGGGTTGTTGGAAAGATTGTAGTGTGTAGAAAGCGTCTCGGTAGCATTGGAAAGCGTCGAAGGCGAGGTATATTTCGAGAGCCTTGTAGTATACAGCATTTTCACAAAATGCGCGGCTTCTTGTGACCTTGATGGATCGGACGGCACCGAAATAGTGTCAAAGTCTAAAGACTCCAAAAATTCAAGCTCTTCCGCCGGAGACATAAGCGAATTCTTCATGAGCTGATCAAAGGCCTCGAAGCATTGAATATCTATCCTCACTGCGTCCTTATAGCAGTCGCGGGCGCGATCAAATGCATTCTGTTTTGCGTAGCAAAGTCCGCGTAAATAGCACATGGCCGCCTCAAAACGCAAGTTATTCGCATCTTCTCGGTCTCGTTCCTCACTCCTATCCGCGCGGTCCAATCTGGACGAAGTTGTTTTCCCGTTCCTAAGAGTGACGTGGCTATGTCCGTTCAGGTGCTGTATTTTACGTCGGCTATGGTTTGCAGAGCTAATGAGGTGGGTCGGATTCTGTTCTCCGAGAATATTGAGGGCAGCTTCGAATTTGTTTTGTTTGATGTAACAATGAGCGGCCAGGTATTTGCATGATGTGCTTCGCGATACAAGATCTTTTCGAGAAAGCAGAGCCAATGCTCGGGTATAATTGTTGTTGTTGAAATGCACCTGTGCAAGCCAGAAGGCGTCGGCATCGCTGTCTGTCGTAATCCGCAACATTAGTGGATTGTGGAACAAAGAGGCCAGGAAGAAATAATACTTGTCAAGGCCAAAACCTTGTCTCCAATATATATGGCAGAGTCATGTTGTCCCCGATTCAAAGCATCCTGGCGCCAGCTACGCAGGAACTTCTCCATGTCTGTCGGGTTGCGCTTGAACGTGAGAGCAGGCGGGGAGGGAAAATAGCATAGACTCTGAGCGCGCTTGCAAAGGCATTCACAGTGTTGACTTGCAATGCGAGAATGAAGAAATGCCTTCAGAACGTCAGTGACGACGTCGAGCGAGGTCAAGAGTAATATTTCTTATTCCAAGCGCGACGCGGGACGTTCTTTTGATAAACAATTCGATTGGCCCGCGCGGCTGTTTTAGGTTGTTAGCCTCAGGCGGCAGTCTGCTTATCGCCGGGCAGCCTATCGATCAATCAATCAACTTCCCAGATTCCGCCACCAAAACTTCACCTCGTCCACTCTCGCGACATCTTGCCTGAAATCTCCCAACCACGTTAGCTCTACGACATTGCTGCGGTTCTACATTAATTCTACATAATCTAGCGACTTTAAGACTCCACACAATGTCTGAGCGTAAAGTGTATGCCGTCTCTTCAATCCATTCATTCCGCCCTGATCATCTCAGAAAGAAAAAATGGCTAACATGTTTCCAGGTTAACGAAGTACTACCCACCGGATTTCGATCCATCGGCCATCAGTCGGGTGAAAAAGGTTCCTGGTGCGAAACAAAAGCTGCTCACTGTCCGCTTGATGGCACCCTTCTCGATGCGTTGCACCAGTTGTGGTATGATTTGACCTATTGATCTACTGTTGCCGCGTTATATGCTAACCATATCCTCTAGGTGAATACATCTACAAAGGTCGAAAGTTCAATGCCCGGAAAGAGACAACGGAAGAAAAATATCTATCTATCACAATATACCGCTTTTATATACGCTGCACGGTAGGCCTGCTTTTTCTCCCTTATAACGTGCTACGTGGTATCTAACTGAGAATCCAGAGATGTTCCGGCGAAATTACATTCAAAACCGACCCCAAGAACATGGACTACGTTTGTGAACGCGGGGCCAAGCGCAATTTCGAGCCCTGGAGAGATAATAATGCCGACAATCAAAATGAAACCGAACAAGAAACCTTAGATCGCTTGGAGCGCGAGGAAAACGAAGAGCGCGAACAACTTGAACGTGATAAGATGGCGGAACTTGAAGAGAAGATGCTAGACTCGAAACGCGAGATGGCTGTTGCCGATGCCCTTGATGAAATTCGAACGAGGAACGCACGTATTGAAAGAGGCGAGGCTCTCGGAGAGGAAATTGCGTTGTCACATGTGCAAGATGATGCCGAGGAAGCTCGCTTGCAGGCTGAAAGGGAGGATGAAGAGGCTGCCCGCCGAGCGTTCATGACTTCAACGGGCGAGAAGGTCAAACGGTTGGTTGAAGACGAGGAGTCGAATAGCACGACTGGGAAGGCAGATGAAGCCCCAGCTCCAGCAGTATCCTTTGCGAAAGTGAAGAAACCGAAAAAGCCCTTTTCTGCGGGGCTGGGCATCAAGAGGAAACCGGCGCTGATTTGAGAGTGATTATATATATAATTAATAATTAGTTTTATGGCCCGCCTTGGGTTTGCCATCTATGTTTTCTTAGCGACCCATTTTAAAATAGGCACCAGGAATACCTACTGAGGTAGGCACTTGGAGACTACTTCCCTGACAAGCGACATAGAAAAAAGATATATGCTCTAGGGTTATACTTCGAAGTCGATAGACATTCTTCAGGTAGTTGACTTAATGATCAAGGCAAAATCCACGGGAAACGCGTAAATAGGAATTGGATTGGACTCTGATTCAACTAGACATACACATTGAAGAAAAAAGCGTACAAAATAACACAAAAATCTGCAGACAAGAGAAAAAAATTCACAAGCAAAACCCGCCATTATGACAATTTCCCCTAGCGCCGTTGCTGAATGAGGAAGACTTCGAAAAAGAAAATAGACAGCCCAACTCTGAGAAACATTAAGCTCTCCACATGATTTTAAGCGTGATGGTAAAATGAAACCGCACCCCCCTAAAGCCCCAAAACCTTGTATGGAAAAGATTGAATCGTTGACAGAAACGCCATTGCCTTTTCATCGAGAAACAAATGACACAATTACAAATACGGCATCCAAAGGGCATCGGCAGAAGCCAAAGATTGGGGATTGACAGCCTTCGAGATAAGGTCGATCGTAGTCTGGTTGGCGGGAAGATTGCCCTCCGGGGGACTAGCCAGACTGACAGCACGGTTGACAATAATGCCACTGTTGCTCTGAACCAGCTCACGCAGCTGGTTCTCAGTAACATTGCCACGATGATGAGCTGTGGCCCAAAAGATCATCTCCTCGCGCACGAAGAGACTGAGCTGTTGCTCCAATTCATGGCGCGGCTCTGTGAGACAGCGAGCAATAGCCATTAGAGCACAGGCGAAAACACCCTCAGTAGCGATAGGTCCCATCAAGGTTTGGATATTCGGAGTTAGACGGAAAGGAACCTGCTCTGGGTTGAAGAAGAATGCCTTGTTTGGATTGATGCTAGGGATCAATTCAGAACCCCAGATATCACCCGTAGCCCGAGAGATAGAGATCTTATTTGGATACCGATTGCCAATGTGCATGACATAGGTCATGAAACAAATTGCAGCATACTGATATGAGAATTGGCGACGGAAGAGCCAGAAGTCGGCATAATTAGGGTACGTCTGCTGGAAGTAGTCAAGCATGATCGTACTAGGCGCCCATTTCTCTTGAATGGCAGTAAGAATCTCTGTTCTTAGAACTTGTTGCTGCTCGAGAGAACGCTGCAATACATTAGTAGTTGTATTGCCGAGAGGGGGGTTAGAGGAGCTTACACTCTGTTTCATCTCGGCAAGTCCACGCATCTTCTCCATTGTAAAGAGCACAGGTTCGTCTTTATTGATGCCCTCCCGTCTGCAATAATCTTCATAGATACCTTGCATGGAAATGTAGGAAGGATCGTCACGGACCAGACGAATGTGAGGAGCAATAGGGACCATGAGCGGCAAATGGAAATAAAGATTGCGGCGCCTACTTTCCTTGCGCTTAGAAAGAATACCGTTGAAGATGCGGAAAAGTTGCAGAATGCGCTCTTCGCGACGACAGTGACGAGCTGCAGGATGTTGCACAGCGAAAGGATGAATGCTACCATCGTGGCCACGAATTTTGAGACGACGATGACAGACACCAATACCACGAACCAAGTCAACGTCTGGTAGGAAGCGATCAATATGGACAAAGTCTTGATTCTTGTCTTTGTGTAGAAGATATTGTCCAGGGACCTCCACCTCTTCGAACTTCAAAAACCTGAATTCGCTGAGATGTGGTGAGTATGCTTCAAGGAACTGGGACTGAGGACGGCGATCAAGTTTTTCCTCAAATTTGTCGCGCCACCGTCGCAGCTTCTGCACATACTCGAACATTGTGATTTTCTTAACCACAAAGTCGGCTTCGAATGATTTACGAATATGCGCTGGTAATATGGTCTCTGCGAATCGAGTGATGTTAGCTTCCGTGGCAGGCGGTAGCTTGAAATCTTGAGCGTATGCCGCAGGTGTGCGGCCTACATATGCAAGACCGTCATTCAACAACGCCACAATTAGACGATGAGCGTCTTCATCAGGGGGACATTTGAAGTTCTTCTGGATTTGATCGACCATAGTCTCCATCGACAGTGCCAAGAGCGGAAAGGCCGTCTTCAAGCCTGCCATTATCTCTTCAGAGTATTCCCATGGCTTCTTGAGGGGTTCCTTTTCTGGTTCTCCGGTATTTAAGGGTTGATTTGAATTCTGGACCGGTGCTTGTGCCTGGATTTGAGGCTGCTGTTGGCCTTGTGGTTGTCCCTGAGTCTGTGGCTGAGTCTGTGGCTGGGATTGTGCTTGACCTTGTCCTTGTGCGGGACTCTGAGCCTGGCCAGCAGACTGCGTTTGACTCTGGTTCTGAGCTTGTGCTGGAGGTTGTGCATTGGCCTGGCCATTTTGCTGTGCATTCGCATTCTGCGGAGTAGCACTGTTAGGTACAGCAGGCGAAGCCTGTGAATTCTCTTCACCAGGAGCGGTTCCAGGTCTGGCAACATTGGAAGGTTCCACTTTGACATTGGGTGAAGCTTGCTGCTTAGCTCGGTTAAGCTTTTCTTGCTTTGCATCTTGCGTTTTCTTGATGCTCATCATATCTTCCCTATTCGTACGAAGCAAGAAGAACAAGGCCTGTGGATAAAGCTTGGCAATCTTAACCAATACTGCCTTGCATAAGCGAGCTTCTCGACGGCTAAGGCTGGTGAGAAGTTGTGGAATAAACGTGATCCAATACCACACTGGAGTATCACCCTTGAAATTTTCAAAGGCATTGGAGACACGGCCTTCTTCGTTGTCAAGACTCAGCAACCAAAGAATACGGCTGAGCAGCTTCCTGGATTTAGCGTTCTTGTATAGTCCAGCAGCTTCGAGGTAACAGCTGACAGCGTTACCAGCTAGCTCGTAGTCAGTTGGGTCCGCTTTAAAGCGTTGATCATTGTATTGGCCCCATTCTGCCCACGCTTTTGCGAGCTTCAAATCATAATACAAAGCAACCCCAAACGAGTCATTGGCTTCATCCACGTGGTTCAGTTTCGCCAAGAACATTCCCTTGAGGCTGTAAAATTCGGCTTTCTGCTGCGCACCGAAATAATTCAGATTGGTGTTGTTGATGACATCGAGACCACTGGTGAGCTCCTTCGGATTCTGATAATGACACTTAGCTTGCTCCCGCAGCTTCAAGAAGGCTTCCTGGATTTCAATATTTGGCAAAGTATAGATCCGGCTGAGCTGGTTGATGCAAACCTCTGGCATCTGGTGTTTACGGGCCACATGAGCAAATCGATTAATGATCCAAGCAGTTTCGTGATAACCCCGGTAGGCGTAAGAATTGCTTGCAACATTGTTCGTTTGGGGCGGCAGAAGTCCAAGGTAAGTGGCGTTTATCAATTGGAAGATATGTTGGCGCCATGTTACCAAATCCTGCCAAGCGTTGATATCATCCCAAACATTTGGAAGCCGGTCACGCCAAGTACCCAACAGAAGCTTCAATTCAGCTGATTTAGTGTCCAAATTCCGTTCATTTGTCTGAGACAGACTATTGCAAATGACACTGGCATCATGAAGTTCGACAAGCTGTTGGAAATGCTGCATAATTGGAATATGAGCATTGGTTATCCTCTTCGGTAGCTGATGCCATTTTCGAATCGACAATTGAATAGATTCGTCGCAGATATTGTTGAATTCTTGAATGCCATCTTTCTTGAGGTGAAAGTTGAGCAAGGACATAAAAGCTTGGAAGAATGTGCGACGTGGAGTAGGAGCGTCAGATACAGATTTGATAAGAGAGTCCAATTGCTCGCGATTGGTTTCACTCTGCCAGTTCTCGATGTTTCTCCATGCAGCCTCAAGCAGAAGATCATTCAGGTTCTCGTGCTTGGCAAAATCACTCAGGATTTCCCATTGTTGAAGTTTTTGGGCACAGATGAGCCAATGGTCTTCCCAAAGGTAATATTCTCCCTGTGAGAACGGCATGGCACCCGAGCGGGCCTTGATCTGGGCATTCTCGTATAATTGCTGAGCTTTGTCCCACATGCCGTGCTGCTCGTAAGACAAAGCAGCATTAGTTTCCACGAATTTGCATCGCCGTCGCCAAGTACCATAAAAAAAATCGTCCTCCTGAAGCCCGGCAAAAATTTCAACAAGCGCGTCTAGATTGCTTTCTCGCACTACCGGAGTATCAATGGTTGGTTGGTTCGCAGATTCCTCTAGATAAACGGCGGATGTATACCACGCATCGTACGTCCGACTCAGGAACTTCATAACGTGTGGCGGAACCTTGAATCGAGGTTTAGCTCGTACAGCTCCCTCCAGAAGGGCCTGAACAACGTTTGGTCGCTTGTCTATTTGTCTCTGGTGATACTCGCGAGTGATGAGGGTGACCATCCCCTTTTCTAAATCGATGCGTTCATCTTTAGAAAGTGTTGACCAAACAGTGGAGAACAAGGTAGTCCATAATTTGTATGACGTCTTGGGATCGGTATGTTGAAGCTGACAAAGAGGCTCAAGTAAATCTCTGGTTCTCACATCTCCCAGTTCAGCCGTGAAGCGCTTGCACTCAGCAACAAGATTCTCCAATTGGCCATCAACCATTACATCTGCTTTTCGGCTGTCTTGTTCCACAGCACTGAAGAGGAACGATATGGGGTAGACCGTTAAATCATCGGGAAGCAGCCGAGCAGGCGTATTCATGTCCACAGAACCCATAACAAGATGTGAAGCTTGTGCTAGCCAAAATGAATCGGCAAGTGTATCCCAATTTTGTGATGTCAGAACATAGCTAAGCCGAGAACTTGCTGTGCGAGTTAAGCTCTTATCAAAAATGGTGATAAAACGACTCCTCATCTCCACATCTTGTGCCCGGGTGCCAATTAAAAAGGCATGTTCCAATCTAACCGTGAGTTCGGTTCGTGTTATTTTGGAATCCTCGTAGATGCGAATGACCAGATTGAGGAATTTCTTGAGCATCGTTTGATCCGGACGGGTTTCGAAGAGCAACATCTTGTGCAGAACAGCAGTTTTCTCCTTGAGGGTTGGCCATGACTCTGTGGAGTGGAAAATCCAGGATTCGACCATTCCAAGAACCTTAGTACAGAGTTTAATGTTCTGTGACCGCTCTACGAGTTGAGCAAGAACACTGAGGAATGGCCGGCGTTGGTCACCAAGGTTAGACATCCGTATGGAAATCACATCAATTGTCTTGAGTATAAGATCGACACCTAGCTCGAATTCCTGTTGATCCGGGGCGCCATTCTCACCCTGTTTATTTCCGGTATGCTGCCCAGGGGCTTGATTGGTAGCATAAGCGGCAACATGTTCTTTAGCCAACTTTTGAGAGAATGCCTTCATCACTTGAGGAATATGAGTATCCATCTCTGCAGGCCTGCTAGAAGATAAAGTCCACAAAATGTTCAAGCTAGAGACGTAGTTGTTACCCGAAAGTCCCTCGGTAGCAATTCCAGACAGGTAGGTCACAAATTCTGAAGGAGGGCTATCCACATCCATGGCATCTTCCTCTTCTGGCTGATCTTCAGGAAGGGCATCCAAGATACGCTTGATCGGAGATGGAAGTTTTGAAGAAGATTCAGTGTCCTCTTCAGTGCTATGCAAGCAGTCTTGGATTTCCGGATTGTCTGAACGCAATGGCTTATCGAAGAGCCTCTGTAACAATGGAACCTTGTTGAGAATCCATTCATCTGATTTGTACGCAATGAGGACACGGAGCACTTGCAATGTATTGATCATGCTTGTGATGTGCTTTTCGTCGGGTTTATCAGCTTTCTCACCAGCAAGTATTGGCTCAGTAATTTTGGTGTACAAGTCAATATCCAAATCACCCCAAAACTCAGGCTGAAGGAAATTTGTCAACAGCTGCATCGATCTCTTAATCATGTCTCCCGTAGTAACGGGAGCCTGGGGTTTCGATGAAGACAACTCTCGAAGTCGGAAAGCTGGAACAGGGAACCGCTCGGGGAGTGTTGTGATAAATGTGATAAGGTACTTGATGAGACCAGCTCGCAACTCTGGTGAGACACTGTATTCTGTTCTGGTTGCTAGCGAAGGCGAATCGGCTTGTATTTCATCGAGTTTGCGCTTTTTGGAGTTTGGCGAGTCTGACGCAACACTTCCAGAGCTACCTCCACGAACCCTTTTCTCCTCCCAGTGCCAAATGAGTCCAATAAGATTAAGTGCTAGCTTCTTGCTCTCACTTG